ATTGTAACCGTTTCTTCGTAATTGGAAGAATAAATATATTTCTTAGTGGCCTCTAAAGTGGATTCTGGCTCTATGGTTGATAAATGCTTTAGTGTTTGTAGTTTTTCTTGGTCAAGCTCTTCGTCACTGTCGCTTTCGACTATTATAGTATCTGAAGCTGGTTTCGCATCAGATGGGAACTTATTCTTTGTATTGTCAGTCATTAGGGCCATTACAGGGGTCTTTAAGACCAGGTTCTGGTGGGTTTGAAGCTCGACTATTTTATCGTGTACAGGAAACCTATCGGTTGTCTCTTTTTCCAAGTTCTGACTATCCGTTTGAGCTCGTGACTGTGAGTCACGGACAATGATATCGCTAAGCTTCTCCTCATAGTCGCCGACTGCGTGCACGAACTCCTTAGTGTCTTTGATGTCAGTTTTTGAAATGGAATGCAATCGTTCAAGGGTGTGTGCAATTTTGGGGAATTCTACAAGTCTAGTGTCCTTAGTCGCCTCTACAGGAAATTCTGGAATATCACATTCTGTTAACCATCTAATTTGACTCTCTGCCACCCCAGCCAGACACTCCTGTACCACACTCTTGGCCTCGAACTCCTTGATGCTCTCAGACACATCGTACCTGATGGCCTCCTGCTCAAGGAACTTGGCAGTTGTCGATTTTACATTGTCAACTTCTGGCAGGGGCTCGATTTCTGGCTGCTTTTCGAAAGCTTTTGCCATGGCTGAGATTGTGCGCTTTGAACATGTCTTTTCACAGACGTCTTCAAGGTTTTCAATACTGGGGCTCGTCTTGGCCAAAGCCAAGACAGGGGAAACTACCTTCTGTTGGGGAATATGCTTGGAGCCTAATCCCTCTAGAATCATATCAGTGTCGCTTAAAATCTGCTGCTCTATAGACGAAACATCGGCCTGACGCTCCTGGGTACTTCTTTTTCGGGGACTAAACGGCTTGGCCTCTAAGCTCGCTGTGGGATATCGGCGTTCGATATCCTGTACAACTTCCCTTACCTTTGGCAGTACCTCCAAAGGTTCCTTACCTACTAAGTCTATGTGCTGAACAAGGGTCTCGGTTAAAATCTTGCCAGGTACCTGTTCTACTTTCTTATCTAAGCCTAGTTCCTGTTCTGGTAAAGTCTTTTCCGTTTCACTTAAGTCTTCGGCCACCTCAAAGGCCTTCCGCTTCTTGCAAACCTTCTCGCAAATTTCTTCCTGAATCTCCTTCAGGCCAGCAGCCATGGCCTCGATGGGCGACAGCTTTACCACCTCTGGTGGCAGCTCCCACTTAATCAACTGCTCCAGCGCCAAATCTGATGGCGTAAGTATTTGCTTCTCTACCTCTGCCACATCCAGTTCCTGGCCCTCTTCGTGCGGCTGCCGCTTCTGCACTGCGAAGGGAATGGCCGACACCACTGTGCCGCAGATCTTCTCCTCAATACTCTGTACCACCTCCTTCACCACCGGCACATTGTCGCCTATGTACTTGGGAGCCACACTCGGCTGGCACTCGACGGTCTCTGTCTCTGAGCTGGCGGTGCTCTCCAAGCGCTCTATCTTGCGTCTAACGTCGCCGAAGGCCATTATTTGCTCTAAGTACTCCCTATCACTGGAAGTTCTATCTGTATCTGTTTCTATCACTGTATCCTCTGGCTGTGACTTCTTATTTTTCTCCTGATCCTTCTGCTGACACTGCCCCTCCTCAGGGACAGTCAGATCTACCTTGGTGCGATCTATTTGCGTGGTCAGAGTCGTCGTCGTTGTGGTTGTGGTTATGGGTGCTGTCATCTTCGGTGTTTGACTACTTGTGCTCATTTCTGGAAATGAGGTAGTGTCTGGTGAGTACATTTTGTGGATATCGGGGGAGGCTGCCATACTAGGAAGCAGCTTATCAGGTTCATCGGTTCTTGTAAATGTTTCGGTTTTTACATTATGAACACTGAAGTGCTCTGTTTGAGGCGTTCGTTCCGTGAGGGCAGAAATATGTTGGTTTGTTTGGATTTGGTTTGGTTAGAAGTAGAAGTAGAGTAGAAAACATGGCAATAATATAAAGACAGTTAACACCGAATACAATCAATCAAACCATATCTATAATTTAGTTATGGTGGGTTAGTCTATTATGTACACAGTGCAGTTGACATTTTCGGCAATACATATATAGATACGTACATACGTACACGGGAATAGTAGGTACATATATATATAGGTAAGACTACAAGCTGTACGCCAAAAACCCAGCAGCAGGCACAAACATGCAAATAATGCTTATGCTTATGGTACGAGTTGGTTATTGTATTTGAAAAGCAAAATCAAAAGATCAGATGGTACCGATCTAAGCGGATATGCCGCATATGAGGTCGTGGATTTTTGAGTTTGGATGCTGAATGCGTCTCAAACTTCAAAGCTTGGCTGCTGCACAAAAATTAAACAATTATTCACGTACGATCTTCGCTGATTACGTTTGCACACTTTTGTTAAGCAATGTATTTAAGCAATGTTCATGTTTACTGTGAAATCAAAAGGCAAAATTGGCAAGTACTGCTACTGCAGAAATAAGAACGAACCACGACATCATATGTCACATACAGAATACAGAATGCGATCTAGAATCTAGAACCAAATTACGAGTACATCATAAGAAGCGCGCTGGGTTGGTGGGGTCTGGTTTGGGTTTGGGTGCATACAAATCAAACGATTTCAACTGTTATGGTGTGGCTAATACGAGTATAGTAGATATTGTAGTTTTAATTCGCAAATAAGGACAATGAATACGAGTACCATATATGTAAGTATATAGAGAGATGCTACAGTGAGGTTTGAATGTGACTCGACTTAGCATTCAGTTACAGTACAGTATAGTATTATCTTTAAACATATATACGTTCAATATATATATATATGGTATGCCTCCTCACTAGGAATTGCCAAAGATTACGAAAGCAACAGAACACATAATTATTTTTGCTGAAATCAAATCAAACATAAACATTGCAAACTGAAAGCCATGGTGGTTCATTGGAGTGTTCTTCGATGAGGAGTGCTCGTATGGAGATCAGCGTTCACAGTGCGGATCCCAATACGGTTTAAATTTAGTTCGTTTCTTTTTGGTTATGTTTTGTTTTTCGTTTGGGATTACCGATATCTGATTTCCGCGAGAGTATGCCAAAAGTGTTTATCTTAATGAAAAAAATCTTGTTGTAAACGCTATACGTACGAGTATGTTTAGATTAGATTAGTAGTAAATTGATTATAGGCTGTGATTTATCCATAGGCCGGATGAATACGAATACGAGTATAAGTAGTTAACAAGATAGATTACAAAGGGTAACACAAATCGAATTAGTTATATTGGAATGTAACGTAAACTGAACTCAATTGCTTAAATAGTTGTTCAAAAATTGCAAACGTAATTGTTGTACGAGTAATCATGAGTGTTGAGAGACCTACATATCTATCATCAGACGATACCCATCAGAAAAAATCAGATCAGTGAACATATATCCTAATGCCTAGGCAACTTTTCAAATTGATTGTTATTGTACATGAGAACTTACCATTAAAATACGATAGACTTAAGGTTACTTTAGTGTTCGTTTCGGTTTAGGTTTATTTGAATAGTTTAAGTTATTCCATTTATTCGATGATTTGATTATTTTCTTGTTCTGTTATGCATTGAATGAACCACAAACAACAACTCAAGGCGAAAATATTCAGCTACTTGGAATTGGGATTGCACGAGTAGAAGTACTTTGAATCCATTAATCTATAAATCAAACAAACACACAGGAAGCCCCACCAAATGAGTACATTTCTTGAAAAACTATATGCAACTACACTCTCGTCTCACGCGTACTTGGGAAATACAATTTCGAGACTAAATCCACCCGAAACGGTTGTCTGGCTCTGTACTGCAAGACTGCAAGAATTTAGAAACAAATTAAATTAAGTATATGCCCCCGCTCGGTTTTCGTCAGTCTGCTTTGTGGCTGACCCTGGCGCCGTGCACGGCCTAGCCCCTGGCCCCGGGCCCTATGACATAAGTACGCAATCGGTGGCTTGCCCATCCACCATCCTCCAATTATATAAAGACGCGAATGCAATATGCCGCTAACTGCGATTTCCTCCAGAGGACGGCTTTTGCCAGCCAGCCCTTGAGCAGCTATCCCGATAATAAATTCAAGTAAATTCTGGAACTTCAATAAGCCCAGTGCAATTGATTTGTGGATCGATCTATCGATCGGTTGGCGTTGACATTGCCCGCCATTGAATGTTATGTATACGCCGTGAGGCGCCTGCCAAACAATTAGCAATGTATGTCTCTGCGACCTTTCCCCAATGTTAGCGCAGTGTTCCACCTAATTGGATTAGTGGCTGGCAGCCAGTGTCTGGCGGCAATCTACAGCGTAGTATTGCCCCAGAGCTACGAGTAAGTATCGGGAGGATGTTGTCGCCAGATTCATTCGATGCGCTTCGGTATTGAGTTATATAGGGGATCTGGAATGATCCCTTATTTTAGTTCAGGTTTACTGCCGCACTTACAGACTTTTTTGATTAAGATACACACACTAGCAATTAGCAGTTTGCCGTTTGAGATACGCGTTTACAGATACGATTACAATTAATATAACTATTGTATTCTGGGAGCGCAATCGTTTAATGGTTGAATGGTATTTTGCATACAAAAAGCCTTTGGACCCAAATCAAGACAAACATAGAAAATGTTGGGGAGCAGAGAATAGTGGGAGTACAACTGAAGGGGATGAAACAAAATAAAAATAGTTCGAGAGAAATACTACGGATTGTGGCACAAACTCAAACGCAAATTCCAACGTAAATGAAAATAAAAAGGTGTACAGTAAATCATCGTTACAATTTATAGTCTTTTACCGAAAGAGGCAAACAGAGGAAAATATATAAAGTAAGTTGACATAACAATTACAAATTGCATAAAGAATTGAGCGGGGAGCAGGGAGCCAGCCATACACTCGTTTCATACAACCGACTTACCTATTTTTGTTATGGCAGAGACGCGCTCAAACGTCGACTCTGTGGTCGTGTGCAGCGTGGTCACATTATCGGCGAGATAATCTGTCGCCCGACCAGAATCAGAATGATAATAAGTAAGGTTGTAAAACAAAGCATCATATATGTATAGCCATTACTTACCACGCTCCAAGCTGATCAGCTCCGGCTCTTCGTTCTGCTTATCGATTTTCGTGTCGCTGGGTGTGGGCGGCGGAGTCTGGGAGTCTGGAATGTCGCTCGCTGGAAATGTAATAAATGTGAGTAAGCGAATGGATTATGGGTTTAAGTTTCACTAGGGTAGCTACCAATTTGTTTAAGCTCATCGGATATCTCAATGACTCCCGCGCTCATCTTCTTGCTGATCGTATCGCCCACAGACTTGCAGAACTCGGCATCGGTCAGGGATTTTCGTGGCTCCATAGACAGGGGAGCACTGAGACCGTCGTCTTTGATTGACACACTCAATGGAACAGTGGCTCGTTTGTCAAAGGTATTGCTATCGTGCTCAGTAAATTCCTGGACCACACTCGGCAGAATTTCCGGCTTTTTGGTAACGAGAGCGAATTCCGGTTTGGGTGTTTCGAAGAGCGAAGCATCTCCAATCGGTGCCGCCGACTCAATGCCATCGCCTTTGGACAGTTTTTCTGGCAGCACCTTGGAATCGATGCTCTTTGGCAATACTGATTGCTCAATGGTCACGGGATGCAGCTGCGTCTGCTGTTCCATGCTCAGAAAGTCAGCAGTTAGCTGACGTTCGGGCAGGGGCTCCTTCTGCTGGGTCAGCTGCTCAATTGGTTTCACTGCCTCCTCGATCAGAGTTTTCGCTGCCTGGGACTCCTTTTCCGTTTTCAGCTCTACCAATTGTTCAGCGGACTTGACAACTTCCTCAACCAGAGCTTTTGCGGGTAGGGACTGTATATGTGTCTGCTGTTCCATGCTCAGGAAATCGGCGGTTAGCTGACGCTCGGGCAGGATCTTCTTGGGCGGCTCCTCAGTGGGCTTTACAGCTTCCTGGATCAAAGTCTTGGCGGCTGGCTCCGTTGGCTTCACTGACTCCTCGATTAGTGTCTTCCTGGGCTCCACCACAGGTATCTTGCTGGCAGGCGGCGACGGTTTCACTGAGATCACCGAATCTGGCTCCGATGTTGTTGTCGATGTCAGGCTGGATTCAAGAGGATGCTGGGGGGCTTGGGGTATGCTTGGCAGTTGGCTTTGCTGCTCCATGCTTAGGAAATCGTGGGTAAGCTTGCGTGTGTCGGCGGTAGCTATGTGCTCTTCGATCTTGTGGAATGTTTCCACAACTTCGGCTATCTTTTCCGCCACCTTGTCCTCTTTGGGCTGCACTTGTGCGAGGGGCTTGTCTTCGATCGTGACTGTCTTCTCCATTTTGCTGGCAATCTCTGAATGCTTCTCAGATTTCACAACCTTCTCCTCGACCTTGTGGAATGTGTCAATCAATTCAGAAAGCTTTTCGGTGAGGGTTTCTGCCTTGGCTGCAATCTCTGGCTGTTCGGCTGGCTTGTCTTTTGGCACCTCTGCACCCAGGCCTGCTGCTGTCATAATGCTGGCGGTAGGGGCCACCAGATCGTCCAGGACTCTCGACTCTCTGTCGACCAGCTTCTCTACTGATTTGCGTGGCTCCACCTTGGGTATCTTGCTGGCTGCTGGCACTGCCTTGGGCTCGGCGGCCAACTTCTCGCTATGCAGGAAGTCGTGGGTCACCTTTCGTGTGTCCACCACATCTCCAATCTTTTGGGCATCGCCCGCGGAAGTTTTGACTGGTATTTTGGAAATGGGCTTCTCGGGCTTGCTCTCGGCTGTCAGGTCGCCTTCAACTTCTGCCACAGCACGTGGGGCCGCAGTCGGCTTCATGGACTCCTCGCTTGGCTTTCTCACAAGTTTGGGTATTTGGGTTTTTGGTTCGCCGCCATGAAAGTCGTACTTAACCTTTTTCGCCTCGAATTCGGCGATTGTCTCCTCGATAGTTGTACTCTCGATGACCTGTACGGTCTTCACCTGTTCCTGGGCCACTGTCTTAGCGTCCTCCAGATGTTTAATGGTCTCGCTGACCTTCGTTGTCTCGGGCGCTGGCTGGCTCGGCAGGATTACGGCACTGTCTTCCGTTTTTGCGCTCTCGAAGGAGCTAATAATGTTCTCCACCTTCTTGCTGGCGATCTCAGTCACTTCGCTGATAAAGTGCTCGACCTCCTTCACAGTTTCCGGCGTCACTGAGGCCATGGGGCTAGTCTTCTTCTCCTTTACCTCCTCAACAAACTTCTCGTGCACTGTGTCCGTTGTGGAAGTTGTCGCCGGGAGTTGGCTGCGTTTCTCAATCTCCAGGAAATCCTCGGTGATATCCCGCGCCTCCTGACGAGTGATGGTCGTGGCCCGACTGAAAGCTACTGCATCTTTCTCCGTTTTTTCGGTAGAACTGATGTCCTGTACAATCTTATTTATGGCGTCGGGGGATGGCTGTTCCTCCTCCTCAGAGCTGCGGCCGGATGACTTGAACTTGTGCGTCAGCTCCTTGTCGAAGTCGCTCTTGCTCACCTCCGTGGAGTCCATCTTGCCCATCTTCATTTTCATGACTTGTTCGGGCACAGCCGCTGTCTTGATGATCACATTGTCGGCGGGCAGCTGCATAAGGATCTCGGACTCGTGATGGGCCTTCTTATCCTCGATCAGACTCTTTCGCTTGATTTCGGTTATTTCGCGGTTGATTTCTTTCTTCTGCGTTGAGGCAGGTATGGAACGCTCCACGGACAGGCGCTTGACGATCTTCTCACGCCTCTCGGCCACGGTCCGTTTGACTTGCTCCTCGTCGGACTCAGACTCCTCGACCTCCTTCTCCTCGGCAGAGTACTTGACTTCTTCACGTTCGTTGATCTGCTGGATTCGCTTGCCTGAAATTATCATCAAGAGTAATGTAATCTCTTGACTGATGGAGTGAGAGTCCTCTACTTACTTTCTCTGCGAACCAGCTCTTCCACGGATTCCGAGTTCTTCATGATGTCCGTCTCGTCAAACTCGCGCGAATGCGAGAGTCTTCCACTCTTGCACTTTTTCATGATGTCGTCTCGTCCGATGTCCTTGAGCGCCGTCTCTAGGGACAGGATGTCGTAGTTTGGCTTGTCCTTGTAGAGGCGGATCATGCTCTGAGCCTGCCTGGCTATGCTGTCGGTGTTCTGGTTGATGATCTCGTCGATCTCCTCCGCGTTGATGCCGATCTCTGGCGCCAGCTGTATCCAGTCCTTGCCCAGCAGATTGGACAAATCCACAATGCGAATGTCGCCGATATAGTGATCGTTCTGGTGCTTGCTCAAACTGAACATGGAGGTTCTGTAGGCGGAGGTGACGCGGTCTGAGAACGCTGTGGTCGAGTCCGGTATCACCGCCTCTGGCAGCACGATGTTCAGTATGCAGATGGGTTGCTGTGGCGGCTCGCCCTTGGCCACTTTGGGCTCCTTCATGAACAGGGTGCGGCCCACGATGTCAGCATGCTGATCCTTCACACGCACCGTGAAGGGCAAACGGTTCTCTCGGAAGGCCTTGAACTGGAGCTGCAGCTGGTCTCCGGACTTGGTGACAGGCACCAGGTTGCCGGCCATCTCAATGTACTGCGGCTTGCCTTCGAGCACCTCCACGTCGCGACTCTTGGCCACCTCCGTGTAGAGCTCGTGCTTCTCCAGAGTCTTGTCCTCGCGGTCATCGGTCATGCAGAAGACGCGCAGGCGGGCCTCGAAGGGTTCAATTTTCTTGGCGAACACCACAAACTTGGCTATGAAGGGTACATGAATGACTTCCCTGAATGGAGAATGGAGATTATGAATAGATTATAGATATGGAAACCATGCCACTGAGGCACTGAGGCCAGCGCACTCACTTGTAAAGCTCTGTGGCCATCTTGGTGGCATCGGAGATGTTGCGGCAGTCCATTAGCCAGAAGCGAGCCGAAACGGTGGTCGTGAAGGAGACACAGTCGTTGACAAAGGTCAGAGGCGTGGAGCCAGTGACATCCTCCCATTGGGCACGGGACGGTCCGCCTGACGAGGTAGGGGGTAGACGGTAGATGGGAGACGTTCAGTTATTTGGCACACAAACACCAAAGACACAGCATATGTAAATGGGGTATACGCATAGACTACATATTGTATGTAAAAACTCTTTGAAAACTCTACTTTTGTCTCATTAGCAGATTGAATATTGAAATCCAAAATGGTTTGAACTAATTTCACAAACGAAACCATAAAATTGAACTTAAAATCTTGTTCAGAGAGAGAGAGAATTACAATTTGTGTGTGTGTGTGTGTGTGTTAATTACAAAGCATTTATATGGAATAGGAAGGTATTATTGTATATAGTATGTATAGTACGAGTAGTATATGGTATAGTTTTAAAATTGTACGAGTATTTAGCGATAAGTATTGGAAATATTAAGTAAGTTTCTTCATTTTTTATGTATGTATGTATGTAGCATATATGAAATATGGAATGCATCGCATGTCGTGATCTTTGACTGAGTGTTGTAAGTAGTGTGGTGAGTGGACACTGTGGTGTGGTGGAGTGTATGGTTAGATGAGTGGCACTTTGATTTCAAGCATTTTTGGTTTTTTGATTAATTTATTAGGGCTGTAGCATTTACAGAGGTACGAGTACTAGGGTACTTGTTGCGCTTACTTCGAAGCCGTTTCGAAACAACATGCTTAATACTTTGGAAAAAAACATATTTCTTTGGTTTCTCTTGAATGGTAAATAAGTGAGCGTGTCACGTGTTTCTTGTTGTAAATGTGTTCAAAACAAACGAAAATCCCAAACCAAACGAAACAAAACAAAAAATCAAGAACAAATCAACAAGTAAATCATACGATTGGAAACTTCAACTGACTTCAGGAATATACATAGTAAAAGTAACCGTCTACTTTTAGACATTATATTCAGATATACATATATCGTTATTATCGCTTGCCATAGCCATTAGCTTTAGCTTGACTCTCGGTTCTTCCTCAATAGTTGATATTTGTTCTGTTTCAGAAAAGTTCTCTTTGGTGCCACAAACAGTAGAAATTCGAAATTGATCATTCATATTTGGTTCTTTTTTTATTTTGGAAAACATTTAATGTACAGAATATTCTGCTTTATGTGTAACGCGAAATAAAAGCAAACAACAAAAACGTTTAACTCTCAACAAATAACAAATAACCAAACAACAATCAGGTGCACAACATTCCAACTGAAATGGTTATGAAATGTTAAGCTGGAAAGCCTTAACAAGTAGATATGTATGTATATGTGTGTGAATGGATTTAGAATCAAATCATAAACCAAATAGAATGGAACTCAACAAGTCAAGGTAGTAGATCTGGCTTTTAGTACGGTTTCAATGGCCCAAAGAGCAACTTTATTTGGCTTTTAGTTAGCTTACAAAAACCTACGAAACTGTTGAATAAAATTGTGCAGTTTAGGTATCGTATGTCGTATATATTTGGCAAAAAACCGCGTGCATTCAGAAAGTCGCTTAGTAGTTCTTTTTATGGTATATTATAGGGAGAGATTGTTAGAGAAATAGTTAGTAGAAGGCAGCAAAGACGTTTGCATCACAAGCTTAAGGTTCGAAAAAGTACGATAAATTGGAAAACTAAGCTGCTTGGAAGAGTCGGAAGCAAAATCTTGGCCCAGAGAACTCTGCCAATGGGAGTGGGGTCAAAAGCGGTATCCAAAACAGAAACCCAAAAGATAACCCTGAGCTTCTAAAACTCGTTTAAGTAGTAAACCCAAAGAGGCAGCGAGACACGAATTGAAGCAAAGAACTAAATTAAAATCAAAACAAAAGTACAACCGAAAACCGAATAATCAATGAACAAAAAAATTAAATGGAAATGAATATCTTTCAAAGCATAGAGAAGTTGGAAAATAAATTTTTGAAATATTTGCAATAGTTGGTTTTAACAAGAGAATTTATCATAAATAAAATATGCAGAATTTTCAAATTTTTTGTCAAATTTTCTTTCTTGGGCTTTGTTATTTGCCTTATTTTCGCAACACAACCAACCATACCATGTGGTAATGGTTATTGCTGATTAATCATTAAGTATTGTATTTTATTTTGTTTGGCATAGAACGAAACAACTAAATATGAACAAATAACGATTTGATAGTTTTTAAACAGTTTCAATTTGAAACCTCATACATGTTTGTGAATTTCTGAATTTGTATTATTTATTTTTAGTATTTGTGACATTTGAGCCATTGTTTTAGTTACCTTTTAGAGACCTTTTCCGAAACACACCTTCAATGGATTGAGAAAACAGAACGGAATGCGTGCACACATATGCAATGACGCATTAGTACGAAATTATAGAACAATTACATAAATATGTTTTCAATCAAGAATTGAAATTGAAGTTTGTTTGGTTTTTGTTTTGTTTTTTATTTGTCTTTTGCTCAACACTAAAATTATCATCGAAAATCAGGAGAACTCAACTGAAACTTAAACGGTAAACCGAAACGAACGAACGAACGTAAAGAGTAACGAAGAGAATATTAAGAGAGTAACGGAACAAACACCGTTAGGCACAATGAGAGGGAGTAGACACACTGAACATGACATTGAGGTTAGAGCGGAGTAAGTGTCACAGGAAGAGTTGTAATTTGTTTTAACTGTACTTCTTATCTTGTAGTGTCGTGTCCTGTGTTGTTTTTGTGTGTGTATGTGTGTGGGTGTTGTGGATGTACATGTATGAGCGTATCCGTGTCTGTATGTAAAGGTGAATGACGAATGCTCTACAACTGGGCTAAAATTCAACGAGATTACTCGATACGATACGATGCGAGGCGGGGGCGATATCGAAACATGGCGTGGCGGGGCCCTGCCGGAACACCCGAGAACAACTTGTAGCATCTACCACACAGACACAAGCACAATGGATATCAGATGGGAGAGACCTACACATACTATACAAACGAATTGGACCGAATTTACGGAGCCATCTTTGAATATGCTCCCTAGATCTTTTGTTCTTTTGATATTTTTTGTTGGCAATTTATCTCTGTACAACATTATGCATAGGTACTTGGGTTGGATATTTTAGGTAGTAGTATATGGCATTATGGTATTTATAGAGTACTACTTATTAGCACATGATATACTTTTATTCTAAATGTTATAGACAACTAAAATGAACGAAACAACGAAAGCAGATACGAAATCAACTTAATCAAAGCATATAGTATACACTCAAAAAATCATAACCAGGAATGAAGTAAATGAAGGCCTGAGAAATAGGTAGATAGGAGAGAGAGAGAGAGACAGAGAAGGGGGTTGTAGGTTGGAGGTTGAGGAGGATCTGTACTGGTAAACATCAACTAACGTAATGTAAATGTAAATGTAAGTGGGGGTAGGTATACTCATAATAGTTAGAATAACTGCTTGGATCACATTTTACAAACAACACAAAAGATCAGATGGCGAATCGGTAACAGCTACAACTTACCTGTGATGGAGCATAGCAGCCGCAGGGTTGGCGTGTTGCCCGAATACTGATTGATCATCCCCTGGCTGTGGGCCTTCGGAGCCGGCATGCTGAGTGTGATGGCCTTGTGGAACTTACGGCGGCGCGGCTCTACCGTCACTATCGGCGATACGGCCACACCGCGACCCAGCAGCTTGGCGGTTAGATCGGGATCGACCGGCTGGGCCTAGAACGAGAGCGTAACGAATTTCGGATTGGCATAATAGACAAAAATCGATTCCCCGGCCACGCATACGCATATAGTATGTACCAAGTACATGAGATGAACATAACATAAAATTGTAACATAAATCCATAACAAAAACCAAGTAAGATATACGAAATATGCGCCTCTTGTTTGTCACACAACATGAAATTAACGTACTATTAAACTATTAAAATAAAATGAAATGAGTCTGGGGCTAAAAGGGTGAACATTTTCGATTTGATTCGACCAGCACTCGCCTTGGCGTTTTTTTTGGGTCGTGTGTTTTGTTTTTTTTGTACAATGATTATTCAGTTTAATGTATTATGCATATCGTTTTTCGTATTCATGGTGGTATTGAGCAATTGTTTCAGCATGTTTCAGTTAAAATACGGTATAAGTTAACTACAAACGATAACAATGTTCAAGCCCATTTATGTCCCAATAAATTTAGTCATCAAAAAAACTTTGACTACAACTGAAGAATATTTCAAAGAACTTAAAAGCTTTATACAATTTATACAGAAAACAAAAATTCAAAACGGAAAAATATTTAGGAAGAATTTAGATAAGAGATATTATAGTAGAGGAGTAGATACAGAGAAAATGCAAATAAAACGTGCGAAAAGTTCGAACTCATGAGTGGGGGCCATTATAAAATCGTTTTTTGCTTACGATGCGATGCCGTAAGGCTAAAAATGTTACAACTTCGTTTAGGCACTTCGAACCGGGACCCAATTGTAACTTTCTAAGTATTCTTTTCTTTACCTCTTTTTATTATTTTTTTATATTTGTTTTGAAAAAGCAATTGAATGAAAAATGAATCAAATGAAAAGTAATTAAAACATTTTCATTGGCATAAAGTTTTTGTTGAACTAAATTTATTGGGTAGTACTGCATTTCAGAGAACTTGTATAATCTTATGCATAAGTAGATCATAAATAATGTATGAATAATAGTTTAAAGTAGTTATAGCATATTGGTTAATGTATCATAATATTTCCGATTTCGATAATCATGTATTTCTCTTGACAATTTCTTTACGCGAGCATTTATAGAAGTCGCTCTTGATCCATGATCAACATCAATAGTTTCATATATATTGTATATGCATATAAGTATTATTGAATGTCACTATCTGCATAGCATCTATCATCTGTGATAAGTTAGCAAGAGGAAGCCGATTTCGCAATGGTTCCACATATGTAAGCTGAGTGCCGTAAAGTTCTTAGGTGTTTCGATAAGTTCAAACCAAGTGCACATATTTCATACATAAATAACATTTGAAGTATGTTCTGAAGCCAGGCATGCAAAGGCCACTCACAGTTTCAGGAATGACACACTCAAAGGAAGTTCCGTCACTGCGAATCGCCTTTGCATTGTGCTGAGTATTGAGTTTACGAGTAAGTACAGGTGCATACCATCTACCATACTTCTACACAGAGGACTAAGGGGGCGGGTTAACATAGATGGTTACTGGTTACTGGCTATTGGATTGTATTTTTGGTTATAAATGCGTATTATCTACTTTGGAAAACGTATTTTGCATTCTTTGGAGTTTGATTTTAATTTTGATATTCATTTCAGGGAAGTTGTAGATTAAATGCACGATTATATATGCTGACCGATAACGTATTTTGTATTTAGTATAGATATATTTCGACGTTTTTGGCCTGCTTTTGGTTTGGCTCTGTGATTTACCAGATGAGCGAGAAGCGCTTCTTCTTGGGCACATGATTGACGCTAATCTTGCGTAGCTTCTCAGGCGCAACGCCTTTTCGCGGTTTAAAGAGGTTTACCTGTAAGCCAACTTTGATCTTCTTGGTAAGGGCTCCCTGGGGGAAGACGGCCTGCACCTGCGGTACCACAGTGCTGGAGACCATGCCGCCCTCCGGCCCAATGGCATGCACTTCCTGGCGAATGCGCGATACGACAGCAAAGTACTGAGGAAAGTCGTAGGTGACAAAGCGGCACACATGATTGCCGGCTTGCTCCTCCAGTTGGGCAATTTCTACACAGGAAAGAATAAACGTTATAATCAAGGAAAATCAGGCCCACCCCTGACTCACCCTCTGGCTCGAAACACTGCTGCAAGACGTCGTGGATGATCTCCTCCGAGTTGTCGATAGAATGCTCGCGCCAGGTCTCGCCATTGTCCGAGCGTAGAATAATGATCTCGCGCTCCTTGCCACGTAGCGAGGCGAAATGCGGCACCTCCATGACGACGGGGCCAATGAACTTGGTGGAGCAGGGACCCAGCTCCAGCACGCGGCTGGCCAGGGCCTCGCCCTCCATCAACTGCGGCGGATGCATGGTCCGCTGTGGCTTCACATAGCGACAGGTGACCCGCGTCGGCTGGCAGGTGGAGCGCGATGGAATGATCATGCGCACGCCACTGTGTCGACATCCGCGCATGGCTCCGCCTCGTGCATCGACCAGGAAGGAGACCAGGAAGCTCTTCCAGCTCAGTTTGCGGCTGCAAGACAATCCCATTAGACACCATAACTCAAAACAAAAATCGAATTTACTCACCCCACGTGCGGCGGCTCATCGTGTCCATGACCGTTTGCTATGTAGACACCATCCACGGTGGCCTTGGGAGAGTTGCCATACACTTGTGCCTTGTGTGGACTGATCAGCTCCTCCCCAATGGTGGGCGGCACACCGCCGGCATACTCAACGCTCTGGGTCATGCGGTTGGAGTCCATGCGCTCGTCGCGGGTCACATCAATGGGCAGCGAGTCGTCGCCTAGGGATTTCATTTCATCAACAGTCAGATAACGGTATGGTTGATCTGATAGCATATTGTCTTCGCCTAGATTTTGGATACGGTTTCGATTGCGATTGCGTTGTTTTCGATGCGATTCGGTTGCATTCCATATCGGTTTTATTTTGATAAAGCACAAGACAGTCCAATTGGCCATATAGTAGCGTTGATTGTAGTTGTAGTTGCAGTTGCAGTTGTTGGTGTATTTGTAGTGTTGTTGTTGTAGTTTTTTATTGTTGTTGTTGAGTTGCAGAGTTGGAATGAGAGCAAGAGCGATAGGGCGGTGCATTGAAAGTAGAAGAATGCAAATGAGTTTGATTTTAGTTAAACAATTTTGTATGTATCGACATGCTTCATTTTGTATTGTATAATCGGTATAATAATATTTGATATAAGGTGATATAGTATGTAAAGCTAGCATGACCATTAAACAGGAGCATATATGTATATTATTAGATTGATACAATAGAATTTGATAAAGGATATACATGGGATACACAAGTACATATATACGAGTAGTAGATATATTTCATGCCATGGTACGAGTAAAAGTAAATACGGGAACATTTATCTGCATCGGAGCGCTGGAAGTCAAATCAAAAGTCTCTCTGATATTTCGGTTCCTTGATATCAGAGAATATATAATCTCAAAGGTTGAGTCGTTTCAGATTACATATATACATTTTCTGGAACGCTATTGATCGATTGAATGTTCTGTTGTAATTCCAACGGACCGACGAATAGAACAAATATAATAATGAAACTTCATCGGACAATATATAGAAAATTGGACAAATCAAATCAAAAATTTAGAAATCACAAAGGAAACAATGAGGATTGGAAAGTAGTTGAGTCTCTGCACTCATTTGATTTACAACAACGGCAAGAATTAATTTTTACATTGATACAGTTCAGCCCCATATCAAGTGCCATATATTGTGTATACATTGTGAGTATATCGATTTATGGGTTAACTTTGGTGGTCAATCTCAGACTCAGAATCCAATTACAGCCAAATTAGTGCACTTGATAACGGCCAGTGGGTAAGATACGAATACGATTACGAGTAGAGTTAGGAGTTACGAGTTTTTGCAGTTGCTGGCAAGGCCTTGCCAACCCTGTGGACACTTACTGGTGACATAGAGTGTGTCGCCCTGGTAATACGGCATGTAGACGTGAGTGTCTGGCCGTGTGTGGCGATGACTGTGGCTGTGGTCAATGCCAATGCCGTACTCGTAGCACGCGTCCAATTCCCAGTTTGTGTGACCTGACGGCACACATGAAAGCGGGGGGATTTCACTTAAGTCTAGGCATAAATCTATGGGCTTTGGGTGTGGTCGTGGACTGTATGTGCTGGCGTACTAGCATGGCGCAAGTGTGGGATGGATCAAAGTGTAAGACTAGCAGGAGATACGTACCGCCTTCTTCCTCGGAGTCGGACATAAACGACTCGTGCATGGCCTCCGGGGCAACGACGCGATACTTTTCCTCGGTCTGGGCTGGTGCGGTACCTGCCTCATCCTCTGTGGTGATGGACTTCAGCGAGTCCAGCACACTGATGTAGCCAAGCTTGCGGGCAATATTCAGGGCCGTCTGCCCGTTGACGGTCTGGGCATTCGCGTTGGCCTTGTGCTCCAGCAGTAGGTTGACAATGTGGCAATGTCCCTGCTGAGCTGTCTGATGCAGAGGAGTGTAGCCAATCAATGTGGCTGCATCCACGTTCGCGCCATTCTGCAGCAGGAAGCGCACCATATTCGCCTGTCCGAAGTGTGAGGCGACGTGCAGGGGCGTAAACCCAGCCTTAGTGGGCATGTCGATGCTAGCGCCATTGCGCTGCAGAATCTCGGCCACATTCACATTGTCCTCCTGAGCGCACAGATGCATGGGAGTGAGGCCGTTCTTGGCCGGGTGATTCAGAGCTGCCTTGTGTTCAATCAAGAGGTTGGAGATCTCGGCATGTCCTTCTTGGCTGCTCAGGTGCAGCGGAGTAAATCCGGCCTTGCTCTCGGCATTGGCCTGGGCGCCGTACTCCAGCAGAGTGGTGGCAATGTCCATCTGGTTCTTGCGCGCCGCAATGTGCAGCGGCGTGTGTCCGTTCTTGGCGGTTGCATGGGGGCTAGCGCCCTTTTCGAGGAGCAGAAGGGCCACCTGCTGGTTATTGTAGTGGCAGGCCACATGGAGCGGAGTCACTCCATTCTTGCCCTGTGCGTCCACATCAGCCTCCTTCTGCAGCAAAAGCTGCGCCATCTTGATGTGCCCATATTTGGCCGTCAGGTGCAGCGGCGTGAAGCCCTTCTTTGTGGTGGCATTCAACGCAGCCCCGTTCTCGATCAGCACGGCTGCCACCTGAAGAGTTGTGGACGAAAATGTACATTTTACCAAACGGTTACCAAATAATCTCCCGATTCTGTGCAAAAATGAAAACCGAAATGATCGCAAATGGCGGAATGCAAGTGCAAGGAACTTTCGAGTGTGACCAGGTTCTACGAAAAGTACTATAAAAGAAGACAAATAATACCATACTACAAAAGAAAACAAGGTGGCAACATTTATTTGAAAAAAAGACAACAACGGAAAAGAAAGAAAGAGACAACAGTAATTGGTAATACTCATATTAGTCGATACAAAAGATAAAAACGATACTAATGCAACGGAATATAAGAACTTAAAATCAAATGAAAAACTCCTGATGCCGTATCCAAAACAATTGCATCAGATAGACAGTATCGATGTGGTCCGTGATCTTTTTCGCAATCAATTCTTTTACCTCGTCCTGGCCCTCCTTGGCGGCAATGTGGAGCGCCGTGTACATGTCCTTGGTGGTGGCATCCACCTGAGCGCCGTGCTGCAGCAGCAGCATTACAATGTCAACGTTGCCCAGTCGGCTGGCAATGTGCAGCGGAGTCTGCTGCTCCCGAGCACGTGCATCCACCTGAGCGCCATTGCGCAGCAGAATTCGAATGATGTCGGTCTGGAATGAGCAATGTCAGAATAAAATTCAAATATTTTCATTTCGATAAGTGTGCAGCTATCGATGCTGGGCAAATCGATACCAAGTACATATCGCTTATCAAAACGAAGCTTCGATAACGAGACATCGACGCCGAGACGACATATTTCTTTTTGTGAAATTTTGCGAAACTAGTCACATTCCCGTTCCCCGTGAAACTCCACCGAAATGTTCATCCCCAAGGCAAATCGTATCGCCATCTACGAGTACATCTGCAAGGAGGGCGTCATGGTGGCCGAGAATGATTACAAAATCCAGCACGACGCGTTGAAATTGATCCCCAACTTGCAGGTCATCAAGACCATGCAGTCGCTGGCTTCGCGCGGCATCGTCAAGGAGCAGTACAACTGGCGTCACTACTACTGGTATGTGACCAACGAGGGCATCGACTACTTGCGCAAGTACCTCCACTTGCCCCCAGAGGTTGTGCCCTCTACCTTTATGCGACCCGCTCGCGATCCTCACACTCGCCCGCGCCCACGTCCAGCTGATGCCAAGCCACGTGACGCCGACGAGGACCGTGCTGCCTACCGCCATGGCCCGCCCAGCGGCAACGAAACGGACAAGAAGGGAGACATCGGAGCCGGCACTGGCCAGTTCCAGTTCCGTGGCGGATTCGGACGCGGCAAGCCCGTCTAAACTTGAATTTTTTTGTATGTACAAATAAAATGCACCAAACTTTTGTGAAATTCCCAAAGAACGCGCAGACATTTTTTAAGGTTATGTTTTTTTGTGTGCACGGCAAACTCACCTGATTGGCACGCGCTGCCAGATGCAATGGCGTCTCGCCACGCACAGTGGGCACATCCGGACTGGCGTCGTGCTGCAGCAGATAGATGACAATGTTCATGCATCCCATGAAGGCAGCCACGTGCAATGGGGTCAGGCCGCTCTCCGTGGTGGCGCTAATGCTGGCGCCATGGCGGAGCAGCAGCTCCACGACCTTTAAGCGGTTCTTCTTGCAGGCAATGTGCAGTGGCGTGAACCCGTTGAGGGCTCGAGCATTTGCATCTGCGTTGCGGTCCAGCAGGAGCTTGGCCACGCGCACATGTCCGCAGTGGGCGGCGACATGCAGAGCAGTCAGATAATCGACGGTGACCTCGTCGACGGGCGCGCGATGGTAGAGCAGGATGCGGGCGGCATCCACATGCTCTCCCTGGGCCGCCATATGGAGGGGAGCCAGTCCGTTCTTGGTCTTGGCGCTAATGGGGGCACCGCGCTCCAGTAGCATATCCACCACCTGTTCGTGTCCCGAGCGTGCGGCACAGTGGAGCGGAGTGAGCCCGTCGCGGGTCTTGGCTTCGATGTTGCCGCCTTTTTCTAGCAGCAACGAGACCATATTGGTCTTGCCCCACTTGGCAGCCACGTGCAGTGGACTGATGTTGTGCTTGGCCGAGTAGTTGACGTCGGCGCCCTTCTGGATCAGCAGGTTGGCTATGTTCTGGTTGCCGTAGTGCGAGGCAATGTGCAGCGGGGTGAAACCCGACTTGGAAGTCACATCCGGATTGTGGTCATTCTATGGGGATGGAGGAGGAGAATGGAATCCACATTAGTAACTCTCTGGTTTGTTTTCCAGGGTCGGAATACTCACATCTAGGAGAAGGGAGGCAGCCTTCACGTCGTCCTTCTTGGCTGCAATGTGCAGGGCCGGCAGACGCACCTTTCCCCGAGTATCGCTCTCGAGGAGGACGGCTACGACTTTATCGTGGCCCTGCTGCATGGCCACGGCCAGCGGCGTGAACCCATCTTCGGTGGCCAGGCTCTGGTTGGCGCCGTTGGACAGCAGCAGGCGCACCACAGCATCGTGGTTCTCCTGAGCTGCCATGTAGAGGGGAGTGAATCCATTCTGCGACTGCACATTGACGGAGGCGCTGTGCTCCAGCAGCAGCTTCACCACCTCCTCCTGTCCGGCCAGCGAAGCAATGTGCAGCGCCGTGTTGCCCTTCTTGGTGGCACTGTCCACGATCGCTCCTCGTCGCAGCAGCTCCGAGACGACGTGTATATGGCCATCCTTGGAGGCCAGATGCAAGGCATTCAAGCCGTTCTATGTACCAAATATTGAATAGATTAGTGGGGTGCTTTGCCAAGTATGCCATCAGGTATTACCGCATTGCTGGTGTTGATGTCAATGTTGTTCTTCAAATGCTCGAGGACACGCTCCAGATTTCCGGCGCGAGCAGCACGCAGGAAGGAAGTGTTGCCATCGCCCTGTAATGATAGGATGAATCAATTTTGGGATCAGAATTATATACTTAAAGTGCGAGTACCAACTAAGAGAAAGCTTTAAGACAGATTTAACTTCTATAGGGCACGTCCAAGTAGTACTCCACAAAAAACAAACCTAGTTATATATGTACATAGGTGCTTATGTATACTTAATTTAGCCAGGAAAAGGTCAGCAAGAATTTATAGCCTGGCAACATATCACCTACAATTCCATCCATCTTGGCAGTGTTTCCGTTCAGCAGTTGCGTGCCACCTGCGTATCCATCAACGAGTGGAACAAGGGAGGTTGCACTTGGAGTTTTATTGATAGTTGCCATGTACCCGTAACCTTCGTTGCGCAACTCCACGCGCGGTGCCCCGAACTAGACTCGGAAACTACTTGCACCTGCACCATTCACCGTTCACCGACTTCTGCCCCTGCCCAGCACTCGCTGCCGACTCAAGTTCAACCCAACAACGAGGCGACGACGGTCAAGGGGAGGGGTCAAAGTCGGGTTCAGGTGTAATTTGGCTTAGTGGCCACCACCCTACACCCATCCACCCAATGGGGGGACACAGCTGTCGATTTTATCGCACGGCACTCTCGTTTTGTTTATGTTTTCTTTTGTGGAGGGCTTTACGCCCCGCCGCTTCCAGGCATTCGACATCGAAAGTGACGTCATGTCACGGCGTTTGCGAATTGCAACTGGAAGTTTTCGCACTGGAAGGCATTCAGCCGACGCGACGCCGATGCCGACGTAGTGGCCGCAGCACAGACACCTCGCCAGACCCGCTTCCTTTCGGCGTTCCATTCGAAGCTGTTGCAATTCAAAGGCGAGGGCTCGACCATGTGCCCGACACTGGGCCCAGCTCCTCGTACTCCTCCTCCACCAAATGCGGAAGTTGGGGAACGAACCAAAGCCGCCTTTCAGGCTCATTTTGTATGCCCTGAGCATACATACTCGTATGAGGACGAATTCAAAAGAAGGTTATTTTCGACACTGCTTCCTGGTGTCTGCTTGCCCAACCGGAGGGGGGCAGGGCCAGTGGCAGGGCGCTGGGCTCTTTAGAAGACTTGGGCAAATGTGGACTCTGACGATGGCCAGGGGCGAGGGCAAAAGTTCAAAGGTGCTTGCCTCACCATTGTATAACGAGCTGCTCCACACTCGCACTCGGGGGCAGATTGGGTGCTTGAGCCAAAGGAGTGGAGTCGTTTCCTTCAAGTGGATTTGCTTTCAATTTGTGTAGCAAAATGGTGACCCAAGTGGAAACATAATCGAAAGCTAAGTGGATGTCATTATAGGAGCAACAAAGAATTAGTTGGCACCGGAGTGTCAGATGAGAGAGAAATGACTCATAGTATGGATTTTTCCCCATCTCGTCGCGACGAATGTCGCATGTCATCAGCGCCGCTAACCTAAATCTCCATTACCTTACACTACGGGCACACGCACGCACCACACCCAGTTCCGCTCGTAGCCCTTGCTGGTGGTGGCACCGCTCCCCAATCGTCGTCCAACTAGTTACGGCTACCAACAATTAACTATTTTTAGCTTATTGTCCCAGCAAAGATCGTAAACGCCCCACAAATCAGAAAGGGGAGTCGGAAAAATCAATAAACTTCTGCAGTTGGTGGCCCCAAAAACGGGTGTGACCTCAAGGTCTCCACTTGGACAGAGACTGTGGCCTCCCAAAACACCATCGAGGCTCCACTTAAACATCATATTTAACACATTTTGGGCTGAATTTAATCCGATTTTCCGCCAGACAACGAAAAATCGATAATGCGCAAAATGGACGCCAACATGGCTGCCCCCACAGTCGCATAGTAGGGCCGAAAAGTCTACGTGCGCTGAAAAGTAGATGGGATTCAAACTCTGATGGATTACCTGAGCTCCATTTTCAGTGACCATCTTTGCCAGTTGAGAAAATTTGTCCGCTTATGATAAACCTTTCCACGTCTGCGATTGCGATTCGGGGGTGTAGAGAAATTGTGTAAGCGGCGGCTTTCGCGTTGTATGTCGTCACTGATTAGTCATATTTTTTCTTTTCACTGGGCAAAACTCTTACGCGGTGCGAAGTTTTCACTGTGACTCCTTTCAGATTTTTCTCTGAATTTTAAATGCACTCCTATCGATTTTTCCTTGGACTTTATGTAAGCAATATGTACACGAGAAGTGCAAGGGTGTGCGAGGGTGTGTTGTATTATGTGCACGAGTGTATGTCCGTGTGGTGTGTGCGTCAGTGTCCGTGTATTTGTCGCAGTGACTGTGGTGGTGTATCTGTAACTGTATCTGTGTCCGTGTCTGATTGGATTCCTAACTGGTCTCACACACACAGTCCCTTCGGGGTTCACGTTATTTTGAGGAGCAGTTAGCACTTTGCTGCCGTTTTCTTCAATGTTCAACTCCAGACTGGATGCGTCTGCCCAGCGAAAAGTCCTACCTAGTCGTGGCTGGAATTGTCGGCGACGCCAGGATTTCGAAGGACCTGCGCACTCGCCATTTCCAATTGGAAATTGGAATACGTTTGCGACAGGGGTTGCTTCTGCTGCTGCTGCTGCGGCTGGTTCCTGGAAATTGAAGTGACTGTGGAAGTGGAAGCGGAAACGAGTGGACCACCACTACCCCTACCATCCCCCAAGAGACACGTGCCTGTTGTTTTTGTTGACGTTCTCATGGATGGTGTGGAAGCAACTCGCACGTGCTTTCAAGGGAGAGCTGGGATAAAGCCATATCAAGGGACTGTTCTGAACAAGATTTATTGTTTTTAAAGAAACTTTAAGTAAGTCCTGGAAAGTCGAAGTAAAATCATCAAATCAGGGCTTAAATGAGACTCGGATCAGTTTTCGAAAATAGTTTCTGTTTTGTTGAAATACAAAAGCTTAACGCAGATTATTTGTATATTGATTCGTGTATCCCATAATTGAAGGGAGACCTTATTTTACTTAAACCTCTTTCCAACAGTTGGATTCGAAGAAAGATTCACTAGGACTGGTATCATTAGTATATCTATATCTAGAGACATCAACCAAAATTACTTCAACAGCAAATTTTTTGTGCTATTGAATCCTTAAGATTGCCACAGCCTTAAGTTGTGTTATGTTTGTAATTTGAGAAGAATGCCAAGCCATTAAAGTTTCCGCAGAGCAAACAAGATGTGTGTTTATACAAGTCCTTATCCAGCCATGGCATGGGTGTAACTATCCCAACAAGACCCGAATTAATCTTACCCTCATTGCTGGCACATTTACCAGCCCCGCCGAGCCGCCGGGGCATTAAATTCCACCGACATTTTCAGTTAACACATTACACTAATTAGCTAAGCACACAGACATCATCCAGTGGATCCGCCCCGAACCTCTCCCATGTTCCCATGGTTCTAGCCTTGCGCTTGGCTGCTTGGTGCTTGCTCCGGAGTCCGAATTTTGTTGACTGAGCGTAAACAAGGGCCCGGCGGATGGCAAACACAATCCACAGTTGGTTGAGGGGTGGCAGATGGCCGAGGGCTTCCTGCCAGCGAGGAGGGATTCTCATTCTCCGCCGCGCAGACGCAGTGCCTCGGACTGGATGTTGTTTACGAGTTGTATTTCCCGTTTCGAAGTCGCTTCGTTTTCGAAAATCACACACCCAACCCCCACCCAGAGGCCGCATCTGGAGGCCACATCCCCATCAGATGCGTATGCATTCCCGGTCACGTTGTGCCCAGTAAGCCAAGCCACGGCACGGCACAATTTCAGTTGTGTTCTTCACTTCTGGTCGGATTTCTTTGTTCTCCGGCAAATTAGACAGCAGTGCGAACAGGAAGAGAATACCCACCCTCGGGGGTGGCTGCCAGTGGCCTCGCATAACCCTTACTGCGAGCAAATCCACCCCAGGCGAACGCTTGCATAAAATTGCATTTGAAATTGCATCGTGACCGGGACAAATTACGCCGGAAAATAATGTGAGTGTGCGTGAATCACGTTGCAGGCAATTAAGTAGTGGAAATAGCAGTGGGTGGACGTGGTCCACACCAGGCTGCGGCACCAGCCACGGGTTGGAGCAAGGTGCGAGGCACATTTTGAATTTAATTAAAGAGTTTCCACTGGTGTTTGTGCCTGCGTGAACCCGCCCCGAAGCCGCAGGCTGGCCTTTATCGCTTGGCCAAACATTGGCTTATTTGTTTTGGCCAGCCAAAGGGGTTTCGGCCGCACTTTAAAGCCCCTCGAATCCGGGGGGTGGCTGTGTGTGCACAGCCCACAAACCAAGCCAAATGGCATGTTCGCATGTCACCTGGCAATCCAAAGATGTTTATACTCTCTCAGGGGCTGGTTATTGTCACTTCGGGGGTTTCCTTATTAATAATAGACTAAGGGTTTAATTAACCTTTCGAATGGGGCATGCCTGATGGGCTCTTCAATTCGATTTTCCGCTTAAGATTGAACAACCCCCCAGGCCTTTTGGCATAGATATTTATTAGGTCCTCTAAGGGATGGCTCAATCGATAGCCGTATGGTTAAGATTATTCATTGACTCAAGATTCCACCCCAGAAGTAACAGGGGCGAAATATTTACCTATTTTTGGCACATTTTGCAACGGAACTTTAAAGCGGAAAATCGAAATTTAAAGCTACCAAAAAAGACCTAAAAAGAAAAGAATAGAACTGCATAGAACGACGTACAGAATATATTCTACAGATTCATCTTGCACTTTCTTTAAAAGAGCATCCATAATTCGATGTTATTAAAAGGTTTCTTCGTTTAAGTTCATGTTTGTGTTGGCGTCGATGTCGTTGTCGATGGGGCTGTCGCCTGCGATATTACATTTCAATGGCCCTCGTCCGACCCCTCAAAATATAGCCGCGCCAGGAATGTGCTCGGGAGCAATGCCTTAAGTAAATTGCCAGCCAGCCACATAGTAGACGGAGGGCTGATTGCCCATAATAATTTCTGACGACCTTAAAAAACGCAACCCAAATTGGGCACGCCAAAATGTGGCAGGTAATATCTGGGAAAGTGCGGGGGCGGAGATAATGGAAACATTTTCAACGCGTTCAGTTCACTGCACTTGAGCGGTGGGAAAGGGGGAAAACAGGGGAGAGAGGGAGGACAACCGCACGCACAAAATTATGAAATTGTAAAATTCTTCGCACGATTCGTCGAGGGCCAATTTGGCATGCACAATATTTATATTTATAGGGGCAACCCCCTCCTCACGGATGGATCCCGAGCATTACATAAAATGAGTCCAAGGTGTCTACCAAAACTTACGCCCAAACTCTGCAGCGATGGGAAACGTTTCTTGAGCGTTTCCATTCCAGAAGCACATTAACTTGTAGGCCAATAAATAATTGATATACCCCGTATATGTATATCTATATATATTCTGTCTAGAGTGCCTCACGCGGCAGCCGCACCGAAATCAACACACGACGAGCGATTTGAGTCGTTTTCTGAATTATTTTCGAATGCGCCCCGTCGGACGATAAACCCAGAACAGAACAGAACAGAACAGAGCACAACATAGCCGTATAGAACGGAACAGAGCAGACAAGACCAGAGACTACAGGCTAGAGAACAGACCGAAGAGTGCAAAAAAAAAAAGAAGAGAAAATTTGGAGGTTCTGCTATTTTTAAAGCAAACAAACCGAAAACAAATCAAAAGAGCTTTTCGCTGTTTTGCGGTGTTCTCTACGGTTCTGACAAGGATTTTTATGACGATGGAGTCTAATGGATATTTGACTGCTTTTTTACGTTAGGATAATGAAGATGCCTTAAGCCGCAATCGCCAGAAAGGCGTCAGCTGAAGCTGTTAATGCCCCCCGCAAGGACAAATGGAAGCGCACTGGCCAGATGAGTCATCCAGCCAGCCAGTCCAAGGATTACTATTACGTCATTGTTCAGGGTTCTCGAGTGGGTTGGAGTTGGAGTTGGCTTGGCTCTACAGATGGCAAAAAGGTAGCCAAGAATTTGCTCCGCAAATGCTAAAAGTTTTGATTAAACATATGGGAATGTGGGACACAAATGTAATTAGTTTTTAAAAGTTGATGATTAAAAGTTGACCCAAGACTTCGCCCCTTTGTGACCACACCACACCACACCCACACCCACACCCACACCCACAATTGGCCAAATGATGTAAGCTTACCGCACTGTGGTGTCCTGTGGGGCAATGCTCGTGCTTGTCATGATGCTTGTGGGGGGGTCCTGGAACCCCGCCCTCAGTGTGATGGAAGGCCGCCTCATGCTGGTGCTGATAGAACTCGTAGTGGCCAGGGTGCTCCGCTGGCGGCGATGCCAGCTGGGATGGAGGGCTGTGATGCGTTTTGGCGTGGCCCTGGCCAGAGTGAGCCGTGTGACTAGAATGACTGGGATGTTGTCCAGTATGACCAATATGAGGAGCCAGTGGAGCATGACCAGTTGCAGCAGTAGCAGAAGCAGCAGCAGCATGTGGAGCATGACCACTGGATTGATGCGCTGATGACTGCTGTTTGTGCAGATGATGCGGATGGGAGGAGGGGGAGGCAGAACTACTGTGTCCTCCATGGTGTCCATGCTGGTGATGATGATGGTTGTGGGTGGGCGGCGATGGCATGTTGTGACCGCTGTGGGGCAGATGCGACGAGTGCTGCACACCCACCTGATGTCCGTGGTGGTGCGGTACATGACCTTGCGACGCCTCCATCAGCGTCGGCTGGATGTGTGTCACGAATTGGGCCATGTCTGCGAGGGGAGACCTTCAACAGCTCCACTGGAGTCGGAGTTCTGTGGATTTGCACTAGTACGTAGCTTAGATAACACTTGTTTAATTTTTCACTGCTCTACGAAGGAGGATGGGGCATACACCATGTACTCCAGAGTGGGTGTGGATACCAAAAAACACACACAGTACACAGCGCACAGAGGGCAAGGCGGACGAGGCACGGACGCTGTGCACTTGGACGCGGCGGAACGACGGTAGCAATGGAGCAGTCCTTTTGCTCGGCGCATGGACAACCTTCTCGCAGGAGCAATGTCAAATGACTGACTGGCAAGCCTAGACCAGACCCCGCCAGATCCCAGTGGTGGCTTAGATGCGACGGGACTTTTCGCCTTTCCCCTCCTACGCCTGGGCACCCGAACTGTGCTTCGGCTGTGAGTCGGGCCGGTGGCTCTGCTCCTCGCTTTCGGGGTTCGTCCTGGGCTGCCAGAAGCTTTAACCGGACCCAGTTTTATGCGCGTAGCTGATAAGAGATGCTTGTGCTTATGATGCCGCCTTCCTTGCAGCCCCAGTGATGCTGATTTAATGGACTGCCATATCCATATGCGACGATTCTTTCGTATCTGTTTTCTTTCATCTCCAAGTGTGTCACGGACCCTCCCGCTCCATCCACAACACTGAAGGGGGTCCCCGTCCCTAGTACGTTATTTTTAGCGCAGAAACAAAAATATCTTTTATATTTACTATATTTTTTTGACAGCCCCAAAGTATGGTGTGCATTTAGAGGCCCTTAACAGGTGGAGATTGTTACAAATTCAACAAAGGTGTACCCTGTACCAGCAGAAGGGTCTGTATTGGCTTTATTAAAATATTCTCATTACATATGAGAAATATATACCTTACTTGTCTTTGTCAAACCCACACGATTAGTATTTCACGACTACGAAAATAAACAGGAGAGTGTCTGCTCTTCTACGCTGAAAAAGTTAACCGAAAATTAGAGGATCATTTGGATGAGAAAATGACGATAAAAGATCATAATAAAACATTTACATTTTTTTTTAATACACAAATTTAAAAGCGATCAAGAGATATGTATGAATCTCTCGGAGTACAGTTTCATCTTAAGTCTTATATGCCTTTTGTGCTATATTTTACACGTACTACACACAAAACTTTCCTTGCGCTCCGTTACGTTCCGTCTGCTAAAAGCTTTAGTCTACGTTGCGTCATTCAATGAAGCTTACGTCGAGCGGTAGTCCAGCTTATGCGGTAGGGTATTTCGAGTACTTTTACTGTTCCAAAAAGGGGGTGTGTCGCATCTCGTCTAGGAACTTGTTTGGCATTCAAACTGGATATGAATGCTGAATTAGAACCAATCAAAGGCATGCCTATGAGCTCAATTCGTCATGGAATATAGAATATGTATGATTGTTCATTTAAATAACTTTCAAATAACATTTAAGAGAGCTTTCCAGCCCATGTAATGTAGCATGTAGCCCATGTAGAGAGGCAGCGCATTCCGTTTTCAAAGCATTCATCTCTTCTTATCGCCCAGACATACATATGTATGTGCATGTGTATGTGGTGGGCATTCACATATGTACAGGGTATGTACCATTAGACATCAGACATTAGAGACAAGTCTGGTGCAGCTTTTGCCTCTCTGCCAACTCAGCGCAGCGCAGCGCAGCACAGCCACAGCCACAGAGTCCAATGTCCAAATTGGCTGCCATTGCCTCGCCGGCGCATTTGCCTAACTCGTTTGGATCATTTCTCATTCCGCGGCGAAGACTCAACGAGTGAGCAAGCAAACAGCAAGGCGACCTAGTCAAAACTAAATATATTGTGTATATTTTTGTACGGATTTAGAGTCCGCATAGACCAATGGCGTTCCTCAACAAGGTAAGAGCAGACTTTCCACGTAGAGGGAAAGTGAAAAGCGTAGAGTCCAAGGCGTAGGAGGTACAAAGTTCTCACAACCTGATGACGCCAGCAGAATTGTTGATCGTCTGCATAAACAGATTTGATTTTTTCGCTTATCTGTGTTCACCGTGTACTTTGCCCCCCTCTGCGAATATTAATAGCACCGTTTTATGGATCAGCTTTTGCACTTGAATTCAATCGGAATCTGGTTAATAAACGTTGTTTGTGTGTTTGTCTCCATCTCTCCTCCACGCAGATTGCAGCGCCAGCCCTGCGACAGCTGGTGGCTCAAAGTCGGTCCTACGCCGCCGTGTCCCAGGTGTCGCCCAATGGCACCTCCTTTGCCCTGACGGAGGAGCAGCTGCAGCTGCAGGAGATGGCCCGCAAGTTCACACGCGAGGAGATCATCCCCGTGGCCGCGCAATACGACAAGACCGGCGACTACCCGTGGCCGATCATAAAGAAGGCCTGGGAGCTGGGTCTGATGAACAACCACATTCCCGCGGATCTTGGCGGCCTTGAGCTGGATGTGTTCACCACCTGTCTGACGGCCGAGGAGCTGGCCTATGGCTGCACCGGCATCATGACGGCCCTCGAGGCTAGCGGACTGGGTGTAAGTCTCAATGAATCCCAACAACTTCCAGCTGCTCTACATCCATATGCTCCATTCTCCACATAGCAAACCCCTGTGATCCTTTCTGGCAACAAGGAACAGAAGAAGAAGTACCTTGGCCGTCTCCTCGAGGAGCCGCTGGTGGCCGCCTACGGCGTGACCGAGCCCGGTGCAGGTTCCGATGTGAATGGCATCAAGACGCGCGCCGAGAAAAAGGGCGACGAGTACATCCTCAACGGCCAGAAGATGTGGATCACCAACGGGGGTGTGGCCAACTGGTACTTCGTGCTCGCCCGCACCAATCCCGATCCCAAGTGCCCGTCCAGCAAGGCCTTCACCGGCTTCATTGTCGAGCGCGATTCTCCCGGCCTGACGCCCGGCCGCAAGGAGCAGAACATGGGACAGCGCGCCTCCGACACGCGCGGCATCACCTTCGAGGATGTGCGCGTGCCCAAGGAGAACGTGCTGATTGGCGAGGGAGCCGGCTTCAAGATTGCCATGGGCACCTTCGACAAGACCCGCCCTCCAGTGGCCGCCGGCGCCGTCGGTCTGGCTCAGCGTTGCCTCGACGAGGCACTTAAGTATTCCCTGGAGCGCAAGGCATTCGGTGTGCCCATCGCCTACCATCAGGCTGTGCAGTTCATGCTGGCGGATATGGCCATCGGTGTGGAGACCTCGCGTCTGGCGTGGCGGCTGTCCGCCTGGGAGATTGACCAGGGCCGCCGCAACAGCTACTATGCCTCCATTGCCAAGTGCCATGCCGCCGATGTGGCCAACAAGATCGCCTCCGATGCCGTCCAAATCTTCGGCGGCAATGGCTTCAACAGCGAGTATCCCGTGGAGAAGCTGATGCGCGATGCCAAGATCTACCAGATCTACGAGGGCACCTCTCAGATCCAGCGTCTCATCATCTCCAGAAACATGTACGAGGCGGCCAAGGGCAAAGCCTAAGTCCAAGTTGCAGATGCTTCACTTCCAATCACCTCAGTCATACTCATTGGACCACCACATTCACAAAATTCGATAAATAAAAGTACAATTATAGTTACATAAGCCCTCGACACTCGATGATTCCAACAGAGTGAGAAGTGGAGACAATTACATGTTTGTTTCCGCCGCTTGAGTCGATTGTTTGTCTGCGAGACTTTGCCTTAGTAGATCAAGATCCCGGCCCGCCCGTACTCATGGGCTTGGACTAAATTCATTGTCACTGCCGTCATCCGCTGATAGCGTATCAGTCCAGTGGGGGCTGCCACCCTTCAGTTGAGCCATTTGGCCTATTTGCGCGGCGATAAGGTGTACTTAGATTCGCTATTAATATTTGTCAAACAATAAAAAATAAGGCTGGCACACAATACGAGGGATGGGTGGATCATATATGTAACATAATAAGTAGACTATTCCAGTTCGTTTTCATCCGCACAGAGCCTGAGGAGTCCCTTGTAAAGCTTACCATTCCGTCGACCCTTGGATGTGGTCTGCATCTTGGCCTTGGCTCCGAATTGCAGCTGCCAAATGGACTGAAGGGTCTCCAATGCACCGGGCAGAGTAAACACCTTCTCGTCAATGGTTAAATCTAGGCGCCTGGGAAGCTGCTTGTGCTGCTCCAGCTTATGCAGACGAGCGTCGTCCATCAAACTCGTACAATTAGCCGCCAGGAGCGAGCGGAGCTGCGGCAGATCGTCCAGCATGTAGCCCAGGGCGGTGCCACTCAGTCTGCCGTTGTCGCTGATGTCCAGCCACTGCAGCTGCTTGGCCTTGGCCAGATGCTGGGTAATCTTGTACAGATGGGCATCGGTCAGTCCACAGCCGGCGAGCTCTACGCGAACAAAACGCTCGCATGTGCCGCCTTCCAGCAGGCACACCAGACGATCGGCCAAAGCAAAGCCACTTGCCTCGTCGAGCGGCCAGCGGACGTAGCTCATGTTCAAGTGCTCCAAACGGCAGCTGTTTAGCTGCTCCGCCAGCCGCCGCACACTCTGCTGGCTGAGCTGGTTGAAGCTGATGTCGAAGCTGCTCAGTTGGCTGAATCCCAGATCAAAGTCCTGCAGTTCCGTCAGATCGCACTGGGCCAGATGCAGCGAAGTGAGCGCACGACCAGCGGGACTTGCACAAAATTTGTGCAGCGTCCTGGCACTGGCATTGCCCAGGGGGTTTTGGCTCAGTTGCAGCTCCTCCAACAGTTCGAGTTTCTCCATGCCCGGACCAAAGAGCAGCGACTCCAATCCCTGGTAGCCAATGCCATTGCATTTCAGTCGCAGTGCCTTGAGCTGCAGCAGCGTGGGCAGAGCCTTGCCCAACTGCTGGCAGCCCTCGTTGCCAATAAAGTTGCGCGACAGGTCCAGCACCGTGAGACGTGCTTGATGCAGCAGCGCCTTAAACACGGGCTCTGTTTGTTGGGCGCGCAGCCAGAGGCCAGAGAGCTCCAGCATTAACGTGTTCTGCGAACGCTCCAGCACTGGCTTGACCTTGTTGTCCACAGCTGAAAGGGAAGTGCAGTTGTGCCATCATTAGGACATCCATCCATTTATTGAGAGTTTATTCCTTTAACTTACTCCTCTGCAGTTGGTGGCACATCTCCTCGTAGCGCTGGGAGAGCGGTGAGATTTTCCAATCCAAAATCGTGGCCATCAGCATATTCTGCTCAAGGGCCACGCTCACCGTATCCGTCTCCTCGTAGGCAAAGCCATCGGCTGTCTTGAGGCGCAGCAGGGGTGTGAGGCCAGTTAATCTGTGGAGTGCAGGGATTCGGATTGAGTAGGGGATGGGATACACCCTTCAACACTCACTTGTTGTAGCGCCTTCCAGCCTCCTCGGCCAGCCAACGCATGTTGATGTCCTGCAGTTTCTTGCGCTCAACCGGAACCAGCAAGAGTTCATCCTGCACCTTCACCTTGAACGACACGGTGGTGGCCAGGACAGGCGTGGCCTGCACTTTAATGGGCGACGACTTGCACGGAGAGATGAGCAGCTGTATGGACGTGGTGCCAGTGGTGGAGTCTGGTTCTGTGGTGCGCAGACTTATCACCGAGGCGGCCCCATCGAGGGACGAATCGCTGCCAAAGGGACTCTCACTGCGAAACCGACTGAAGCCGCTGTCCAGCAGCGTCGTCTGTTGCTTGGGCTTGCGGGTGCCGGAACCGCTGTGGTTGCTGTTCATGCTGGAGGACCGCGACAGCGTGAGTTTTCTCATCTGCTTTTGGCGCTTCTGGGAGCTGATATCTGCTTCGGGTGTGGCCTGCAGGAGATCATCCTCCCAATTTGGCTGCAGAGACAATGCCGAGTCCTGCAGACTTTCCTTGGACGGACGAGTGCTGATGCTGCCCGAATTGAATCGTTTGCGCTTCCTCTCCGGCCCCACATCGTCGATCAGCCAATTATCCGCATCTACCTCGCCCGAGTCCAGGAAGGCAGTGCGTTTCTGGTTGCTTTTGCTGCTGCTGCTGGGAGCCTCATCACTTATTCGATTCGGACGCTTCAGTTGCGCCATGACGCTGCGGTACTCCTTGCTGGCGCTGGGCTGGGCAGGACTGGAGCCGTATTTCTTAGCTCCGTACTCGCTGCCCGATCGATTATGACTTAGGGATCGCAGCTGGCTCTCTCTCAGACCCTCCTCTTCATCTTCCTCCGATATACTTTCGCTACCATGGCTAGAACTCTTCACATTGGTATTGGTCAAGGGTCTGTCATTCCTTTCGCTACAAATTCCCACCTTTGAGAGCGTGCGAAGCAGACGCTCCCGCAACTGGGCATACTGGGCCTGTTCCCCCTCCACCAGCTGCGCCGACTGTCGCCACTTGTCCAGTCCGACAATGCAGGTTTCGTTGTAGTCCGTCCGCACCGTGGCATCCGCTCCACGGTCCAGCAGTAGCTCCGCCACGTCCAGATACCCATTGGCGCAGGCATCGTACAGCGGAGTGATGCCGTCGCAGCTAGTGCCGCCCTTGTCGTTGATGGCCGTGGCAGCTCCCTTGTCCAGCAGCAGTTCCACAATCTCCCGATGGCCGTGGTTGCAGGCCTCGTGCAGCGGAAGCCAACCAGCGTGATCTCTCACGTTTACGGTGTGGCCCTGGTCTATCAGGCGTCGGACCAGCTCCAGGTTGCCAGCAATGCACGCCTGATGAAGCTGCGTCTCCCCCTTGTTGTTCTTTTTGATCGCCAGCGAACGACTGCCTCGAGTGGCACGTTGCGGGCGCAGCTTCTCGCTCTCATCCAAGTCACTGGCATCCGAGTCGGTCAGCGTATCCAAATCGAAGTCGTCGTCCCAGTCGGGTGTATTTTGCTGCACAGCGATGCCCCCTGAATCGGGATCCGTCTCCTCCTCCTCTTCATCCTCCTCTCTTTTGGCTTCGGCGGCCAAATCGATGCCCTTGGCCTTGGCTTCCGTCTCTAGAACTTCGACGAGTACATCCATATTGTGCTTCAGCTGCAGTCGCCTCAGCCGCACCAGGGCAATCTTCTCCAGTTTGGCGGATGCGGCGCCCGACTTGTTCGCCTGCCTCAGAGCCTTTTGGTACACATCGTGTACGGTCCAGAATGGATGCGACTGCTGCTCACAGATATCGGCAATGGTGCAGAGGGTAGTGAAGGCCTCAGACGGAACGTCCTGGTTTACCTCAAACTCCTTCCAGAGATACTCCAGGGCCTTGTCGTACTGCCTATTGTCCCTGTACGTTTGATAAAGGCTCACGTAGATGGGCACTAGACTCTTGCCAGTCTCCTGGTTAAGCTCTGCGTTCTGCAACATCTTCTGGTAGTAGACCAGAGCCTTCTCGTAGTTCATCAAGTGGCAGCAGCCATCGCCCAGCTTCTCGTACAAGCTCTTCAGCTTGGCATAGTCCACCGAACTGGTTAGGACCAGCTCGTCCAAGGTCTGGCATATCTTTACCACAATTCGCAGCGTGCGCTCAATGCTCGCCCGATCGTTCTCATCCGGGGTGTTCTTTTTGTAGGCCTTGGTGAGGATCTGCTTGACACTGGCAAAGTCGCCGGCCTTGATCAATATCTCGGATTTGGTGATCAGCGTCTCGCAGATTTTCTTCACTTTGTTGGGCAGTCGCTTGGCCATTTCCAGAGCCATATTGCAGAAGCGCAGAGCCGCCGTTGCGTCGTTCTTTTTGCAGTTGTATAGCAAGCTCATCGAAATGTAGCACAAGTGGGTCAGCTCGAACAAATCGTGGGTTTTGCTGATCTTTATCGCTTTGTCAATGTACTCGATGGACTCTTCGAACGCCTCCATGTGCTCTTTAACGACGCCAATATTTAAATAGCACCGCGCTTGCATGTCAAGCTGCTCCAATTTCGAAATCTGACCCGTAAGCCTATCCGGAAGAGGGGATAATTAATGCACACTTTCCACTGCAACTCCACTGCAACTCCACTTACTCTTTGATCAGCAAGAGACTGCGCAGGAAGCTCTTCTCCGCCAGCTTCAGCTGCTCCATGGCCGCCGAGGCCGAGCTGTCCGTCAAGCTCTGGCCATGCAACAGGTGGACGCGTCCCAACGTGGCATACGCTCTCTGCTGCTCCACCTGATTCTTCAGCCGCTTGGCAATCTCTGTACAGAAATTTATAGAGTACTCTGATCATTCTCCATTTGGTTTCGAACTCACTCAGGTAGTCGTTGATGTGGTCCTTGGCCGCATCGTAGTCACACAGCAGGGTGAACATTTCACCCACCATTCGCTTGGCCCTGGCTGTTTCCAGCTCTTTGCCCATGCTGGCATAGATGGACGCCTCCTGCTTGTACTCCTGGACCGCCTCGTTGTACTTTCCCTGCTGGTTGTAAAAGTCTCCGAGCTGATTACAGCTAACCGCAACCTGCTCTCGATTGCCATCGCTGCGCGCCTTCTCCTTGCGCTTAAGGTAGCGCTTTTCATCCATTAAACAAACACAAACATCTAAAGGTCAACAAATATACTTATATTTCACAATCCAACATCATTTCTGCACGGTCTTGTTTTGTTTTCGGCGCGAAGGAAATTGCTCTATTGATCGCGGACTTATCGAAATACTTATCGAAACTATACCGAAATATACCTTCTCATTTTCTAAATATACCGAGGAAAATCATATTCCTCAATGTTGATTTTCGAATTAATATTACCAGCTAGTTAGGACTCTCAGGACTCTCTCTATCCATTAACTAATGTTAAATTTTCTTTGAAATATTAATATTACAATTTTATGATATATTTTGAAAATGATAGTGTATATTTTGGTATATTTCTGAGGGTCCGCCGGTATATTTTATTGGTAAGTCCACGGTCACACTACTCACATCTCTACCGGCGAGACGAATTTTTTCACAAGCGAATTTTGAGGTAATTAAAATAAGGAAAATTGTGTTTAAATCAAGTGGAAAATGTGGTAGTTGCACAGTTTCACATCCAATCAACATGTGTGGACGCTTGCACGTCAGTTACACACGCGAAAAGTGCGTCAAAGGCTGCACGAAAAAATCGATAGCCATGGCGAAAAAATGGTGGGGGTTGGTTAACATGACGTGACTAAGAACACTTTGCTTTTTCCAGCTATAAACAGGCTATTATTCGGAAGCACATCTAAATTCCCGAATAAATCCGCATAAATATCGACAGACAAATAGTCAAGTAAGTAGCAAATAAATGTAACTAGCACAACCCCCCCATCGGCGTAGGGCGTGTGTGTGTGTGTGTGTGTGTGTGCGCGTGGAAGAACAAACGAGATTGGCAACAAATTCGATTTCTGTAATTGCAGGAGCAGAGCAGCAGAAGGCAGCAACTGTTTGACAATGGCGAACAACAACTACGCCGGGTTCAACTATGGCGGCACCCAGTACAATTCGGGACAGGTATCGTACCCGGCGGTAACCAACGCCACTTATGCAAATGCGGCGGCCTACCAAAACGCTGCTGCGGCTGCTGGCCAGGGCGGCGGCTATGCAGCAACCGGGTCTGGCTCTGGGTCTGGGGGTGGCGGCAACTACGGTGGCTATGGCGACTACCGCAACCCCACGTCCTACGACGGCAGCAAGACATTCTACCAGCAGTCTCCGGCCAGCTACAACGCGTCCGGGCCAGCAGCAGCAGGCAGCAAGACGCACTACTCGGCCCCGCCCGTCAAGAATAACGCCAAGGGTGGCAAAATGGACAAATCCAACGGTGGACCCAAACCCCCTAACTCCGCTCCTCCCGGTGGACCAGGTAACAATTACAGTGGCTACGACTCGGCCGTGTACAATGCGGCCAGCATGTATGCGAACCAGCAGCACCAGGGCGGTCCTCCGAACAAGCCAAATGGCGGCAACAACTGGTATCCGCGCAAGATGGGGCCCGCCATTCCGGGACCACCGGCCCTGCGTGGCCTGCGACCGAAGGCACCGCCACGCCCCCAGCAGCTGCACTATTGCGAAGTGTGCAAGATCTCCTGTGCCGGCCCGCAGACGTATCGCGAGCATCTGGAGGGGCAGAAGCACAAGAAGCGAGAGGCCTCGCTTAAGATGTCTGCCAGTGCCACGAGCACCACCCAGAACCGGGGCAACAACTACCACTGCGAGCTGTGTGACGTGACGTGCACGGGCACAGATGCCTATGCGGCCCATGTGCGCGGGTCGAAGCACCAGAAGGTGGTGAAGCTGCACCAGAAGCTGGGCAAGCCCATTCCTTCCGAGGAGCCAAAGAAGCTTGGCAAGATTAACTTTGTCCCGGCGGCGGCCGGAGGAGCTGCAGCTGCTGGAGGAGCACCTGCTGCTGCGGCTGGAAGTGGAGCTGCCGCTGCAGCGGCAACCCCAGTTAAGACTGAAGGAGCCAGCGAGAGCGAGGCGGCGGCTGAAGCAGCCGCTGCCGACAACTTGGATGACAATCAGGACGACTCTTGCGGCGAGAACACAGACAATATAAAGCCCGTGGGCGGCGAATACATCGAGGAGGTCAAGGACGAAGACCAGAAGATACTCAGCTTCAATTGCAAGCTATGCGATTGCAAGTTCAACGACCCCAATGCCAAAGAGATGCACATGAAGGGGCGCCGCCATCGCTTGCAGTACAAGCGCAAGGTACAGCCCGATCTGGTTGTGGACTTTAAGCCGACGCCTCGCCAGCGTCGACTGGCTGAGGCCAGGGCCCAGCGGGCTCTCATGTCCTCGCATCGCGGCGGTGGCGGTGGCGACGAGCATGAGGGAAGCGGCAACTACTGGGAGGAGCAGCGCAATCGCCAGTACAACGAGGAGTACGACTATAATAATTGGATGTCGCGCAGCTTTGGAGGTGAGTCATGGCCCAGTCTTTGCCTTCAAAGAGTATCTAAAATTTTGATTTTATTTGCAGGCGCCCAGCGCTTTGGACGCATCGGCAACGGGCCACCACCGCACTTTGGCATGATGCCCGGCGGCAATTTGCGTCGCCCCGAGAGCACAGACGATCGTCATGCCATTGCGCGCCATGCCGAGATCTATCCCAAAGAGGAGGAGCTTCAGACAATCCAGCGCATCGTCTCCCACACGGAGCGTGCGCTCAAGCTCGTTTCGGATGCTTTGACTGATCAGCCGAACGATCCAGCTGCCGCTGCGGCCAAGAAGGATAAGCCAGACAAACCCTCGGAGAAGGACGGACGCGACAATCAGATATTTTCGTTCCACAAGGACGCCGACAGCGGTGGCAATGTGGTGCGCATTCTGAAGGGCGTCATGCGGGTGGGCTACCTGGCCAAGGGCCTGCTGCTCCATGGCGACAATGCCGTCGAGCTGGTCGTACTCTGTGCAGAGAAGCCAACGGTGGGCCTCCTCCAGAGGGTGGCCACCAAGCTGCCAGACAAACTCAAGGATGTGGCAGGTAAGTGCCGAATGGTAGTGTCCGACAGTCGTCCTTCTGCAGTATGTTAACGGATGTAGGAGCGATATTTCGAAATGGTTGTTGTCCTATTCTGAGGCGAAGAGAACTTTTTCCAGAGAAATGGCTTGAGTGATGAAAGCAGCAAAAAGCAAAACCGTGAACGAAGGCTAATTCCGTTTATAGCTTGGCCAATTTCACTGCGGTGAATTTGGCCAAATGGAATGGACCAATGGAAATATGAAAATAATGAGCTGAAGCTGACGCGGAAGCGCTGAAGAGATGCCAGCCAAAAATATTGAATGCACACTCCAAATGGCAGTGGGGCAATGCAATCCGTTCTAACTCTCACACTCGCTATTCGTTACGTTCGACGGGCAATTTGTGTGGAAAAAGTCGACGCGAAATGTAAAAATTGTTTCAAAAAAAATATGTACTAGGACAACTACAATACAACTACTACTACTACTACAACTACCACTTCTAGTGTTGAGCCCTGTTGCGGTGCGTGCGATGGATGGACCGACCGCCCGACCACGCTCCAAACGGCGCCCAACGATCCAGCGAACCATTTAGCAACACAATAAAAACCAAACGTATTTGCCGTTTTCAGCTTCTCTCTCTGCAGGATAAGAGTTACGAGCCGAGCTTTAGCCTAGAAGCTTAGCCTAGAGACTGTCACTCACTGTCGTTCAGTTCTGTAGCCGTCTGTAGCTCCTCCGCTCAGCTCTGCCCCCCAGTGTGTCGCTCTGCTCGTTTGCTGTCCTGCTCCTCCTGCTGCCACTGAATATGGCTACTACTGCTACTACTGCTGCTGCTGGTGGTGGATTAGAAAGCCAAGCCGGAAAGTCAAGAAACGGATCGTTACGGTAACAAGCAGTACACAGAGTACGCAGAGTACTCGCGTGTCCCCGCAAGCGGAAGATGAGTTGTTGTGAGGCGTTGATTGAGGATCAATCCCAATCAAACTTAACCAAATATCAAAAGAAACGAAAACAATACCAAAGGAGTATATTTATACAAAGTTTAGGCGCGCTTTCGGGCTGCTGCTGCTCCCCTCCCCTACCCTACTCACACCAGATGCCAGAGGATGTGAAAGAAACAAACTTTGTGTAAATAAAGTCCTTTGCTGGCTGGCCAACAATCAAAATGTTGAACAGAACCCAACACGAAGCCAAGAAGCAATGCGATTGATCCACACACAGATTTGAGCATAAAGGCGCTTTGAGATTTGCAAAATGCTTGAGCCCAAAATTGCCGCCTCATCTCACTCGAAACCAAGCAAATATATCTGTAAAATATGTACATATGTATATACATATCTGTAAACTATATCTGTATCCAAGCAGCCGATTTGTGTGTATCAAGACTGATTGTGAAAGACAAAAATTGCGAACGAAATTTGTGTTGCGTACGGTGGTGAATGGAGAATGCTGACTCCTTCCTCTAAGATAGCGGCTGGCTGTGGGTCAACGTTTCCCCGCAAAACCCGCAACCAACTGAAAAATTTCGCTCAATATTATTTGCCAACTAACCCAAAAATAATTTCAAATCAAAATTCAATTCAATTTACAATTGAAGTGCTCGCGCTCTAAGTGGAATTGCAGCGAGTGGATTGGATGCATCCGAGTCGTTTTTGCAATTCCGTTTACGAGTCTCGAACCGAACCGACCCCCAAAAAAAAAAATGGATCCCGATCCCAGCACGCAAGTCAAACGAACGTCAAAAACGAACGAATTGAAAACGAAACGTAACGTCACGTCTGTTTGCTGGGAACAGAGCGGATGCGTGGACCGTGGGAAGAAACAAACATTATTCGTGCTTTTCATATGCGTCACGTCACGTCCATTTAAACTACTCCGGATCTATAGATCTGTCATTGTACAATGTGCATTGTTGTGTATATTGCTGGCCCACACATGGAACTTTTGCCTTCACCCACAATGTTTGTCTCTTTTTCCAAGCCGAATCTAGAATATTGACCCTCGCCCATGCCGCCGCCTTGCTGACGTGCTCTCCCTTTGCTCTCAATTACAGGCGACACGCAGATCACCTATCGCGTGGAGGTAAATGCCGACGACGCTGCCGTTATTGTGCTGGATGAGGCAGTCTCTGTGAAGATTACGCTGACATCGCCCTTGCTGCGGGAGGGTAATCCGCCCGAGGTCACGGTCAAGCAGGAGGAGGGTGAACCGGCTACCACTGGCAATGCCGATCTTCTACCCCGCGAGCCTTGTCTGCGCGTAAGTAGAAATCGAGCAGCAATCCTTCATCGATACGGTACTGACATTCTTTTTGTGTCTTCTGCAGGCACTGGCTGACTTGCGGCACGCCAAATGGTTCCAGGCCCGAGCCACTGGCCTGCAATCGTGTGTCATGGTCATTCGCATTTTGCGGGATCTCTGCCAGCGCGTGCCCTCGTGGCAGGCACTGCCGCAGTGGTCTTTGGAACTGCTTGTGGAGAAGGTAATCTCATCGGCTGCCTTCCCCATCTCTCCCGGCGACTGCATGCGTCGGATTATGGAGGCATTGTCTTCCGGCTTTCTAATTAACGGTCCGGGACTGCTGGATCCCTGCGAGAAGGATCCGACCGATGGGCTGGTGGTTCTCAGCAAGCAGGAACGCGAGGATCTCACTGTGTCGGCCCAGCAATTCCTGCGCTTCATCGCCTTCCGGCAGATCTTCAAAGTGCTCGGCATGGACCAGCTGCCAGCCATGAAGTTTCCAGTGCGCCCTTGGCGCATCAACCGCAAGCGTCGCCGCTCGTCGGGCAAGGCAGGCGCCTCCGGCACCGAGGCCGAGGCTGCTGAGATCGAGGAGACCGGCTCCGATGAGAAGGTGCCCAAGAAGGATGGCGCCGGCGCCAGTAGCTCGCCCGCTTAAGCGGCTGCATTAGGATTAATACGTAGACGGCTACTAATATAACACTTTTTCTCAATTTAATCGCGCGTATAGCGCCACCTAACTATAAACTAACTCTATCTCTCCACGAGTATTCAAACCAATTGCGGCTCATCGTTATTGGGCAGGAGTTAAACATGTCCAACATGCTGCCCAATTGGCAATTAGAGATTCCCTATAGAAGTAGCCCCCATCCCCAACTCCTCAACTCAACTTACAATATCTACCGAGCATACAAATTGTATTTTTTCTAGACTTAGGCGCGTGAATGCAATATTCAATTTGGAAGTGGACACGTATCGGTCCACACACACACACATGTTTCAAATATAACATAGACATTCGAAACAAATTTTAATAAACCATATAATGATCAAATACTATAACTCTCCTTCACCAGTGTTTTTTATTTGTTATATCGAAAAATAGTCAACTCACCCTCGAAAAATCTACAGTACCATTTGCTGCGCTGTCCTTTTCCACAATATACTCCTCCCAATCCAATTAGGTGCCGTCCTATTAAAATTGAGATATTTTTATAACTTACTGGTGTAAATATTGCAGTTTCAAAAATAAAATAGAGCGCGCCAAATCATAAGAACTTTTCCTAAAGTCTGGCAACACCGCAAAGCATAGTTCGCAGGGATGCAAAATAGCAATTAACGAACTAGTGAATTAATTTATTTATTATGTAATTATATGCTTAATTTAATAATGCCTTTTAGTTATTTTAATATTTATGTTATCAAAAGACAGATTGTAGATTAGAAACCACAATGAACCAATTCATTCATTTTGCAACTATTAGAACCAGTCGGAAATTTAAATTGCTACCCATCCCTGGCGAAAAGTATAAACAATAAAGATTCACCGTTTAATCGGAGTCATTGCGACTAGCGCTATTTAACTATGCGTTTGGTAAGTCATCGAGAATAACAACATTATCTGCGGAAGTGACTCTTTGTTTTGCAGTATTGCCTAAGCGGTGACCTGGCCAAGCCATGCTACATCATCACCTTCAAGGGTCTTCGAATAATGCTGGACTGCGGCCTGACCGAGCAGACCGTGCTTAACTTCCTGCCCCTGCCATTTGTCCAGAGCCAGAAGTGGTCCAGCCTGCCCAACTTCATTCCCGGCCGTGACCATGATCCACAGTTGGATGGCGAGCTGAAGGAATGCTGTGGCCGCGTGTTCGTGGACTCCACACCCGAGTTCAACCTGCCCATGGACAAAATGCTAGATTTCAGCGAGGTGGACGTGATACTTATCTCAAATTATCTAAATATGCTGGCTCTACCGTACATCACGGAGAACACTGGGTTCAAGGGCAAAGTCTACGCCACCGAGCCAACGTTGCAGATCGGCCGATTTTTTCTCGAGGAACTGGTCGACTACATCGAAGTGTCGCCCAAGGCGTGCACGGCACGCCTTTGGAAGGAGAAGCTGCATCTGCTGCCGAGTCCTCTGTGCGAGGCATTCCGGGCAAAGAAATGGCGCACAATTTTTAGCCTGAAAGACGTGCAGGGCAGTCTCTTGAAAGTAACCATAATGGGCTATGACGAGAAGCTGGATATTCTGGGCGCCTTTATAGCCACGCCCGTCAGCTCTGGCTACTGTCTGGGATCCAGCAACTGGGTACTGAGCACGGCTCATGAAAAAATATGCTACGTTAGCGGATCCTCGACGTTGACGACGCATCCGCGACCCATCAATCAGTCGGCGCTGAAGCATGCCGATGTTCTGATTATGACGGGACTGACGCAGGCACCCACAGTCAATCCAGACACCAAACTGGGCGAACTCTGCATGAACGTTGCGCTGACGATAAGAAACAATGGCTCCGCCCTGATACCCTGCTATCCATCGGGCGTGGTGTACGATCTGTTCGAGTGCCTCACCCAGAATCTGGAGAACGCTGGACTCAACAATGTTCCCATGTTCTTTATATCCCCTGTGGCGGACAGCTCCCTGGCTTATTCGAACATCTTGGCCGAGTGGCTCAGCTCTGCCAAGCAGAATAAGGTATATCTGCCAGACGATCCCTTTCCACACGCATTCTACCTCCGCAACAACAAGTTGAAGCACTATAATCACGTGTTCTCCGAGGGATTTAGCAAGGACTTTAGACAGGTGAGAGTAGAGATTAGATAAGTTAAAGACTGATTTTATAATTCTTAATCATTCCACAGCCCTGCGTGGTCTTCTGTGGTCATCCGAGCCTGCGTTTTGGCGATGCCGTTCACTTCATCGAAATGTGGGGCAACAATCCCAATAACTCAATCATATTCACGGAGCCCGACTTCCCCTATCTGCAAGTATTAGCACCGTTCCAGCCCCTGGCCATGAAGGCCTTCTACTGCCCCATCGACACCTCCCTCAACTACCAGCAGGCCAACAAGTTGATCAAGGAGCTGAAACCGAATGTCCTGGTCATTCCAGAGGCCTACACCAAGCCGCATCCTTCGGCGCCAAATTTGTTCATCGAACAGCCGGACAAGAAGATTATAACCTTCAAATGTGGCGAGATTTTAAGGCTGCCACTGAAGCGGAAGCTGGACCGCATCTACCTCACCTCGGAGGTGGCCCAAAAGATATTGCCACGTGAGGTGGCCGCCGGAGTGACGTTCTCCACGCTAACGGGAGTGCTGCAAGTCAAGGATAAAGTGCACTGCATACAGCCATGTGCGGACATCATAAAGGAGGAGTCCAGCAGCAGTGGGGGTGCGGCTGGTGCCGCCCCAACGAAAGAGGATGTGCTGCAGAAAGTGAAGTACGAGTACGGCAGCATCGATGTGGAGGCTGTGATGAAGCGTCTGGCGCAGGATGGGTTCACCAACCTCAAACTGGATCGCACAGACGGCGCTCTAAGCATACAACTGGTTAATGAGGACACTATCATCAAGTTTGAGGACAACGAAACACACATTATCTGCGGAGGGAGGCCAACGACGCGTCTCAAGCTGCGCGACACCATCATGAAATGCTTACAAAGTTTTTAACCACATAAATATACTCTGCTACTCTTCCAACAATATCAACAACAAGATTGAACCACTAGTTTTTCAATTCCATTACCTGGAAGCAACGCTTGCATGTCTCTGCTTCAGCATCTTCCTCGAGACTGTAGCGACGGCAGCGGGGACAAAGCGGTGTGTCAAGTGTTGCCAAGGAAAATTCCAGATCTTCGTCCAGATCGGTTTGTACGGCTGCCACGCTGCCCACCTGCAGTATCTCACACAGTTCGGAGTTGCGCACAGGCACACCGATAGTGGGTTGCAATTCACGCAGCAGCTCCAGCTGGCTGCCACTCTTGATGGTTACAGCCAGGTGCCAGCTGTTGACTTCTCCAGCCTGCTGGTTGATCAGACGCTTAACATCGAGTGCTGCGTTCAGGACTTCAATGGCCCTGGGGTCATGCCAGTTGCTTTGGGCCTGCACCAACTGCTCGTGGAAGGCACTGCCCGATGGATCATAGTAGCTCCAGCTTTCCTCAACCAAAAAGGGAGCTACGGGCCACAAGCTCTTGCACAGCTGCCTATAGCAATGAGTCAGCGTCTGGCGAATGGCGAGCAGCTCGCGATCGTCGCCGCAGTACAGGCGATCCTTGATTAGATGCACATAAATGGAAGACACCTGCTTGGCAATGAAGTTCTGAATGCAGGCCACCACGCGATTGTACTCATATACGTTGTACAGCTTTTCAATCTAAACAGAGAAACAGTATTTAGGTCACGTATCATTGATTAATCATCTAGGCTTACCTCTGATTCAAAGTCAACCAAATTGCTCAACAGATACTTGTTTAAATAGCTAGCATCGGGAATTGACTGCTGCTGCTGCTGCTCCCGGCCTGGATGCTTCTCTCCGATCACACCCTTTAGATAACGCAGTGTTCCGCGCACCTTGCTGAGATTCTCAGCCGCCTGCAGCAGCAACTTGTCGCTGACCGTAATGGACATGTGCTGGGTTCCATGGGAGGCAACCCACCAGCGCAGAGCGTCTGTCCCGTACTTCTTGGTAATCTGTTTTGGGGAAATTACATTGCCCAGCGACTTGGACATCTTGTGCCCTTTCTCATCCACTGTGAAGCCATGCACAAAGAGCGCCCTGTAAGAGATATCAATGATTGAGTTTCGCTGTCCACATTACGCTCATATGTCCACTCACTTGAAGGGAGCGCAGTCGCGAGCAGCGATGCTCGTCAGCAGCGAGGATTGAAACCAACCCGTGAACTGATCATAGCCCTCCAGATAGAGATCCGCCACCTGTTCTTTCTTCAGCACGGCAGACCAGGTACTGCCCGAGTCGAACCAAATGTCGAATATGTCACTGCCCTTGACCAGATCCTTCACTTCGTAGCCGAGCTCGGCTGCGATTTGAGCAGGAAGTAGCTCCTCCAATGTCCTGGACCACCAGAAATCCATGGAACCTTGGCTAAGCAGCAGACTGCAGAGGTGTTCTATCAGTGCGGCGTTGAGTACCACCTGTCCACTCTTCTGACTGTAGAGCACAGGTATGGGCACGCCCCAAGCGCGCTGCCTCGATATGCACCAGTAGGGACGCTTCTGTAGCTGGGTGAGCATTGCCCTTTTGCTCACCTCGGCATTGGTACGTGGATATATTTTTACTTGCTCCAGCGCTGCGGCAGCACGCGATTTCAGGCGATCTGTATTGATGAACCACTGCTCACTGGCCCTAATGATCACTGGTTGCTTGGTGCGCCAGTCAATGGGATAGGAATGTTCCAGCTGTGCAGAGTGTATAACATCCTCTGCTATGTGCTGTAGCACGAGAGGATTGCCCAGGTCCAGCACTGATTGGCCGTGTAGAAAGCTAGGCGCCTCCTTCGTGTAAACGCCCGCCTCATTCACCATGCACTTGACGGGTATTTTCTTGGCCAGGCTAACCAGAAAGTCCTCTGGTCCGTGTGCCGGTGCGGTGTGAACCAAGCCCGTGCCCTTGCTGTCCTGTACATGGCTGGCATCGAAGAAGGGCAGATTCGTCTGTGCCTTGTCTATGGGATGGTTATACGTAAGCGAGCTCAATGAACTTCCGGGCAACGTCTGCACCACCTCGCATTTAAGGTGAGTGGAGGCTTCGAAGTCTGACAGGAGAGCGGAGGCCATGAGATAAAGCTCACTTGGGCTGCGGTCCAAAAATCTGACCAAAACGTACTCGAGGGAGGCATTGAAGCAAATCGCTTGATTGCTGGGCAAAGTCCAGGGCGTTGTAGTCCATACAAGTGCATAGATTTGTGCACCTTTGGTCTCAACATTCAGTCCATTGGGGTTCAGGGCAAATCGCACATATACTGAAGGGCTTATGTGATTGGTATCGTACTCCAGCTCGGCCTCCGCCAGTGCTGTTCTAAGAAAGAGCTTAAATAAGTCACTCATTATGACACTAGGGGGGATCAGGACTCACCTGGATGACGGAGACCAGTACACCGGCTTCAAATCGCGATAGACAAGGCCGCGTTCATACAGATTATGGAACATTTGCAGCTGATTGGCAATAAATCCTGGATGGAAGGTCGTGTAGATGTTGTCCTTTTGCCAGTTGGCCAATATCCCCCAGCTGCTGAACTCCTCCTTTTGCGACTGAATGGCCTCCAAGGCAAAGGCACGCGCTGTAACAATAAATCGTTTGGTTAAAAGTTCCTCCAATTCCCACACATCACTTGCATACATTTCTGACGTATTTCAGCAGCACTCTGGCCCTCTGCTGCACTTGTGGCCTTCAGCTCAATGGGCAGGCCGTGGCAGTCCCAGCCGGGAATGTAGTTGACCTCCTGTCCATGGACCACCCGCTGGCGCAGAGTGATGTCTTTCAGAATCTTGTTGACGGCGTGCCCCATGTGCAGCTGTCCGTTGGCATACGGCGGTCCATCATGCAGCACAAATGTGGGTTTTCTTTTTTCACCAAATTGTCGTTGCTCCTGATATTTATAAGCCACGGCTATCTTGTTCTGTGGACACAATATACATGTTATAAAAGGCTCTTCTTATTGGGATCTTGAAGAGACTTGCCGCCAGAACTTGTTGCTCCTGTTCCTCGCGTTTGGCTGCACTGAGGCGGCTGGGGAACTTTGTCTTTGGTAAATTAATCGTGTCTGTATATTTTTTTGCATCTTTTTTGGCTGCTTTCACAGAAGATCGGCGAATTCCAACTCGAAAATTGAAAACACGCAACATTTTGCATTGGAAGCCACCGGCAGAAACAGCTGAGCGTTATCGATAACATATATACCACAACTATGATTAAATATACCAAAATATACCATTATGTTACGTTTATTTTTGAAATTATTAAATTATTTGGTTGTTTTGGAAGATTACTTTTTGTCCTTCGGAGAATCCCCCTTTCCCTTGGGTGCATCACCCTTTGGAGGAGGGTCTTTGGATTTTGGAGCATCGCCCTTTTTGGCCTCTGCCTTGGGTGCATCCTTTGACTTTTCGTCCTTCTTGGGGGCATCTTTGCCCGTGGCTCCCTTTTCGTCCTTTTTGGCCTCTTCCTTCTTGGCTGCCTTTGGTGGCGGCGGCGGATCCACATCTCCTGCCATGCTGGCGGCCAATTTATTCGCCTTCGCCAGCACCTCATCCGCATCGCCAACCATATAGAAGGCTATCTCCGGAATGTCATCGTACTCGCCGTTGAGCAGACGCTTGAACCCGTCCACGCACTTCTCGATGGGCACCAGTTTGCCCGGGGAGCCGGTGAACACCTCTGCCACCTGGAACGGCTGCGAGAGGAAGCGCTGGATCTTGCGTGCCCGTGCCACTGTGATCTTATCCTCCTCGGAGAGTTCGTCCATGCCGAGAATGGCGATGATGTCCTGTAGCGATTTGTACCCCTGCAGTGTCTTCTGCACGGCTCTGGCCACGTTGTAGTGTTCCTCCCCAACCACATCCGGATCGAGGATGCGGGAGGACGAGTCCAGAGGATCCACAGCTGGATATATGCCCAGCTCGGCGATGGGACGCGAGAGCACTGTGGTGGCGTCCAAGTGGGAGAAGGTGGCCGCCGGCGCAGGGTCGCTCAGATCATCGGCGGGCACATAGACGGCCTGCACCGAGGTAATGGATCCATTGCGAGTGCTGGTGATGCGCTCCTGCATGGTGCCCATGTCGGTGCCGAGTGTCGGCTGGTAGCCCACGGCAGATGGAATGCGCCCCAACAGGGCCGACACCTCGGACCCGGCCTGGGTGAAGCGAAAGATGTTGTCAATGAAGAGCAGCACGTCCTGCCCCTCGATGTCCCGGAAATACTCGGCGATGGTGAGGCCAGTCAGCACCACACGGGAGCGGGCGCCGGGTGGCTCGTTCATCTGGCCAAAGACAAGGACCACCTTGGATGTGTCGTCCTCAAGGGAAATGACCTTGGACTCGATCATCTCGTGGTAAAGATCGTTGCCCTCGCGAGTACGCTCGCCGGCTCCCACAAACACGGAGTAGCCGCCGTGCGACTTGGCAATGTTGTTGATCAGCTCCATGATGAGCACCGTCTTGCCCACTCCGGCTCCACCGAACAAACCAATCTTGCCGCCCTTAACGTAGGGGGCCAGGAGATCGATCACCTTGATGCCGGTCACTAGAATCTCCGGCTTTACGCTCAGCTCCGTGAGCAAGGGCGCCTCGTTGTGGATGAACGAGTGGTGCTCGCTCTTGATTTCGCCGCGCTCGTCAATGGGATCGCCCACCACATTGAGGATGCGCCCCAGGACGGCCTTGCCCACCGCCACGCGAATGGGATAGCCCGTGTCGATGACTTTCTGGCCACGCCTTAGACCCTCTGTGGCGTCCATGGCCACGCAGCGTACGATGTTGTTGCCCAGGTGGTGGAAGACCTTGCCGAGAGGAGCGATGAGAATAAGCGAGGAAAATGGAAATGCAAGGGCTTACCTCCAGGACCAGACGTCCAATGGGTGCATCCACCACTTCCATGGCGTTGAGGACCTCAGGAATCTCATCGGGAAAGTATACATCGATGACGGGTCCGATGACAGCGTGAATGTAGCCCTCGCGACCCTTGTGCTCCAGTTTAATACCCGATCCCTTTCCTTTCTCCTCTGACGAGTCTCCTGAGTCGCAAGTTTCTTCCGAACCCTTGCCGATAGGCGCCTTCATGGCCTGCTCGCAAGGATCCCTCAATTTGGGTGGAGTTTCCTCGCAGGAATCGCCTGCCTTGTCATTTTCCACTTCGCACGGATCATCGCAATCATCATTCTTGCCCTGGCCATCTTTGTCGCTGCCCTTGCAGGCGAGCGTGCCAGCGACATGAAGACAACGCAACTGCAGTGGAAACTTTGCCATGCCGGTCGGATGGCCTTGTAGCAGAGCTCCATTCCGCTGGCCAATTTTCAAGCCGATTCGTGCACCCACTGCCCAGGGGGTTTAACCAATTCAGAATCGCCAACATTTACGTATTAAAGCCTTTCTTACCTGTGGCCAGTCGCACCCAAGACACCAACATATTTTCACTCAATTAATTGTTCTTTTCTTACTTTCGGAAGAGTTCTTGCTAGTCTAGCAAATTGTTAAATGAAATGTAAGTCCTTATGCCACATATACGATTTGGGCACAAAGCAAAGCCTACTAGAGGTACATCAAAAATAGAGTTGAAACGTTTCAATCCAATATTCCAATTACAAACGCCGAATTAGAAGACGATATTCCAATTTGATTGGAATATAAATTTGGAAAACTGTTGGAATCAGGCATCAGTTTTCATTTGCGTTCATATAGATTGATCGCCATAATGGACATCGTCTCCGAAATGTAAACCGCTAGTTCATATTAGGGTTAGGGTTGCCCTTGCCCGTTGCCTTGGCTACGGTGCAGCCACAACACACGCACTTTGTAGATTCGCAGAAAATGGATGTACTCTCGCACTATAGTTCGCCCGTGGTCGAATTTGTGGCCACGCAGCCTGTGGAAAAGCAGCACGCACTGGTGGACAACTGCACGGGCACGGATCCGCCGCCACCAAGTGCAGATGCGTGCACCGCGACACAGGAGAAGCAGCATGCGGCCACCCAAACAGAGCAACGCGTCGCCAACAGCGAGTGCGTTGAATACGACGAGCGGGCGCTGGCAAAGTTTCTGCGTCAGATATGTCCTCTGGTGGAGGAGGAGCTAATGCACCCCACGCCACTGTTGGAAGAGCAGACGATGAGCCAGGCAGCACTGGAGGAAGAGCAGAAGGTGTTCACCTACCAGAAGATCGCCATGGGCGGCATGGAGAACTCGCAGGGGCTGGCGATTTGGCTGTGTGTCCACACAAACAATGCTCCCGTATTGGTGGTCACAACGGTGGCTTCCCACGACGACTGGTGCGAGCATGTGGACCAGCAGCTGAAGCTGTTCGTGCCGCAGCGAATGTCCCATGGCAACTTTGTGATTTACACGGAGGTCAAGACGCTGCCGCTGAAGTCCTGCCTGCGCAGCCTGTGCACGAATCCCTTCAACAAGAACATGTTCGCGGGATCCACCATGGATGGGGAGCTGTTTGTCTGGCTGTACGAGCAGTCTCGTGGTGGCAGCGGTGACGCCAATGTGGACATCCAACAGATGTACAGCGTATCGTCCACGCAGGGTGCAGCCGTCGCCTTGGACTGGGTTACGGAAACGCTTCTGCTCGCCTGCTATGCCAACGGATCCGTTCGTCAGTGGGATCTCAGCAAGCAGATGACCCTGGATTGGGAGTGTGTAATAATCAGAGCTTTAGGTAGCTGCATTTAGTTATATTCCTCTCCGCAGATACTCTCTGCCCGCTACTGTTACTACGGAGCTGACGGCCATGGTGGCTCTGGGACTAGATGACTTTGTTGTGGGCACCAACGATGGCGGCATCTATCGCTGCTGGAGCACTGGGCGCCAGGCTGCATCCACAAAAAAGCAGCTGCAGTTGTTGGCTTTGCGTCGACATCGATTCATGGTCTCCACGCTGCTTAAGACGGAAATGGGAGGCCATCAATTCGTTCTCAGCTGCGACCTCAGCGGACAGGCGTTCTACCATGATATGCGACACGCGGATGAGGTGATTATATTCTCTCAAATCCATATCATTCTCCTGTTAACCATCTATCATTTCTGGCAGGACATGGCTCAGTTGATTGTGCAGATACCATTGCCCTTCAAGAACGTCGTTGCCTGCAGCCGGGATGGGAACATCATCTACTGCCCCGCCAGCGACGGTGCTCTGGAATACTACAGAGTCAGCGATGGTGCGCATGCGTATGTCAAGGGAGCATTGCGCGGCAGAGGCAGCCTTATCCGGAGCAGCGACAATGGGTTCGTTACATTATTATTTGATTGGCACGCGTGCATTTTAAGTGTATCTGAAACTCTCTTACAGCTGCTGGTTGATCACGGGCCTTTACGGCGACGAGTTTCAGATATTCTACGTGGAGCATTGAAAGATGATTGTGTCGGTCTTGATATAATCGCTTGTATTTGCATGACTGCTTAAGTTAGTGTACGGTTAATCTTCTCATAGGGGGGGAAGGGGGTTGCTATTTACACGAGTTTATTTTAAAATTTTTCAGATCTCTAACAAATACCATGTGTAGATATATATACTATGTATTTTTGTTTTGTTTGTATAAACAAGAGTTTCTCTGTTTAGAATTTCGAACAAAATGCAACAAAAATATAGCCATTTTGGTACTATTGCGTTTGATTGACTTATTTCTGGTATCTCGAGGGGTAAACTGCGTTAAAACTGCGCCATTTCTCATAAAGTTCACAAAGTAAAACATTCTCAACACGAACTACATTACCAAACATTCAATAGTGTACACTTTTTATCAGGCTTGTGGTAAATACATTTTGTATACATACATATAAAAAAAATAAGGTATAGTGCAAAGAGAAAAGTATTGGTTGGCAGACGCAGACACAGACGTGCCACAGAGGACAATGACATAATTACAAAATGGCATTAGATGAATACTTTTGCTTGTATTGAAACACTTGCCCTAGCGTAGAATAAATTATAACATACAATTAACGAGATATACGGGGTTATACATATAAATATATAATAGAACTGCACACAATTTTGCTAAATCTCTCACTTTCGAACGTCTGATGACTCTACCATAACTCTACTACTCAGATCCATGCGATTTACTAATCCAGTCAACTTCTGCTCCATACTCCACTATCCACTCCATATCCACACGTTCAACTGTTCACTTAAGCTTAGGTTTGCAATCTGCACTTTGCACATATCAAATATTGTGGGTTTGCGATAGTAATAACTAGAAGCGGCGGTGACGGCGGTCACCCAGCTCCCGATTGACTCATAAATTCAATTGAAGAGCACTGTATTAGGGTCTTCGTTATCCATTTGTTTCACATGACGCAGCACATCCTTCTTGGTAATCACCCCGAGCAGGCGACTGCAATGAAATGTGATAAGCATGAAATTTGTTTTTATCGCAGAATCCGAACACTCACCCATTGTGTGTGACTAAGGTCTGCCGCAGTCCGAGCTTTCGGAACATATCCACTACCGTTTCCATTGGCGTTTGATCGGTCACCGTGATGGGCGCCATATCGAGTATCTTTTTTAGCTTGAGAGGTTGGGGTCCCAGATTTTGGGTTGGCGTGGTCGAGGTGAATAATACTATGGAACTGCTGCTGATGCCCTCGATCAGACGCTTGGCATTTCCTAGAAGAAACACGAATATGAATATGGGGGAAATACAAGCGTAGTAGAGCAGCACTCACCGATGGCCAAGTTGAGATCCCTGCGCAAAACAAAGCCAACCAAATATTGATTCTCTGTGGACACCACCACTGGATAGCCATTGTGTTCGGTCTCCTTCAGCAGGTTCTCCACATCGTCCACCGTCATGGAGTCTTGTGTGATGACATTAAGAGTTTCATTGCGTCTAAAAATAAAATGGCGTTAATTTAATAGACAAATCCCAGAATTTGGGTATTACTCACTTGGGCTGCATTACATCTGCGGCCAGCGTGGTATGCGCAAACTCCTCCTTGCTGTCCAGGAACGGATAACCGTTGAGCGCAATGTGCGCATCGTAGATGCCCTGTCTGCCCAAAGCATCGCCCACCCACTTGGAGGCCATGGCGGCTGCCATGAGCGGAACAATGTACCGCACGCCGCCCGTCAACTCAAACATGATGACCACCAAGGAGACAGTCATGCGTGTGACGCCGCCTAACACGGCTGCAGCGCCTACCACCGCATACAGGCCGGGTGTAATGAGATTGCTGTCCGCGCACTCTCCCGTGAAGAACCAAATGTTGGGATAGCTGTACGCAAACTGCTCCACGCCGATGCCCACAATGCGGCCCATGATGGCGCCCAGCAGCAAGGACGGTATAAAGAGACCAGCCGGCACTTTCATGCCAAACGTAAAGATGGTCAGAGCCAGTTTAAGTATAAAGGTGAGCATGAGCAGCCAAATGGAGCTATAGATGCCGGGACCGGGCTCTGTGACCTCAATGACACTGTTACCCATTGTAATGTTCATTCGCTTGTAGTCGCTGTAAGGGAAACAAAAAAGAGAAATCATTTGCATGTAGAAAAATTCATTTGATGTACCCACCACAAGGGATTAGTGACATCACCGGGTGAGCATTTGCTAACCAACAGAAAGATCAGCTCGTTCATGTTCATGCGGGTGAATGGATTCGGATAGCAGATGATGCCGGTGACCAGGGTGACAAACAGCACTTCCATGACTGGATATTGGCCCAGCTTGCTGAACTTCCTGTAGCGGCACCACCACAAATTGGCCTTGATAAAGAACGTTCCAATCACTCCCTACAAGTAAAGCCAGATTAGTAAAGACGAATAATGTGGTAGCCAGACATTGCATACTCCCATGATTCCCAGAAACACAAAGGGAATAAGTTCGAAGAAGATCCATGGCTTGTTGTACTCCACGAAGAAGAGCACTGAGTGCTCGTTCCCGAAAGGAGTTAGCGAACGCAGTACGAAGGCAGCAATCAGCGCACAGAAGAAGGAACGCCACAGCGTCTTCAAGGGGAAGTAGTAGGACACCTCCTCCAGCGAGAACAGAACTCCTCCAATCGGTGCCCCGAAAGCCACGGAGACCCCTGCCGCAGCTGCTGCCGAAAGTATCTCACGCTTTTTGGCCTCGTTCCGGCCGTACTTGGGGAACAGATGCGAGAATATATTACCGATGCAACTAGCGATGTGGACCATGGGGCCCTCCTTGCCCAGGGTCAGGCCAGCGGACACCGACAGCATCAGGCCCACCGATTTGATCAGCAGGGTCCATTTGCCCAGATAGCCGCGTATGATGAAGCCCGACAGGATAGTCTTAATCTCCGGAATACCAGACCCGCAGGCGTACGGGGCAAACATTCGCACCAGTGAAGCGCTGAGCGAGGCAAACAGCAACGCCCACAGCACGTACCAGATGTACGAGATTATATACGGTCCCGTGCCATTGCGGCTCAGGCCAAAGATCTCCGGCCAGGTTTTCCACTGAAAAGGAAGATTGAAGTTCAATTCAATTCAAGTTCAATTTACAAGAATTATTACTCACCGTGGAACAGTTGCCCTCCTCGAACACCGATTGCTTGGCCGGATAGCAGCATTGTTCGCGATTGAACCAAAATGCGGGCGGACAAATGCCGTGCTTCAGATCCGACATCCAGCTGGCGCCTATATCCACCATCCCCGCCACGCAGCCGGCCGCAATGCCAACGAGCAGAACGCACAGCCACCCAGAGCCGGCATCAATGGAGCCCTGTTGTAGGTTGAAACTTGATTTATTTAGACATAGTGCCGGTGATAGATAGCTCTTACCTTGATGAGATCCCACACAGAGTCCTGTCGCTTCTTCACTATGTAGCGATGTCGCATACGGTCTCGTGCAATGTCCCGCTGCCAGTCGATGGTGTGGAAATCCTCATACTGGCCGATGCCAGGTATATCATCTTGCACATCCGACGAGCCATAGAACGATAGTGCGCCTAAAGCAGTGGACATATTAAATACATATGTTTCGACTTCTTAACACACATTCTGAATTTACTCTATAAACACTCTAGTGGGGTGCCTAGACATTATGGTACTGAATGGCTTGCAGATTCCATTGCACATGTTTTGTTATTTTTCATCAGAATAGCAATGGGAATGAATATGATTGATTTCTCGTTTTGAAATGTTGACACTGTAAACACTTGAGTGGGGTAGGGGTGCTGTTTTGAATTTCTTGACTTGAGTCCAATTGAGTTTGTTATAGTAGCAATAACGAAATGATCTTATTAGCGCCGTGATAACACCATAATTCATACGTCTGTTTAGGTAAATTGAGATATGTATTTCCATGAATTAGCATAATAAATTTCATCGGAATAAATAACTGCCAATAGGTGGCAGACAGCTGGAGACCGCGACATTGGCCCCACAACGATGCACATGTCTGTATGCTAATCATCACATGTATTAATTGAATTCCCCGCCAAAGCACACCACCACACGGCCGAGCAGCACTGAGGCAGTCAAGCGGGTACAGCTGTGCCACGGCATCAGAATTGACGTGACATCGCCGGACCGGCCGTCTGCTGTACTCATATGATCATGATCTTGATTAACACTCCGCACTTTACTCTGCGGAGCGATTGGTGTCACACGGTGCTTTACGCAATGAAAAGTTAATGCTGTGCTTGGATAAGCAAATGTCGTCTGGCTACTCACCGTCAATGGGGTCCCCGAAGGCACTGTGAGTTGGCACATGCTGGTGGTGGTGATGGTGCATAGTCCGCTGATTGTGATGATTGCCTGCGTGCGCGAAATCTCGCTCAGTGTCCGACTCTGTGGCAGTCTCGCGATGGTAGCCACCGCTGCTGCTGCCGCCTCCGCCGCCGATCACATCGCCTGGACTGGAGCGCGGCGTTATGTCGATCATGTCTTCGTCGTCTGTGGCCGGCGCTGTGAGTGAGGTGGTTAGTTTTGAGAGAGGCGCGAGCGGATGATCGTGATAATTTGCATCGCCTTCGCCCTCAGCACCGGCTCCGCTCGTGTGACCGTTTGACTGAAAGAACACACAAATGCAGAGCGTCAATTTCGGAATATATAAAGGTACACGGGTTCTTTGTTTACGCTCAGATATTGATAAGATTAAGATCGTCGTTCGACCCAGTGTGGGGGGGAGGTACCATTAGTACGCAGACACTGTTGCTGCCCACACACACACAGAGGCACAAATCACTGCCATGGACACAAAAACAGCAGCATTTCCGCCCCTTTACGCCAAATTTGTGTGCGTCGCAACTACCGTATGAATATGTACATACGTGTGTATGTATGAACGTGTGCACGTAGCTGATTGAGAAATCTACCAGGCTTATCATTCCACTCCATTCCCTGATGCGTGGGCTTACCTTTTTCATTACCGTTTGGTAGGCGGTTATGTAGCTGTTCCCCTCTGCCGCAGCCTCCCTACTGCCCTTCAGTGGAAACTTTTCCATTACTTCAGCCCGTTGCGCGAATAATGGTATCGGGTTTTCCTATTTTCGTCGCGTATTTTGCGTTGCAGTGGTGCAGCGAAGCGCAGTAACAGCACAGTCGCAGCGCAGCAAGCGTACGTCACACAATACAAACACACACAAGCAGTTATTCGACTAACAAATCACTTTCTTTTCACATTTCACTTGTGGCTCGGCTGTACATTCGATTGCAAGGGCATTTAGTTGCTCAAAACTTGTATTTATTCCTTTATATAGTATACATTACAGTGGTTCAAAAATATGTGTTTTTTTTGTGCAAATCAGTGTGACCGCGGATTTATTAATAAAGTATACCTGCCTGACCGTCGGAAATATACTGAGATATACCTCCTCATTTTCGAAATTACACCACAAATATACCAAGAAAACGAACTTGTTTGCAAAAGAGAGATGGCGAAACGTCGATTTTCCTCTCGTAGAATACTCTGCCAGTATCGATGTCCTTCGATTTCACTTTTATCGAACATATTTATCGAACAAAAATATTGATGATTATATCGAAAAAATGTATATATATAGATATATTGATATCAATATATTCTTACATCCCTATTTCAAATTGTTTACGCCCGAGTGTGGCGCATCAAAAACACAAACAATTAGAATAATGTCTGGTTTCGTAGCGGTGCATACAGGTTCGTATTTTTCTAATTTTGTCGGCTGTTTCTTGCTGGCAGACAGCTTGAAGATTGATGGGCGCATATTGTTTCAGGGGCTGGAAACTGCATCGATGAGACCAAATACCAACGGGTGATTAAAGAGGCGTGTATCCGGGCCACGGACATTTTGCGAAATGGGGGATCAGCCGTAGATGCCTGTGAGGCTGCCATAATTCGCCTGGAGAACTGCGGCTACACGAATGCCGGCTACGGCTCGAATCTCTGTATGGACGGTTCTGTGCAGTGTGATGCCGCTATAATGAACGGATCTACCCTGAACTTCGGAGCGTGCACAAATGTCAGCCGGGTGAAGAATCCCATTCAGCTGGCTCGCCAGATCTGTGAGGCACAGTCGAATCCCCAGCTCCTGGAACGCATACCGCCCATGGTATTAGCTGGAAGCGGAGCGGAGCGCTATGCCGACGAAGTGGGATGTTCAATGGTGGATGGTTTGTACCTAATAAATTCTTTTGAATAATTTAAATTAATCTATGAACTTCCATTTAGACAGTAGCTTAATGATCTCATCGAAAGCGAAATTCCAGTTCAATCATTACAAGAGTAAATACGATCTGGTTGTGGGCAGCAGAAACAACAAGGCCGCCTCCGAAGAGCCCGTCCCTGTGCCCGATGCGAGCAATGAAGTGGAACTCGCAGCATCGCTGGACACTGTGGGGGCCGTGTGCGTCGACGGCTCCGGCAACACTGCAGCGGGCTGCAGTTCCGGCGGAATACTGCTTAAAGTGCCAGGGCGGGTGGGCCAGGCGGCAACCTATGGGGCTGGCTGTTGGGCTACCGACACAGACGATCTGGCGATAGCGACCTGCACGACCGGCAACGGGGAGTACCTGATGAAGACGCTGCTGGCCAGAGAGATATGCAACGGAGCTTTCACCAGCGACTGTGCCGTGACTAGTCTGCACAAGACGTTCACACAAAAGTTTCTCGACTCTCCGCTGCTGCCACAGCAGCAGGATCTATATGCCGGCGCCTTGACATTGCTCTACTATCCGAAGCAGAGCAGCGGCGAGGTGATGTGGAGCCATACGACGCAATCGTTTTGCGTTGGCTACATGGCGACAACGCAGAAAGTGCCAAAGGTTTGTATGCCAATGCGAAGCTATGCCAGCCAGCCAGCCAGTGCAGGCAGCCACTATCCATCATTTTCTAATTCCGTACGTGTGTGCGTGCTTGTGTGTGTTTCTACTTTGCAGTTTGTACACTCGCCACTGCCCACATACAGCGTCCCGGGCCGATCATGCGTCGTCAATGGCCATAATTTCCATTTGCGCATTTAGATGGGGGCTGGCCAGCCGCAGTGTCTGCCGGCCCCGCCCCATACCATCCTGTCCGACGTTCAGTGTCAGCTCTGGGGGATTCTGCAATTCATTTGATTTAATGTTTAATTGCCGCGACAATCGCTGCCAATGCAACAGCACCACAAGCAGCAGCAGCAAGAGCTTTGCCTTTGTCTCTATGAAATATTAAGAATAATTAAGAAAAAAGTTTTCATTGTACTTATATTCTCGTAGGTTGTAAGCCGTATCTGTGTGAGCAGATGCTGAGACGTACGTGTGTGTGTGTATGTGCAATGAAATGAGTTTTCGAATATTGAAATTTCCCCTCGTTGAACGAAACTGTGCGCCAGATAAATCAGGCAGGCAGGCAGGCGGCAGCCGAGTGGGAATATCATATTCGTATGTTTGTATCCGCATGTATATTTAGACCCGCTGACGTATACATACATATGTGTGCAAATGTTTATGTCCAAGTGTTTACCGCCATCAATGTACAGAACTTAGCCCATTAATTTCAACGACATCTAAACTATAATATGCCTACACAATATCAAGGTCTAGTAGCTTTGATTCGTCCTCAACATGAATACATAATTAGTTTGAAAATGCTTTTACTTTTACTTTACCAATTTGTATGTACATGTATACATCTAATTATGACGCGTGCTGTTATAAACACACTCGTCGTCTAGTTTTTAATGGTTTCTCCGTTTATTGCTTGGTCGTAATTTGTTTTTGTATTTCCAGGCAAATATTGCCTAACATCTCGAGGCTTCTAATTACATCCAAAACCATAGAGTTCCTTTCGCTGACGTTAACTACTGCACCTGCACATGGCTCCTGGAGTTTAGGCAACACACACTTAATTTTAATTGTAAGAATAATCTACCCAATAGTCTAGGTCAAAATTTCAACTATGAATCATTAAAAGTGTATTACAAATCCAAATTAGATATGTCTGCATTACTTTTACCAAACAACTTTTTGAGAATTTTCTTTCGATGCAATACGGGTGTTTATTTCGTATCTTTTGGGAACATCTGTTTGTATATTCGTTTAGCGACCATACCATACCATAAGGCTGGACCTATGTAGTCCTACTCCGTACACCTAGTCGGTTTAGTTGCGGTGCATTTATTCGCTGCCGCGCTGTAGTATGGAGTGGGGGACGTGCAACTGTATAAGATAGCAAGCCAAGACGAATCTCCAAGATTCTCGCAGTAAATATAACTACTGCATGTCAAGTCGGCGGTATTTTCTTCGTTGAAGAACACATTTGTATTTGTAGAAGTTGAACAGGCTTCCTTCAAATCATCTTGAGTAGGAACAGTAACTACGGGCGGCGGCGTATAAATTTCGTTGGTGCAAGTGCTAGTATCCGCACTCAACTGTAAATGAAGCAAACGATTTAGTATAGCTAAAAAACCTCAGCACGGGATACTTACTCCCATATAAGTGAGGGCACAGCTGGGCACACAGAGATTTCCATAGGGGGCGAGGGCCTCTGCCACACAAGTCTCATCCGTACTGCAATCGAAGGCCGTTGTGGAAACCTTTTGGTCAACACATCGAGCATACTGGGTCTTGCTGACGCAAGCGAACTTGTTGCTGCCAATGCAGACACTACAGTTTGCACCGTTTCCGGCACCTCCACTGGAACCACTGCTTGAGCCACATACGTCCAGAATATTAACCCCATCCACAGACTCACTCTTCACGCAGACATCGGCAGTGTTGCTGCAGACGGTACCAGTGGGACATGTTGCCGCTGTGCCAATGGCAACATTGTCTGGGTGAAAATGTAGTTAGATATTTCCTCGGTAATCGAAATTCCTCATATAGCACTTACTCATGCAATTTTTGTATTGGGTTTGGCTCGTGCATATGGCATCGTTGCTGCTCTGGCACTCGTTACACACCTGTGCCGCCACGGAAGCCAGAAGCAGGGTAGCAGCAGTGGCTAAGATTGCGAAGTTCGTTTGCATTTTTTTTTTTGGGGTAATACGATGTGATGGGTTGCTCAACGTTAGATTTGAACTGATTTGGTGCCTTCAACTGATGTGCCTTATATAGTAGCTGCGAGACCGAAGCTTCGCGGAATTCACGATCAGCATCAACCTTCAACCGTTTATGGGTCCTTCATGTGATAATACTGTTTACCAGATGTGCCTTGGCTTGTGTCCCAGCCGTAAATCTAATATCATAAAGTAATATTGAAGCTTTTTGTTAAGGTGGTGTGGTTCCAAATATCATCAAAAAAAAAAAACAAACAACGAGCATTTGGAGTATCTTGATTTACTTTTCACGATATTATTAACCAAGGCTGTGGTGGTGTACGGATATTTGACTCATGGAAATGAAAATGTATATCCAAGATTCGTAATCTACGTTTATTTTGGATGTTGTACATATGTACATGTATATATAGAAATCTGTTTAACGCTGTTGTCTTTCTATACCCGATTGTGGTAGAGTGAAGAAATCAGTATATTAGGTAGGACCCTATCCTTACACCCTTTCTTGAAATATTTTCGCATGTAGAACGATCTTGTCCAAGATATGAGGCTTTGATCGAAATTTGAATAATAATATAATGTAGAGACTTAAACGAACTCACCTTGTGAATATAACTCTTTTTTTTCGATTAACGATAAAGTTGATATAACCCATACAAGTTGTGGTATAGCGTCCAATAAATGCGCTGCAAACAGATTTGTCAGAGGATCATTTCAGACAGCGTTTTATCTGCAAATAATTAAATTATTACCGTGTATGTTATCAAAGAAATTGTAAACCTTGAATGACAGATATGGAGAATTTCTCACGAAATCGACAGCTTTGTTATCTGCTCAAGACCAGAACGTTTTGGGGTATGCAAAATCAACAGCATAACACACCTCCACCCATTCAATAGGATATTTAGTTTGCTTGCGATCACATTTATTAAGTTTCGTATTTGAATCAAATTTTCTTAAATATTTTCTCACACAATTTTACATATTACACAATTCACGATTTATATTAATTAATTTTTTTTTTTGCGGTTTGTTGTATGTTTATCGTTTCCATTTACGAGTAACACAAAAATCTCTTAGGCGAATTTAATAAATAACAGAAATATGCATAGGCGTATGATCATTTGTTTCGTTATAAGCGACGGTAAAATATAGTACGATATAATACGATTCAAAGTGATGGAGAAACTAGGGGTGTCTGCTAATTAATAATTAACGTAATCGAATAGTAGATGTAATCGTGCATATGCAGGGCAGCATATCCTGATATGCTCTCACGTATGTATCTGTAACTACATATATATTGTAGATGAGCGCCATGGAGCTTATATTCGGTACGCTCCTCAGATTATGGGGGTGGTGTGGTGGGTATATAAATGGGGGATAGGGTACACTAAACACAATTACGAATGATACGGATGATAATGATTACACTTAGTACGTTGACGCGTGGGCTGGTTTCGAAAACAACTCTTCTTCTTCGGTTCTCTTGTGGTTACTCGATGATATTAAACATTCAAATGTCGAACTTATGATTCAGTTGCTCTAAATATATATAATATGCAATGTGTATATATATAATTTATATATGAAAAAATATATATGTATTATGTATATATTTATATATGTATGTATGTATGTATGTATATGTATTACGTAGTTAAACTAATCTGTAACTAGGGCTCATTTGATGAATATGTTCTCAGTTTTGTATGTAAAGGTTTTTTGCATTTTTGTTTGCTTTTCTGCTTTCCACTCGATCCTTACACAATTGATTTACATTGTATATAGTTAGGCTTGATCTGTGCAATTTTATTAATTAATAATTTTCACTATTTTGTATATAAAATTTGACCAAATACATATGATTTATCTTTATATAAAACGAACGAAACAATTCTCAACGATATTGTGGAAACATGGTTTCACCTTATGCTTAAATATCTCTAACACAATTAATAAACAAAATTTTGAAATTTCCCCCTTTCTAGCGAATTTCGCACCTTTCCTTCTTCTTCACTCTGCTCTTCTCCACTATTATTTTTATTTTTCAGCCCGTTCCCAGCTAGTGAATAACGTAAAAATGGTTGTTTCTCAATGATACAGATGATGATGATGATCCTCGATCCATACAGCAATACAGTGGAGACATCATTTCATTTACTTAATTTGCTAATAACTCTAATCAGCGCCGCGTTCTCCTCCTTCAGGCGATGATTATCCGACTTGTAGGCATCGAGTTGCTGTGGATCAAAGTGGAATCAAATTAGTACAAACGATTTATGTATGTATACATATGTATGCACAAGATATGGATACAGCACAGAGCACAGAGAGGAGGCACAAGTTCGGGGAGTGAATGTGCGTGGGACATGCTTCGTTAGTTTGAGGAATGCTGCCGCAGCATCATCAGCAGCATCAACAACAAAAACAACAGAAACAACAAACAAACGATTAGTAATTACCTACTCGTAAAAACATCAACATATCTGGACGCCCTGAGCAGGAGAGAACCACAGATAACATGCATGCAACCACAAACTATATAGAAATTCCGATAATACGAGCAGTACGAGTATCTATGAGATCTGTTCAATGATTCGTGTGCTCTTCATGACTTCATGACGCGTTTCGTGTGCCATGATAAGCTATAGGCGATCGGTTGGTCATATATTGTCGAATTAATCACATGAATACAGATGCCTGATGCGGATGCCAGATGTTCTGGAGATATGGTGGATAATGCCGTCCCATGGCATGGGGACGGAATGGAAAACGATAAACAGCGTTATGTTAAATAAGAACGACAGTGGACAAAGGTTTCGTTTATTTCATAGCTCAGGATCGGTCGATGGGTATTGGTGTTGGTGTCGAGAACACACACAAAGGGATAAACAAATTGGCATATAAAACTTGTAACAATATCAACAACAAGAGGAAAAACTCCATAGAATAGTTAGAATAGACACTAAATATGGTGTGTGTATACATATATGTATGTATGTATAATAAAGTACGATTATTAAGTAAAGATTTATTGCATATATACATTCAGAATGCTTCAAAATGTTTTCAATAGAAAATTTAAAATCTAAATACAGAGTTATAATCCAGATTAATGATTTATATACGTATAAGCTTAAGTTGGATCGCAAATGATATAACTACAATATATTATTCTTTAATTTAAATAATTTATTTTTTTATTTATTTTTAAAATCTATTATTTTTAGCAGTGAGCATGATCTTTGGTGGGATCTATGTCCAAAATGTGTCTTTATAATTCGAGCAAAGTTTTTTTATAAAAAGATCGATGGAAACAAAGGAAAATCTAATTGGCTTTTCTTTATTTCCTATTTTGTATTCCTCTCTAGGTTACAATCCAACTTCAGCTTTAGTAATCAAATCCTTTAAGAAATAAAACTCAGGCTCTAATATCCAATAAGAAAAACGTTTTTGAAACACTCCATAAGAAAGTTATTGATAAAAAATATATTTTTTATTAGGTTTATTTATTTTTTTGGTATGTGTATAACAACAAAACAACAACAGCCAGCTGATAATAGTATTTGGGCGCAGGTGGTTCATAGAAATGTCACATGTCAGGGTCTGGTGGTGGGTCTGATTTACCGTAAAGCTTCCAGCATCCACTAGACCACTGTTGTACCTTTCCCTTCTCCCCTCTGATGTGCGGCTGGACAGAGAGCAGATCCTTTGACCGGGGGCCCTGGTGCTGATGCTGTGAGTTTGATGCTGATGGTGGGGCAATTGAGCGTTTTGCGCTTCGTTGGCTTTTGAATTAACTTTACTTTGATTCGTGTGTGAGTATAGTTTTGATTTACGTTACTTAATCAGTGCGGTTACAGTTCAAGTGGTTTGTGGTTCCCATAAGTACATATGATATATTGATATTGTATACACATAATAAATTCGCAAACATTTTTTGATCTAGAGCAAAACAAGCCGTGGGAACAAGATTGTACTATATATGTATATATATATATATATAAAAGATTTTCGCTACCCATAGAGTTCATCGAAGCTTTAGATTATTGATACGCAGATGTTTCTATCTGTATGTATTGCCAGTGAGCGGTCCTCAAGCCCCATAATGAGCTCAAAGGTAACCACTAATTCCACTTAATTATTGTTACAAGTGCTGATATATTCGGATTATACTTATTTATCATTCGAGTATTCAAAACGACATCTAAATGTGTTAAATATAGTATTCAATATATAGAGACGATAACGGTATTCGCGCATTTGTGAGATTGTTTGCTTTTTGTTTTTGTGGTTCTGTGTGATTTGGGTGGTGGGGGGTTGTGCTTAGGCGATTGAAATGCGTTTCGATATAGCTCTATTTGGCCTTGGCCAGCTGGCTCTGGGCCGATGTGGTCAGCTTTGAGACGACCCGCGTGAGGGCACGGTTCTCGGCGCGCAGGCGGTCGTTCTCAGTCTTTAGCTTCTGCAACAGCTAAAAATCACCAATCAAAAAAAATCAAAACGAAATCATACAAGAACAGCGGCGACGCAAGAAAATATAAAAACAATCGATCGATCGATGAGGCGCGTGGGAAGAGAGAGAGAGAAAAGAAAAACAAATTTAAGTGAGCTTTTGTTTTTGAATGAGAGATAGCGCGCATTGCTTTATAACGGTTAAGAGAGTGCGAGAGATAGACTTATAACGGTCAACGGGTAACGTGTAACGGATAACGTGTAACGCATGTGGGAGGAAACAGTGACCAAAAATCATAAAAGGATGACAATGATGATCGACAGAATGAGAAAGAGAGTCTGACAATGACAATGACAATGATGATGATGATGATGAGAGAGAGAAACATAATGGAGAAGAGTAGTATCTGATGTAGATGAAATCTCGAGGCATGTCTGATATTTGATGTAATTGCAATTCATATTGGGAAATCAAACAAATAAACGGGATGACAAAGATGCCAATTTTCGGTGGAGGAATGGGGTCAAAACAAATGGCAAACAGAAATCAAAAACAATCGCTTCAATGTACAGCAGATATAAGACATTGTAAATCGAATTTAGATAAAACAGTGTCACAGAGTGGACTAGGCTAGGTAACTTGGTGTTCTTTGGTATAAATAGCAAAACTGGCCAAAAGGTAAAAGCAAGAAACGAAAGGTATTTTAATGAAAATATGTATTGCTACAACGAGGGGTGCAAGGGGTGTAGCAGGAATAGGCAGGAGTTGGAGGAATCAGCCAAAATTACGGATTCTGATCATAAGAACAGAAAGCACAATTCGCTTTAGTCAATTTTCTTAAAATAATAATGGGTTAATAAAGAAAAAATCAATCACTACGAAAATGAAAGAATTAGCTTCGGCAGCCGAAGCTCTAGATACCCTTGCAGATCGATAGTTCCCATGTCAGCTACACACATTAACTAGCGATCATTTTCCTTCAATCTCACGTACTGTAAAATAAGGTATTTGTGATGTACCAGATTGAACAAAAACGGACAGACATTCTAGTACAATCGTAATATCTGCAAGGGTATAAAAACTGAATAAGATTGGAACGCGGGTTGCATGCAGCCCTGTGTTATATCGATAAGGAAAAGCAAAAATCAAAACTTTTGGCCAAAATAGAAAAAAAAGATAATCTAAAAACAGTATAATCAGAAACAGAAAGGGAAATAAAGAACAGTGGAGGGAAGGCAATCAATTTCGACTCCTGTTCTCAGAACACAATTTCAATTTCAAACAGCAACAATAGTGGCAGCGGCAGTGTCAGTGGCAGCCGCTAGGGCTTACGGATAGCAAAGGACTCGTTTGTAATTACCTTGAGCTCTTCCTCCAACTCGGAGAGCTTGCGTTCCATAGCTCTTCGTTCACGTTTCTCAATCTCAGAGAGTGAGTTTTTAGTGGTCTGCGAATGTGAAATGAAACAAGATTTTGTTTTTTTTTTCTTTTTCTTTTCTTTTTTTTTCATATGGTAATTTTTGTTTTTGGTGTTGCTTTTGTTGGTTGGTTTTTTTGTTTGTAGTACAGTGTATAACTGTTGTAGTTCTTGTTCAGTTTTGGTGTTGTTTTTGGTGGTTTGGTTGGACAGAGATCGCAGAGAAGGGGAGATGCGATGCAGCGAGACAGAACGCGAGCAAAAAGCTTGACATGAGACGAGGCAGAGCGAGGCAAAGATGTAGAGAGAGTGTCGCTAAATTTCTAGTGCATGAGCAAGGTGTACTTGGGTACAAGGTGAGGTAATCCCACGGGAATATCTCAACTTATATAAGTACACCTTTGGCACGGATGATTTTGTAAGAGTGAGTGGGTTATTGAGTGAATGTATGTATAGATCTGAGAGAGAGCACTACTCTCTCCCGGGGACAGAAGAGGAGATACAGAGCTGAGATGCAGAGAGAGAGAGCTTTCTGTTGTTTTGTGTGTGTTTGTTGTTTTTGTTGGTTACTGCTAAGAGTATGCTTTTGCTTTGCTTTTGACTTTCGTTTCTTTTCTCTTGGAGAGAGTTTTGAGTCAGAGGAGTAGTAGTAGTAGTGGGCTGGTGTGGGCGTGGCAGGTTAGGGCAGTGTCTACTTACGGCATTGGCGAATCTCTCGAGTGTCGCGCGCGTTTGCACAACTTCGTCATCCTTCTGCTTGAGCACTTGCTTCAGCTTATCGTTCTCCAATCTGTGTGAGAAAGTGGGACGGAGCAGTGAGCAACGATTATTGCCCGAGAAAGACAGTTGCAATATACTCACTTGGCTGCTTCCCAGAGCGCCTTGTAGTCAATGCCATCGCCGTTCTCCGCCTTGTCGCCGCTGCTCTTCGACTCGCTGCTGGTCGTGCTCGTTGCGGCCGTACTCGTTGTGCTGCCCAGTCGGGAGCGAGACGTGCGTTCGCTGCCGCTCTGCAGGTGAGGGAGAAAAGTAAACGGGATTAGAATCGAATTAACATGGGATTGTGTTCTCTTTGAGGTAATACTATCAACAACAACAACAACAGCAGGAGAAAAAGTACTGCCACCAAAAGCCAAGGTGTATTAAAACAAGGTGAGCATTTCCAGACAGCCCACTCAATGGGTTCGATGAGCGATAATCGCTCACCTTGTATGAGCACACCTTGAGCCTGGAATCCCTTGCTTACTTCATAGCCCTCGCTCTTCTCGGAGGAGGCGCTAATGGATCGTTGAGCGGCGCTCCGGGAGCGTGTGCGATTGCGCGACTTGCGCTCCTGTTCCCGCAGAGAGTTGCTGCGAGTGGCCGCAATGGCTGCCACTGTGGCGGCGGGGCTCACGCTGCTGCTGGTCGTCGGGGTGCTGCTGCTGCTGTACGGGGAGGCAGTGAGGCTGCTGTTGGAAGTGGACAGGGACTTGGTCTTCAGCAGGCGAGAGCCCTTGAACGAGTTGGAGGCACTCAGGCCGGGGGACTTGAAACTGAGCGAGGCCGTGGTCACACCGTTGTCGTAGCTGCTCGAGTAGGGGCTGACATAGCGGTCGCTCGAGTACGCGGAGGAACCCGCGCCAGAGGAGTAGGCGCTGGATCCGTACCTGGAGCTGTCGTAGCCCCCACCGCTGGCTGTACCGTTCGAGGACGACGTCGAGGAGGATGCGGTGGAGAGAGAAGAGGAGAGAGCAGAGGATTTAGATTGACCGTAGCTGTTGCTTTGCTTGCTCACGACAATGTGGTAGTGGCTGCCCGAAGAAGCTGCAGAAGCTGATGACGACGGCAGATAGCAGTAGCGGCTGCTGTGAGGCTTGGCAGTGGGCGTGGAGGCTATGGAAGTGGTGGCGTGGCATGTGGAAGAGGAGGCGGATGGGGATGCAGCTGCAGCTGATGGCCCACTGCCGGCGACTGTCGGATGCGGAAGCTGGTGATGGTTAGCCTGATGCTGGTAGTGATTGTGGTGCTGATGGTGATGGTGAAGATACTTGGCTGCCGAGGCGGATCCGCCACCACTGTACTCGTATCGATTACCGTTCCCATAGTTCGAATAGCCCCCGGAGGAGCTGCGTCCGGCCCCGCCTCCGTACAGGCTCTCCCGTGAGCTGTACACACTGGCGTAGGGGCTCTGGTAGCTCCCACTGCCGCTACTGCTGGGGAAGTAGCCCGTGCTCAGGGGCCGGCTGTTGCTGCTGCCGCTGCCGTAGCTGCTGCCATTATAGTTGTACGCACTTGACCCGGAGCCCACACCACTCGCTCCGGTGGATCCCACCCTCGAGGAAGAGAGCGAGCGCCGGTGACTGGATAGTGGCGCCTGTGCGCGCGATCTTGAGCGAAAGGACATGTCGCTGACGGACACTAGAAGAAAGCACAGGCCCCATTAGTACATCTCCCACCCCGGTTCGTATATCAATCGTCGATATTCAATTGCAATTACGCTTAAACAGTCCGCCCAGAGCCACATGACCGGAATACCCTGACAGAGGGGGTATTTTCTATTCAGGAATTGTGAACAGAGAACGTATACAGAATCGTATACAGAAGGTGTGTAGCCGGTATAATGAAATTTACTACTACTGGAGGGATGCTTAATTTCTTGTTGACATTTCAAAGATATGCCCCCAAAGCTCAATAAAGAAACTTCTTAAAATTTCCAGAACTTAGTGCCTTGAAGAAATCCCCCCCATTTAAGAGCATTCAAAATTCGATTGCGATTGATCTTTGTTCCATTTTTAGACCTCGAGCACAAAAGGCAATTACGATTATAATCAAAGCGAGCACAAAATGTTCTTGAATTTGGTATAAACAAAAGGAGGAGGAAAACAAACAACTCTTGTGTGTATTTACACATGTACAGATCAAGATATATGTATGTATATCTGCGTATATACTCGTATTCGTATCCGATCTCTCAATATGGAGAACGCAATATTGACATGTGGTTTTCACTGTGCGTCCACAGATCGTTTCTCCTGTGGCTGGGGCTGGTGCTGCACTAACAAACCATTACGTGACGTCAAGACATAAATTTTGACAATTTTCCTTGTGTGGATCTGTACAGATTCTCTCTCTGGGGTTTCTCTTAGTTGTATCGAAAACAGATACACGCCATGATCTATGGTGGATAGTCAGTGTGCTGCCTATTTATTTGTTTCTCTAAGTTGATGCTCCTCATCCTCCCCACACCCACGCGACACAAAACAACAAACATGAAAACGAACTGACAAGAAAACGTTTTTCTTTTCAAGCAATTTTCCAATGCATATAATTTACGATGATCTGTGTCTGTTTCCTAGTATATCCATGCCATATACCTATGTATATATAGACACCGGTGGTCTATGGTCTATCTATAGGACGGCAGGCCATGAATGAAGCGGCTTTTCCCCCAAGCAATTTTCCCCGAGCGCTTAAATGTTTGGCCTTTTGCAATAATTTCCCTCTATTGAATGCCTGCTGCTGCTGTTTCGTGTTAATTCAAACATTTAACGTGGCTAATATCGCATAAGAAACGAAATCTTTTGGAACATACTCGTAAAATATCTGTGGTGGTGTCATGACTAAGAAAAATGATCGATGGTCGGGGGAGCACATTTAGAGGATTACGATGGGGAAATGCTCATTAATAAATAATTAGATCTATTATTGTTAGAGTTTTGTAATAATTATTTCTAATATATTTCCAATGGATCATTTTCTTTAATCTATTTATTTTTCTTCTATTGTAATGTTTTGTTTTGGATTATTTGTATAAGATCTGTCGAGAGATGTTCCTAAGAGTTGTTATGGATATGCTGTAGTGTGTAATGTTTCCTCAATGTTTACCAAATATTTTTTTTTACAGCCTTCTGTAAATCCCGAAAAAGATTACGAAATCCAATGCAAACCTACTTTAGAAATTACCTTAAAATTCGTTGGAAATTTTAAGGGATCTTCCTATATCACGCTAATCCTGATTCTGCTTTAGAGATCTTTTTGTACGTCTTTTCATTATAATCTTTGTGACTTATCGCATATTAAACTTTAACATTTACTGAAACAACAAAATCACCAAATCAAATTAAAAACTTATCAAAATAGCTGCCCATATTGGCAGCAGCATTAACTTGAAATGTCCAAAAATTATGCGCAGTAGTCCCCCAAAAAAGGAAAAGCCAACTTTTTGTTTGCTGCTGGCGACAGTCAAATCAACTCTGACTCTGTCTCTGGCTCTGCCATCTGCCGATCCCCCACTGATCTGTTTGGATATGATCCCAGGGGTAAGACGATCTAAGCGTATTGCAATTGATTTTTCTTTGACACGTTCGATGACAGCTTTTGTGGTTTTTTTTTTTTTGTCTCGATGCACTTGACGTATTGAATTCTTGTGTTTAATTGGGATTTACATTAAAGTTTAGACTGGTTTGTTTAGAGACGGTATTAAATGCTGATTCTGATGCTGAACTGATAGATGATCCGCTGTGCTGGCCGCACAAAATTCAACTGTGCTGCTAACAAGAGATTTGAAATGTTTTATTCGAATGAGAACTTGCCGCACGATCAGAAATAAACCCCAAAGAGAATCAAATCTATTCGAAAGAGAGGCAGTCAAAGCGGCAAAGAGCTGCCTCTAAGAGAGATGAAAAGCCGGAAAGAACAACACGGCGATAATCAGAATACTATAATAATTTCCATTATGAAAACAGCAAATATTAAAAGCCACCACAAAGAGTTGTTAGGAAGGGAAAAGAGGTGCAGGAGCAGGAGATTTTCACTTGAAATTGCGCACACAACATTTTCTCGTGTGTTTGTGTGTGGGGAAAATGTGCGAGTTTTCACCTGGTCTAAATTTAGTAAATCGCACACGTATTTGGCCCAATGTCCGAGACGTAAAAGTGTTAACTATGCTGGGGTCAGAGCCTCAGCAGCAGCCAACAGGGGGAGCTGAGGGAACCGGCGTACCAGCCCCAAGAACTGGGCCAAAAGGCGAAGCACAGTCATTGACACATGACAGATGCACCAAAAGAGACAGAGAGAGAGAGAGAGAGAGAGAGACCGAGAGAGAAGGAAAGCCTATTTCGGTCTATCTCTATATTTAGAGGTAGAGTGCAGTGCGTATCCCATTGGGGAGTTTTTGGGGGAGAGCTCTTGCTCCATCATAACTGGGCCAGAAGCAAGCCCATGCCCATGCCCCGCTCTGCTGCAGTCCAGCGGTTTACACTTTCGTTGAATGCATTTCGTTTTAAAAATAGCAAATGACGATCGCCTCGGTTCCCTGGTTCCCCCCAGGAGGGAATGAGGAAGCAAATGCCTGCCAACGGCGGAAAATGCAAGCAAGTAGGAGCTTTAGAGTCAATTGTTACGTTTACAAGATATCCATTGATAGTGGCAGAGAAAGCGGAAATAAGAGAAGACATACTGAGAGTAATGATAGCCACTGCTGATGTGGATCAGGCATCTCTTTTTGGTCTTTCCATTTCTAGGAAACTCTCAGTTTGCATTACCCTCCCTTGACTCGGCATGCCCTGCATATGCTCTACGAGTACACGGTACGAAAAGCAAACTGTTATAAATTTAGCACACAAATGTTATATTGGAACATCTGTCTCTCTTCCACCGCTCTTGCGCCTTCTCACGGTGATGCGCTTTTGGCTAAAAACAAAGTTCAATGTACGTGTGTCAGCGATTTGTTGGATGTCTGCTTAGTTTCTCATTATTATTGCAATTCTTTTTTGTGGTTTTCCTTTTGTTTGGGCTTTCATTTGGGTCGTACTTCGATAATTGCCCAATCTGTCATAGAATGTAAAAATGTCTACGAGCAACGATTGTGAAAGTGTTTTTCTCCCCCAGGATGCACTCTTTTCAGACGAGCAGAAGAATATTAGATAATGCAAACACTTGACATCGTCAATCAGCTGCAAGTGACACATTGGACGCATGCATCAGCGTCAGAGAGGCTGCCACCGACGGATGCCACTAGACGAATGGTTTTTCCAATAGTTTAACAGAGGGACACAATCTCAAAGTAAGGAAAATCGAAATTAATGAACTTGGAGCCTGTGATCGTAACAGAATCTACATATGAATGAATTTTATAGATTTTTTTATCTTATTTTTAGAGCTTTTCGGACAAATCGAAGAAATATTACTTTAACTTAAATAAATGAAACATTCTCCGAATCTGATTTCCTTTTTTCATAAAATTACAAACCATGAGATCGGATTTCAGAAATCACAGACCTAGTCACTATATAAGTGATCCAAAAAATTAACAATCAGAGCCTTAAGTTATGTGAACATTGAGAGAACTTTCTATATTCATAAAAACGTTTAGTATATTCTATGTAAAAATTCAAACAATTGTCCAATAATTAACAATAATTTAGAGAAGAAGCAAACGTAAACACTAATATTTTTCATAAATGACAAAATGCACTCAAAAATTGTCTGATAATTGAATAATAGGCGACAAACGGCGGCTCTGACACTTGCCTCAGATAAATTGTTAACAGGTTTTGCTGCTGCTGCAGCATTTTTAGCCACAAATTGGACGCGCACTAATAGTTCTGGCCTCGGCCATGAAAGGATTTCGCAGTAGCCTTGCACTTACGAGTGCACCGACTGTATACTGATCCCATTCCACAGCCACATTCAAAGCAGCCGCAGCAGCAGCAACAGCATCCACATCCACAATGCCACGTGCACCGTTTTCTAATGGCAAATCATAATTTCGTTTTTGGGTCGTCTGCTAATTTGAACAGACAGCATGATGGGTGGGAGGGAGGGGGTACAGAGCTACTTTGAAGGACAAAATGCGGCCAACGGGGTAACGATCTAAAATATGACAAGGTGTGACGGAATGGCCAGCAGCCGGCCAGCCAAAACATATTTGTGGGAACACATCAGAGGACAAAGAACGAAAAAAGAGTGTCAGGTGCGCACCGCACGGAAACAAGCACCTGACACACATTTTAATTACTTGGCAAGGTGTGAAAATTCAATTGCTTTTTAAACAGTTGCTGCAGCTGTTGTTGTTGTTGAAAATTTTTGGAAATTCTCAGATAGAAAGACACGAGAGAGAGAAAACACTCACCTCCTTGTCCTTCTCCTTGTCCTCATTGTCATTGTTGGACGACTCGTTCTGACGCTCGGGATCCAGTTCCTGCAGCAGCAAAAAAAAAAGAGAGATTTTTCTTATTTAGTATTCGCCTAATCTTTTGACTAATTAGCATTTGCACTAAAAATAGTTGGCACGCTGCTCTCCGGCTCATTTGGTCTGACAAATGGCCTGGCAATTACGTACAGAAAAATGCGTACAGATACGCCACGTATACGTACGATCTGTGATCTGAGCTGATCAGTGCGGGGGGGCATGGCTGAACAATACTTACATCCATATCAATGTGCACCACGCCGGTCGATCTGCGTTTTGGCTTGCGGCGTCTCTGTATGACGGTCTGTGTGCGATTGTCGTTCTCCTTGTCGTTTTCTGTTGGTGGGAGAGCATTTAATTAATTTTACAGTTCAAAGGTAATAATGATATTGATGTATTAAGGAGCTCAAGTACTAATTCTGAATATTACAAAATATTCTACTAGATTAAATATATCGGTCCAAAGGGGATGCAATGAATTACATGGATTCTCATGGCTAATTAATGATTTTATATTTTAAATATATAAAAGGGACTCCCCATTAACAGTGGAGGTCTTAGTCATGTGGTATGTCTCTGTATATATCCATTTTCTATTAAATTCTTGATAATTTTCGAAGCTGCCCCTTAATATACCCATGCTCAACGAAGCTATACATTCCGAATCCATTCCATTCATTCCCGAATCATCTTCACTCTTGAATACTGTCCCCTTACCCTTATCGTCATGGCTGGATGTGGCATTGGTTGCTGCCGCTGTTCCTGCTGCATGATTGGCACTGGTTGCAGACACTGAATTGGAGGTTGTGGTGGCTGTTGTGGTAGCTGCTCCTCCCGCTCCCGTTCCTGTGGATGTCGTTTCATATTTGCGCAAAGCTGGCGCGGCATAGGCGCTGCTGTTGTTGGTGCTCTCGCTGGGCGCAGAGATGGGGCGACCCACAGAGTTTAGTGACTGATTGGAAGCGTTGACTATAACCAAAAGAAAAACCATACGAATGAGCATCATTGAAGGATAAGAGTATATCAGGTACTCACGGGCATTGGGACCACTGCTGATGCGTCGCTGGATACCAGTTGTGGTCGACAGATTGGCAGCGGCCATTACCGCCGGGGCGCTGGGTATAATAGTGCTGTTGTTGGGCGGATATGTACCGCCGCCGGTGATGTCCTCCAGCTTGAACTGCAGGTAAAGATACTTGTATTATTATGGGAAGTACATTCGTATGCTTTACAAAGTCTGTGGTCACAAAAAGTCTATTATGTTTTGAAATGTTTTTCTCTAAATATATATTGGTTTGTTTTGTTTTGTTTGTTTGTTGTTTTGTGTGCAGAATGTGTGTGTTTTGTCTTACAGAAAAGCTATGCTGGAGAATGTTTCTTTGGGCTTTTGTTTTGTGGTTTGTGTGCAGCGGCAGTTAGTCTTTAATATACATTTAGTAATAGTCAAAAATTTCAACAATTAATCCAGACACCATTTGCATTTGGGGTGTAAGCCACCATTTCCATCAGTTAGAGAGTTCCCTTAACACTTATTAAACCTAAGCTAAAGCAGCTTCTGTATTCTCCCGTGAACCACCATTTGGATTAGAATTATTAAATAGCATGCATTATTATATATTATAAATTGTTAAGGAATATCCACAAACAAGCAGAAATCAGCCAAAAATTTAAGCCGTTCATATTGCTGCAATGTTGAGGAAAAGTTCATGTCTGATTCGATATGATTCTGGAGACAACAAAATAATACATACATAAGTAATAAGTAGTTGCTATTGCAGCTGTAGAGTATTTAGATTCAAGCATAAATTATGAAATTATGGGCAAAATGAAAACATAAATGGATATAAAAATACAAAATGCGTAATGTGAAACTAAAGTAAAAAGGGAAAACGTACTTAATAACAAACATTTCAGGCGTGTACAGACCTACAAAAAATAAAACATAACATCTAAACGAATCAAGCGGCTTACTAAAAAACGGCTAAAATACCCTTGCGATCGGAATTGAGATTAGATTTAATTTAGTTTGAGGTCAAATTTCAATTTAATTATTGATTTAATTGTAGCATTTTGGTCTTGCTCGTTACACATTTTATTATTGTAATATTTTCTTTGGTTTAACCGTTCTCTATAGCAAGGGTATTTCCGTTCTTCAGAAAACCATAGTTATTACAATACTAAATCCATGCTACACTTAGAGTTTAAGAAAAATATTATAGACAACCGATCGAGATAGTCTTATGTGGCATACAAATATATCTTGTATATAAGTAAGACTCTGGGTTTCGGTTAGAGGGTTCGGTTGGGTAGTATGGGGCATACCTTGGAGCCGGCATCGAATTTCAGGCGCCAAGATGGACGCCGTTCTGCTGTCGATGTTGATGTGGAGCTTCCACCCGCACCACCAGCACCACCTGTTGTTGCTGCTGATCCTCCACTGCTGTCCGTTGTGCGTCGTGCATACAAACTGAGCAGAGAGTCGCGGGCATTAAAGTCCGGATGTGCCAACACGGGCGAGGCGGTGTCGGACTTGGTATCCGTCTCCTGGCTGCTGCCAGACAGGCCACGCTTGTCCCGCAAGCGCACTGGACTCTCGAGCGAACCGGGCGTGGTCGAGGAGGATGACTTGATGGCCTCAGTCGGGGCCGCACTCAGTGGCAGATCTGTGGGCCTCGCCTTGTGCTGCTCGCTCTCCGCCTGCTGCTCGTCAGTCTTTTGTTTGTTGGATTCCACCTGCTCTTGCTCACTCTCAGCGCTGTCGGAGATCTTGTCCCGCCGCGAGACTATCGTGTAGCTGGCACTGACCACTGCCTCTGGATCATCGACATCACCCCCGGCATCGCCATCGCCGTCGTCGTCATCGACGACCAGAGAGCGTCTGGACGGCGCAGAGAGGGTGAAGCTGGCCGTGGTGTCGTTTGCACTTTGCACTGGACTGGGGGCCAGAATGGTCTCGATCTCCGTCTCGTCGCTGGTAGGTATTATGGCTGGCGGTGGCGTGGTGGGCGGTGGTGGCGGCTGCGGCTCTTGCTGGCTTTCATCGCTGATGGATGATGGTTCTGCTGTGGCTGCCGATGCCGCTGTTTCACTTGTTTCGTTCTGTTAATAATATTAGTTTTGGAACAAATAAAAAACAGTGGTCCTAAGGCGATGTTGTTTGCTCGAAAACAAAAATCAAAATATCTCTGGGCGCGGGGGAGGATAGCTACTAGACCGGTAATAAATAGATATATATACATAACATACGATTACGGATACGGATACGTAGAGTGCGGCCCGGTTTGAGAATACTCTACGGATGCATGCGGATGGGACATGCAAAATGAAAAAAAATCATCAACATAGTCCATGGACATACAAAACATATTCTATACATAGGATAATACGTGTACAGGCCTACTACAGAGATCGCACGTACCAGATCTCTATGTGGGATGGCCCATATCATATTAGAAAATAACTTAAAATTTGTAAACAATAACGAAAATACGAACAGGAATGGCAATTCCCGGCGGGTATGGTTCACTGATCGGTGATCGGCGCTGGATGCTGGCAATGCTGATGATGGTTGTTGGGGCGTTGGAAATCATAAAGTAATATGCTACGCTATAAAAGAATACTCAACATTGATGAGAGGCTGCACTTGATTGTCGCTGAGGCGGGCGGGGGGCGCACAAACTGCGGGCGAGGCGTAACAGGGCGTGGCAGAGGCACAAACGCAGAAAGAACTCAACTTGATTGGTGGTTAATCGAATGGGTGGCAACGTACGCTAAATGAGCACTGATTGATCGATGATGGAACTGATTGTAAAGTGATGACAACTAGCCAACGTATGTGGGTATGCTGGGAATGGTAGGACAACAACAAAAACAAAAACAGAATGCAACAGCCACTCAATATATGTCGCATTTCTAACTTATTTTAGGGATATCATACTGTTCTGATTATTGATTCATTTTACTCATTATCATTGTTAAATGAGCTATATTAATGGCTATTCGAAACTTGAAGAAAACCAACAAAAATGTGTTTCTGTGACACTGAGAACATTAAAATATCTTTTGCGTAAAATAGAATTACGTGAATATAGAATGTTGCCTGCAGAGCTCTAATTTCTCAAAGAAAAAGTGAAAAACGAAATGACCGGAAAAAAAAAACAAAATACATGTCGTGTGCATTAAATCTCTTTCGAAGCAGTACTTTTTTTTTAATAGATATTCAGACAACCAATTGATGGATCATTTGACATCATTACGCAGATTCTCATACTTGTTTTTATTTAGTACCAAGTTATAGGAAGCAAGAAACAGGAAACTACCTTTAGGTAAATATATTTTCTCCCCAAAACTTCTTCAAAACCTTAGACCTCTTAGACTTGAACGATCTATGCGGTATCACAACGGGCCGAAGCCGGCCTAGGTGTGTCGGGTTTCTGACGATCCCGACAGCCGCCACCTAACCTAACCTAACCTAGACCTCTTAAGTACGGGGAGTTATAGGTGTATATTTTTCAAAAAAAAATGCATAGCATACTTTTTAGCGACCAGAAGGAAACTGTTGCATTCGGTTTTGTTGGATGAATTTTGCTAAGCTACAATAACTATTTTAGTATACATACTATACTATATATGTTCATCCAAAGATGCGCAATTCAACCAGGATTCATTATTTGGATTGTTTGATTGATTGATTGCCAGAGTGTGTATTTGTGCAATATATGAATGAACATACACAGAAACTCACATAAAAAGATACAAAGGATACACAAAGAGATCAAGGGGGACAAGGGTACACCATAACCACAAGCAGTTTTTGTACTCTTTTTTCTATTAGTTTTTGGTGTGTTTTTGGACATTTGATTGATTGATTTTGGGGTTGTGGACTGCATGTGGACATCGTGTATGTGTGTGGATGCTCTGTACTCCCTACAGATAATGGGATAATGTATGCGATTCTATGGAAATGGAGAAAGGTGCTACTGCTACTTCTCTCTGGCGTTGACGAGTGTGGATGTTTGTAGATGTTTGATTTTTGTTCTGATTTGTGAATGATACTGGCTATTGATTGGGTGGTGGTGTCTTGGTCTTGGGACCCGGGAGTACTTACGGTGCCGCTGCTGTTGATGTTATTGTTGTTATTATTGTTGTTGTTGGCCATGCCCATGTTCTTCTTCTTGACCAACTCCTCGGCACTCTTGATCTCGTCCAGGGTAACACCCTGGGTGGACCGACGCGTCTCACGAACTCTCTTGGCATGCGCTTTGCGCTGTGTTTCGCTCTCTTCGTCACGCACGGGAGGTACAAAGGATCTAATGGTAGGAGAGAAAGAGAGCGAGAGATACGTGAGAATATAATAATTTGAAATTCCTTAAGTAATTAATTATTGAACGTATCCTAGCTGAAAGAACACTAACGGAATAATCATGCTAGACAAATCAAGGTAAATGGGAGCGGAAAAAAGAGTTAGCAGCACTGGTTTTGAGGTTAGACGTCAATTAACGACAGTAACAGATATTTTTGAGATTAGCAGTGCTTTCATTTGAGACTATGCTTTACTTAACGAAAAAGAAAGCCATCTTGCTTAGCAGCAAGTCAATATTTTGAGCTTAGGCTTTTCTTAACGAAAGCTACTTTGGAGGTTAGCGAAACGATCAGCTTAGCAGCAAGGCTAATTTTTTGAGGTTAGATTCAACGAAACGAAACACAAAACAGCTATTCTTTGCGGGTTTCTCGTATTACTTGAAGAAATTCTTGATTATATTGCCCGTCGATTGCTTGGGCGGTGGCTTGGCGCTCTCCGCATCGCTGGCACTGGCCGTAGAGGAGCTGCCATTATTGCTCTGGGCAGTGGTTTTTCCTGTAACTTGGCTAACCGTTCGACAAGGATCGCATAAATATTTTAAGAGTTGTATAAGAGTGTGGAATATTGTATAAGAGTACTAACCTGCGTATTGGTGGGGTCAGTACATTCGTCGATGGTGAACTGATGAGCGTTGTAGTTGCTGTGGCTGCTGTGCTTGTGGGCGTGGCAACTGTAACGGTCGGTTTCCTGCCACAAAAAGAGACAAAACAGAGGAGAGCATGTCATATAAGAGAGAGTGCTGACCAGCGCATAAGAGAGAACACAATCAAGAGTATAGGTAGACGACATTGGTGCGTGGCTGAATATAAGAGATTTTTAAACACAGTTTCGGTGCAAAATGGTATTTGGTTCTTGGGGTTATAGGAAAAAAGAAAAAACAAAGAAGCTAAGCGAAAGCAGCACAGGTTCAGTTACGGAGTTACGACACATTCGGTTAACAGTTATATATGAGTAGGCGTGAAAATTTTAGTAGTATTAGTAGCAGTCCACCATAAACTAGATCAGTTCTGTTCGGAATAGCCGGAATACTATATTTTGCAAATTAATATTTATCAAAAGTAGTTTAAATATACGTAGAACCAAAAAAATACGCAGATTTTTTGGTTGCAAGAAATTCGACTTCATTGCAGCTTTTTTGTATTCCTCGTTACTTATATTATTATGTCTTTAATAGGACTTCGGACAAAGTACGAAATTAAATCTTTTAGCTCTGAAATATTCCTAATAATCGATCCCTTATTTCTCTACAAAGTGATCTACAGAATACCGAATATCTGATCTAGTTTTAGGGGGTGGACAGCTCTGAGTGTGTGTGTGTGTGTGTGTGTGTGTGGTGCGAAACAAACCTGTAATACATTGAGTTATCTTTGAGTGAGGCCGATCTTTGTATGCTATAATATGAATTTGTTGTTGCAGCAGTGGATGCTGCTGCTGCAGCTGTTTGTGGTGTGCTTGTTGTTGTGTTGTTGTGCGTGTTGTTGAAAGTACTGGATGTTGTTGTTGCAGTGTTATTTATTCTGTTTGTTGTTCTTGTTGTTGATCCCAGCAGCAGAGCGCTTTTGTTGTTGTTATTGTTGTTAAATTTGTTGTTGTTATTGCTACTTAGATTATTGTTGTTATTGGAATTGGAATTATTCGCAGCAGCAGCAGCAGCAGCGGCGGCCGCCTGTGACGCCGCAGTCGCTGGCAGAATGGGACAGGAGTTGGCCTTTATGCGGGCTCGCAGCTCATTGTACTTTTGATAGAATCTGTGGCAAGCAGCAGCGGCAGATTGGACGTTGGACGTTAGACGTTGGTGCGGGCGGTGGCAGGCGTGTGGTGGTTGGTGGTGGCAGTGGCAGGCGGGCGGGCAGCGGGCAGGTTAGATTTTGGATAAGCGGGTTTTTTTATGATGAGTTGTTGTTGTTGGTTTTTGGCGGTGCGTTGGTGAGTTTGTTATCGATTTTGATTGGTTTGTTCAATTAGTTGATCGATAAATGAGCGGAGAAAAAGAAAGAAAAAAAAACAGAACAAAAACAAAATTTTAAAATGAAAAACAAATCTTTTCTTCTCTCTTGTTTGAGTGTGTGGCTTTTGGTGTTTGATTTTTGTTTTGGGATCTTTTTGCTGTTTCTGCTTCACTTTGCCGGAGTGCACTGGCTTCCGGATTCATGGGAATAAAACTGGACAAAAAGCCCTCTCCCCATATGAATCATAAGGAGAGAGCAGTGAGTCTTTGGCTATTTTCTGCATAGAGAGAGAGCAGTGTGTGATTTACTGCTCTCTGCAGTGAGAGAGAGATACCAGTAACGGGTACTGTTTCTTTAGAGAGGGAGCATGATTGGGCTAACTGTTTTTTCCCAGTTAGAGAGCGCATGAGAGCATTGCGGTATATTTAAACATTTACCGTACCCAAAATTCGCATATCATATTGTTGGATTTCGTTATCTGCTGTTTACGCTTTGATTTTGATATTCGTATCAGCATACGAACACAGGAGAATGAGTGTTTTTGCGATTGGCGTGTGTTTGTGTGTGTGAGTGTGTTAGGGGGGCACAATGATAAGCGATAAATGCAATCAGCAAATGTGAAACAAAAACTGCAAGAAAATCCACCAATTAACCAAAACTTTTGGCAGATTAATGAATATATATAGCTATATATGTATATATATGTAGGTTAATCTGTTATTTGTGGTATTTGGGATGTGTGTGTGTGTGTGTGTGGCACGCAGTTCTGTCAAAAGCATAGGGTTCTTTTATTCACAACTCACTTTTGATCATTCTCAAAGCTTTGGGTGCGTCGCAATATGACATCGTTGGCGCTCTCCGAGCTATTGCTGCTAAGCTCTCTATCAGGAACTTCTGCAATAGAGAGAGGGAGAGATCAGTTATCAGATCAGAACAGATCAGTTGGTACTATATATTGGAGTGCGTTTCAGAGCTTAAATATCGATCGATCTTGGCACAGATCCTTGTATTTAGTCCAATTCTTCTCTAAAATTTCTACTGGAATTGCCTCCTGCTTTGAAACGTACTGTTTTCCAACAAGTACTTACGATTATTAGTGGGACTGTCGTTGGGTACGCGTGGCATCTTGCGTCGCCAGGGTGCCTCTTCCTCGACTGGATGCTCGACGGCGTGGATCTGCTGTTGATTGGGCTTCACATTCTCGGCTAAAAGATGCAATGGAAATATGTTTTAGCTAGGAAATATTGAATACAGACAGACACACAATAAGGTAGAGACATGGAGTGGGATTAGTGGTGAATAAGCGGGCAGAGAGGGGAAGTTTTTGTGATTAATTCCTGAATTGAGACGCAAAACAAATGCCGACTACCTTCGCTCTCGCCAGATAGACTAGTGGTGTGTGAGGATTCCGTGGAATCGCTCAGCTCTTCGGCATCGCTCTCGTGGGCCACAGCATCATCATCATTATCATCATCGATTGGAAGCAAAGCTTCACTACTGGAGGCGCAGTTCGAACTGCTGGCAGCTGCAGTGTGCGTGAATTACAAGCAAAAGACAATAGACACAAAATACACAGAGAGAGAGAGAGAGAGAGAGATAGAGACAAAGAGGAGAAAGAGAGAACATACAGACATACAGAGAGAGTGAGAGATTGGGTATTTCTATGGTTTTCTATGGATGAAAGATGATCTTATCTGAAGATGATCGTAAAATGCTTGAATGCAAAATGAATTGCAAATTATACAAAGACGGAGAGGCAGTGGCAAATGTTTTACGATTACAATAAATGCTCCGACAAAACAGAACAATGTGTTTTTCTTTTTTAGCGCGCATGAGAACCTAAACAAAGGACAAAATACAGGACGCAAGGTGTTTTGTTTTTTGTGTGTTGTGCGAGAAATTAAAGAAAGCTTTTCGATTATTAGGAAAATCTCCATTCAGCTGAGGGACAGTTCTCTGGGGGTGGGGGGGAGTGTATGTGTACGCACCATCCTTTGTGGCATCAGTTCTCACTTCAACGCGCACCAGTTTGGTGGGTGTCTTATCCACATGATTTTCAATATCATCTGAGATTCTGTTGCAAGTAAATGACATTTTTCCATTGATTATTCGATATTGATTCGGATATATCATCATGGACCAACCTGATTTGACTAGATGGACGCCGCTTGTTGCGTTTGTTGGCCCGCAGTTCTTCCAGGAATTTGACTATTTTACGGTCGGCCACATCGATGCAGGACTGTCCCGCATAGTTGCGTATATCCATGTCGGCCAGGGATTCGACCAGCATTTCGGAAGTCTCCCGCTGGCCCCAGTGTGAGGCGGCATGCAGCGGCGTCCAGCCATCGTTGTCCTGACGATCAACATTACCGCGTCCCGCCAGCAGCAGGCTCAACACTTTCGTATAGCCCTTGGCGGCGGCCACATGCAACGCCGTGGCCCCTGTCTTCGGATGCGGCCTGTCCACCTCGGCGGCATCGCTGCGCAGCCATTTCTTGGCGTCGCTCAGCATCGCCTGCTCCTCGGCCTTGCGCGCCTGCTCCACATCGATGTTCAGCTCTCGGACGATCTTCTCCATGTAGTCGATCATGGCCATGTGCTGCACATCGATGGCCAGATCCAGGGCCAAATCCCCATCGCTGTTTACGGCGGCCACATCGGCACCATTCTCCACCAGATAACGAGCTATGCTCACAAACCTAACAATGAAAAGGATTCGAAATAGGATTAGGAATGTCAAACATGAATAACTTGGCTGTGGCCACTCACCCGCAGGAGGCTGTGGCATGCAGCGGCGTCCAGCCCTCGTTATCCTGACGATTGATGTCAGCACCACGCTCCACCAGAAACTCAACCATGTCGAGATTGTCATCGATGCAGGCCTGTAAACGGATAAGGAAATGCATTTGTCAGATACAATCGATTGAGTAAAAGATACAATGTGTAATGAAATCATCGCTGAATCAGCGTTCGAACAACGGCACTTGCATGACTCCCCCAAACTACTCGAATGGAATTAGTAATTTAGGAAACCTTTCGTCAAAAGACAAAGGCCGATTTTTTAAATATGTCCAACTGACCCCAAAGGAAAGGTTTTTCCGTTTTCCCATCTACGAGAGCTGCGTGCCAGCAGCACAATTTACTTTTATTATAAAGAAAAAGGTCAACGGCATGGCCATAAACCATTGAGTTTGCTGAAATGTATTTACATTTTTTCCAAGCTTTCCAAACAATTTAATTTCGAAATTTTCTTCCGAATTGTATACATTAAAAGCTGAATCAACCTTTGTGGCACACTCTAGAGTTTTTCCCCAGTGATTTTTCGCAGTGATTTTCTTTGTGTAAATTGTGTATCTAGTGAAATGTTTTACATTCCCTTGTTTATCTTTATCTGTTGCTAAAACGTTAATGTAAACATATGGAATGGACGAACGGGACGGGACACCCACAGACGCTCCAGAATGTTTCTTGGGTGTTTATGCGGATTTCCGCTGAAGCCTCCGCCTAGACATCTTCGACGACAACGACAGCGACACAACGATGATATCATCGTGTGGTGTGGCGGCGGCAACTCCGCCGGCATTGTTGCTTCTTTGGGGCCGCCGCTATCATTCTCCCTACCCCACCCCCGTCCACCAATCCCTTCCAGGCCACCGACCACCACAGACCCATAACAATGCTCCGACGAATACCGATAAGCATTCTTTAAAGCAGAAAAGAAAGTAAAAGAAACGGCACGAAAAGAAAAAGAGCGCCAACTCTATTCCCTCCCCGTTGTAACCTATCCGCCAGCTTGCTGTATTTCTGATAAGAGCCTACATTTCGAGCTTCTTCTTTCTTTGACTTCTACTTCTCTCTCCCTCATTCTGTCTCTGTTGCGCCGGGCATATGGTAATTCACATTCTTCTTTTGGGTGAGCTTCAAAGTGACTTTTTGGCCGTCGTTTAAAAGCAATTTCCATTTCGCAGTAAAACGCATTAAAAAAAAAAAAAAAAAAAAAGCAAAACAAGGAGGAAAAGAAAGAGCTAGAAGTAGCAGGCGGTAGAGGGAAATAGCTAGAGCGAAGAATTGCTAGAAGTAGAAGCAGCGAGAGAGAGAGATAAAGAGGGAGAGACAGAAGGAGACAGCGGGTGGGCCGACGACGAGCAAACAATTTGTAAATCTGGAACTCAGCCAATTAATTAATTATGAACAATTTTGATAAACCGAAATGACGGACAAACATTGCTGCTGATCGCCGACGGGGGGAAAAGATGTACAGAAGTAAAAGTAGGGGAAGGGGAAGAGAGAATTGTCACCGCCCACGCGTGACCATCCCATCCGTCCATGGACGACGAATGTCCAATGACTTTTGGTATGCAAAATATTTTTTTGACACGAGCTATTATTCCATCAAAGACATTTACTGACGAGGCAGTAGCTGCTGTCCCCCCCTCTTTGCTTCCCCCACTCCCACCCTGCTCCTCTTTGGGCCTTAATGTCAGAGGAGCAACGACAACAAAATTCTGGGCTATTTCCATTTTGCATTGAAGACAAAATCCCATTTTCTGCTGGGAGGCCCAGAGAGGCCTAGCAACCAACAAAAAAAAAACCACAAAAACAATAAGTGGCAGCGGTAGAAATTAGTATGTTGACTATGGGATACCCTTTAACGCATATTTCTGTTGAAATTCTGTAAGCAATCTTTGAAATTAAAACCCAATAAAAAAAAAAAGAAAGAGTTCAAAACAGTAGAAGAACAAAACAGATTCTGGAAGTGGTCACCAGATAGATAAATCATAGCTGTGGTAGCATGTGGCACTAATAACGCAGCATGCCCCTTGCTCTCTACGCGCACAGGGTACTCGAAAATTGCATGCTAAGTTTAGCCTTTTGTTTTGGCACGCCATTGAGCGGCATTTTCAGCGGCAGCCACTGCCACTGACGCTGCCGTTGCTGCCGCCAAATGTTATTCACCTCGTCGCAATATTACGTATACGCAGCGTAGGCCAAAGCCGAGGCGCAACAGCGACTTGTTGAGACGACTTTTCGACTTTGGGCCGCCGCAGCAGCCATCAGCCAACAGCTTAACGCGGCTCATTATGCAGGCGGTTTGCTAAGCGCCATGCACCATTTGTCTATGTCTCTGCCACAGACAGAGTGGCCTGCACACAAGCCTAACTTACAACTTAATGGTGGGACTAATTCCTTGGAAATGGAAATCGAGGGAGTTAGATGGAAGGAAAGATTAGGGGCATGGGAAAGTTATTTACAGCTTAAATAGAATGAAACGAAAGCTTTTCCCCAAGTAAACACCAAAAATTTGCAAATAGCTAAAAATATTAAAAATCCTTCAAAATGTCCTTCTTAATATTTTTATAGATGATTTTGATGCTTTATTTGGAATAATCCCAGAATCAAAGTCTCTTTCAGTAGCTCCTAATACCCGAAACATTTAAAAAGAAGAGTTCGTACAATTGATTATCCCACAAAAGCAAAACAGATTCTCTTGCTATAACCCATAAATAATGAATATATTCAAAGACATTCTTTGGCACACATTGACCTATCCTATCCCTCCCTATTGTGGCATATTCAACCAAAAAATGTATGTATGCATAATACAATCGTAAGACGCTCTAAAATAGACGAAACGACCAAGCGCTTGAGTTCAATAAATTACAAATTTGAATTAGCGCCACGCCACGAGAGATAGAAGTGCAAAAAAATATAATCTACATAAACCATATGAATATACAAGCAAAGAATATATATACTTAAACATACATACATATGTATAAACGTATCTATAGAATCTCAAAATCTATATATCTTGAGGCATTTGCTCTCTATCTCTCTCTCTGTCTCTGCGCTGAAAAAAGCCTTCAAATACATTTTTCTTTTGACTTTACTTTTTGTACGAAAAGTTCTCATATATCGTCAGTGGGATAGTTTTTGCCAAATCGTTGTACAGCGACTTCTGCCTGCCTCAATGGCCTATTTGCGATTCTCAGATTCTGGTCAGTGGAATCATTTCCTTCATTTCTGTTTTAGGTGGCCGCCAGGTGGAGAGACCCAGAAGACATCTGGCATGGCATGGAAAAGTTGAAACACAAACGATTACAAAATTTCGAATAAACAAACGATGCGAAAGCACACACACCCACACAAATGAAACAAATATCAAATCGATTTCCTAATTTCGGATTCTTCAATTGTATTAAATTTTTGGATACTTTTTTATTTGGCTTTTTGATGAAAAAAGCTCTTTCAGAATACTAGCACTAGGATGACATCGATTCCTCGTTCCGATAAGGTGGAGGTGGGCATCATTTCTGCTTCTGTTTGGTGTCGCTTGGGCCACTTAGTGGTGCAACGTCCGACTAAGTATAGGCCTCGAAAATTTCCTTCTGATCGAATCTGCGGATCACCGTCAACAAATGTTCCATTATCACATGTTTAGATATTCAATATTCAATATTTGTTTATAGATTAGGCGACGAGAACTTGTTTCGCTTTTGGACAAACTGCAATTGGTTTTTATTATCTGGGGCATGAGTAATTTGTTTCTATACGAAAGTAATCGTTAGCTATATGTATATGTATGTATCTTATCTTGTCTAATGTTTATTTTTTACCCAAGATTGCAGCCTCAAGTGTGAAAACTTTTAACTGATAATACCGCTGGTACAGTGTACACTTTCCCCTAATGCAGTTTTCTGTTACCTCTATCAAATATTTATTTAAGATTCTGAATTATTTGCATTTGGACTAGAATTATACTGGATTTGTTCTATTTGTTCTTTCAAATATCGTAAAGTAAATCCCACATCACTCATGGTGTGTCATTCTTAATGAATAATGTATCCCTTCGCTTAAGGTAAATTTCTATTAAGAATCTACGTCATTCGCACAAGTGGATTAAAAAAAAAACAAAAAATTTTCATATTCAACTAAATGGGAAAACATTGAAATCCATTGGTCCAGCTGCTGGTCTGGTCAAAAATAAAACTATTCCTGGGCGCATGTCGTCATGATTTTTGGCAAAAATAATAGTATTTTCTTATAGTTTTCATTTCGTTTACATTTGTTTATGCGTTCGTGTATTTTTATCTGTATCTGTAGCAGAAAATATATAATAATCGGAATATAGAGAGAGAGAGGGAGAGATCTTTTGTTGGGTTTTGTAACACAGAAATGGCACACATTCTGTGGCTTGTGGCTGCTGCTGCTGTTCTATTGCTTGAAATGGTATTATGCAATGCAAACAGTATAGTAAGATACACAGAGATGTACAGGCGGCAATCCCCGAGAGCAGGCACTTCCACTGCGGACATCAATAACAAAATTGTATCTTTTTTGTATCATTTTTGATCAGTCGCAAAGATTTTAGCCAACCAGGCATTCAGGCAGGCATTCGACGAGAATCGTTTGTTATTTTTTGGGTGTAAAACATGAAACGAGAAATAAATCAAATCAAGTGTAGCCGACCGACCGACCGCTACAACCATTTATATACAAATCCATAAGATACAGATACAGAGAGAAATAGAAATACAGAAATACAAAACTAAAACTATCATCTTCCACTCTATATACACACGCGCTGTTAATTCTTGAGAGGATATTTCATGTGTATCTGTATCTGTAGCTATCTCCGTTTGAACAGTGCGTTTCCACAGCTGTCTGTCCCATCAGAAGCGTCCGTCTATCTGTCTGTCTGTCGTCCGAGAACCGGGCCAAGGTTAGAAAACACGTCAGTAAAGCGCGTTAGCCGCCGACAGACACAATAAACCGCATAAAAATCAACCCCAAACCAAAAACCTCAAACATCTATCTTTGAAATATATATTTTATTTTTTTTTTTAGGAAAACTCACGCAGCTTTTCCCCCGCCTCTACCCACCCCACAGGATCTCTAGATCTCGATCTGGTCATCGATTCATAGATCACGATCGTCATGTCAACGGATCAACGATTGTTATGATTATTATGCATTCATTTAGCTGCTGAAATCTATGGCTCAATTTGAGGGGAATCTTGACAGAATAATTTCTTAATTTATGCGCTGGACACAGTCCCCTCTATCTCTCCCCCCCTCACTGACCGCTCTCTATAGAAATATGTAGAATCAATTGCTAATTGGCAGGATGAAAATCACGATAATTAAACATATTTCAAATGGCAAGCTCAAGGCGATGTTGGAGACAGTGGAAAAAGCTTAAGGTGATTTTCAAAGAATGTTTCACAGCTGGACATGTGTTTATTATTCATTTAACTATTTCTGGAATCCTACAAATATGTAGATTCTTTTCACACTGATAAAATATACATATGTAGATTGTTGGCGGTGCACCCACGTATTTCCAAAATATTTTTTTCTAATTATAATTTTAGACCATGAAAATTAAGAAAAATTCATGCAAAAGAAACCTTGCATTATTCCTTGAACTATCCTTATATACATCAGATATATCTGAACACTCGTAAACATGTGTAATTTTATGGCCATTTCTTTTTGATAATTTTCCCAAATTGAACGCAGAGCGTAGCGCCGTTTTTGTAGGCCAAAATTAAAATCAAAATCAACCAAAAACACGGCTGATGGTCACTGCTCGCCATCACTCTCCTCCACAGCCTATATCTTTCATTCCATCAGTCATCATCATTTAGACATGGTCTAAGGTGCATGACAGTGTGCACAGTGTTACCCATATCCACTCAAATCTACATATATTTATATGGCACATAAGAAAATACTTGGAATGCACATCTACTAGTAAATAACTCTACAGATATTTATGTTAGCTTGTACTTTCTTTTCGCATTGCAATTTTATGTTAGCCTATTGTCAATTACATACATCATGTCTTTGATATGTTTCGGTTAAAGCCCATGTACGCACCATAGTTGAGGAATTTCAATTTTTACTTTAAATATTGGTTTGATTATAACTGAGTCGAAATTAATTTCGTTAGAATATAAATAGGACTCAATACAGGAAACAAATTAATCCCCAGGAGAGGCACAAAACAGCCACGGGAAACGGTTTTCTTAATTCAGTGATGAAAACAAAAGGACAATCAAGGCATATCAATAAACCTGATAGATGTGCATTGAAATTGATGATAACTGTCCAAAAAGTGTAAATGCCATTTATCACAGACATGAAACCACTGTGCCACACACCTCTGCTGATCCAACTGCAGCTCGTGTCGACCGGCGTCTGCCATTGAAAATGTGGTGCAGGTGCCAGGTGGTGTGGTGCTTTCGGAGGTGGTGGCTGTTTGCCTGTTGCCTAGTTTGTTGCCTGTCAAAGCTTATGAATGAACGAAGGCACAAAGGCACATACATACTAGATATGTACATATGAATGTGAAAATTGCGTGGCCCTTTAGAAGAGTAAGGAAAAACTGTCCAACAGTGGGGGAGTAAAGGAGGGTGTGGACTGTTCGGAGAGAGAGAGATAGAGAGAGCGAGACTTACAAATGATGGGATAATTATTATAATAAATGCAATCGTGAAATTCTGTTTCTGTTTTGCGGTTTAGCAAAACCCACAAGTGGAGAAGCCGGATCAGGTAATTCAAAACGTTGCACTGTTCTAACCTCCTTCCCACCTTCCTACTTCTACTTCAATTGCTATTATTATCATTTTTTAGTTGTAATTACAGTGTACCTCCTCCCTTCCCCAACGCACCCAACGAACCCCACGAATAATGATCCCCGTTGTTTGTGGAAATTAGCATCTGGTTAACAAGTGCGCCGTCGCGGTTAAACGGTGAAAATCTACGACTGACTCTCGCGGGAAACAGTCACTGCCACTGCCACAGGCATGGGCACTTGGAGGCGCAGCATAATTAAAATCAATTATCCACAGAATTGGAGCAGACGTTGAGTGCTAAATGTGTGTGGACGGACAAGCGGGATAATCATGCAAGATGACAAACAGCAGATCTCGAGAGAGAGATATGCATATATACATACATATGTAGTAAGATACAGAGCTTTGGTTAAGCTTCTAATGATAGTATTTCTTTGGAAAAGGGGAATATTAGTAAACAGATATATAGTTATTGGGTCTTTCAGTATTTTTTTTAAAGTTTGATCCAGAATTGACTGACTGTATCCAGTCAGTCCATTGTCCATTATCCCATCCATTACGGGGAAAAGTATAACAGTTCCTCTAAATTCCCCTAAAATTCAAGGGAATAAACACTTGATCAAATGAAATATCAAAGGTTTCCCGTATAAATTCATTCTTAACCATTATCTTTAGTATGTATTTTGCTGGCCAAGAATAAATCCCGACACAAATGAGCGAAAATGTGAAAATGATTTTGCGAAAAATCATTTTGTTTTTCCTTTCAATATTTAAACTCGCTTTCATGTGTGTTGTGCGATCCGATGCGATGCCAGAGAGAGGTATTGTATATTTTCTTGGGATTTAAAAATAGAAAATTTTGAGTATTTTCTTATTTAATGCCCGTTGCTCGTGCCGTTTGCTGTTCGTTTTTGTTATTGTTGCTGCCGTTGGGGTTTTTGGGTATTCATTCGACTTGTAAATCGTCGGCTTGCATTAGGAATTTATGTATTTGTTGTATTGGTTAATGTTTTAGTGCTTGTTGCGGCGGCTGCTTGGCAGTGTTGAAACCATAGAGAGAGCACGAAATACGCAACAATAACTACAACTAGAGAATGGCACTGCACAGTGGGGCAAAGCTGTATGGAAACCGTTTAAGGATTCATTGATATTTGACCTTGTAAAAATTTCTTGGTAGACTTATTGAGATTCAAGACATTTCGCTTAAATTTATCGACTTTAAATCGAGCAAAATTATATATAAAAAAAAAGATATTTCCCCTTCAAATAATTTGACCACTGGGACAGGCCACACCACCCACTGTGCAACGTCAGAGGTGCAGTTGGATGCAAAAGTTTCGAAATGCCAGCACCCTGCAGCCACACCCCACACACCCCATCGGGTGGTGATCGCGTGATTGTAGCCGTTTTGCAGGCAACTGATGTAATTCAGGGATTCGATTGGAGCTAAAGACGCACCTGATGCAAGGCCGTGAGGCCATCCACATTGGCAGTATTAATGTCGGCGCCCTGGTCGAGCAGATGGATCACCTCGTCCTTGTCGCCAGAGAGGCAGGCCGCAAGGAAGACACAGCCGGAGCTGAATTTGATGCTGCGACCGTTCTCGGCGCGGGGCGTGGGCGCAGCCCGGTTGGTGTCCGACTCCTCCCAGCGCTTTAGCTGCTCGGCCCGCTTCATCATGGCCGAGTTGTTGCGCGCGTCCAGGGTGGACATGATGCGGCTGGGGGCTGGCTGGCTGTGTTGGACGGACTCCGAGACGTGTTCCAATAGGGATTATTCGGTGTATTGATGATTATTTGCGGTTTTCTTGAGTACTTTTTTCACTGGTAATTTGTGTGTTTTTTTGTATGCACTATTTATAGGAAAAATGCTTCACACTTTCGATTTTTGATCTTTACACTTTACTGTTTCTTTCCGCTCCTCCCGCTTTTCTTTTGCAGATTATTGTTTTTCTATTTTCCACTCGATTCGTGTATCACAGTGTGTGTGTGTGCGGTGTATTTTCTCTCTGCTTTATCAGCGAATGGAGAGAGAGATGATGGCAAACTTCTTGGCGTTTCTTTTTATCGTGCTTCTTTCCCACTCCACTGCACACACACTCGCTCTCTCTCTCTTTCTATCACACACACTCAGGCGCGTTCTATCACACACACGACGACACAACACATGCAGTTGGTGTAGTTGCCTGCTCGCTCGCTCTGGCTTACAGTTTGTTGCATTTATCACGCACCTTTTTGTGGAATTTGCTTTAAAACATACTTTCTTGCCATTCTAATGCTGCGAAAGACAGACAATAAGAGGAGTAAGAATGGAATATAAACACAAATGAACAACCGTTTTGCCTCCTTTTTTCACTTTGTTTATCATTCGCGGGCGCTCTCTCCCGCTCTCATACTCGCTCAACTACACACACATGCACATGGATAGGGCCTGCATGCAACACTGCCGTATTTTCAGCATGGCTGTGTGAGTGTGTTACCAATTTGACATAAATTCAACAGCCGCGACGCTGACGTCGCGGGTAAATAGAACGAAAGATGGAAGCCGCTCTTTTTTTCACTCACGCAAATTTTTCTTCAAAATTTATATAATTTTTAGTTGCACTGCACAGAAAAACACTCTTCGTTTTGCGTGTAATTATGTAAAGGCATTTTTACAGCTCCCCACTCCACCGCACAGCAGCATTCACTCACAGGCACTAGCACTCACACACACACAAACGTACGCACGTAGAGAAAAATGGATTGCAGTAGAAACTTTTCACACACCAAAAAACGACAAACGCAGGGCACGCACCTTTTCCCTGTTTGCAGCGGGTCACTTTTTGGGGGTTAATATGGTCGATCGGGCTTATTGGCTGGCGGACGCTATGCTTGCGCGCTTTATTTGTGCGGTGCACAAGTATTTCACTTTATTTTGCATATTTTCGCTCAAAAATTCGTCCGCACGAAACTCTTAGCGCTGTGTGACCGCGGATTTATCTTTAAAAGATACCGCCTGACCCTCGGAAATATACCGAAATATACCTTGTCAATATCAAAATATACCGTAAAAAAGTTTTGCCGTCTTAATACTGGGGCCATACCTTGCCATGACCCAGTCGAAAGAGAGCACTCAAAACGCTCTCCGAACTCATTTCTGCGTTTAAATTGTGAGCCACTATCGATAGTATCGATATTTTACTGCTAGCCTCTACTATCGACGGTTTTGAGACTATCATGATAGTATCGAGCTACAGTCGTTGCGCTTTTGATATGTTTGGATTGGCTGCTATAAAATACGAAGACAAATTTGTTAACAAATCGACAGATGGCATCTAATTTTTACAATGGACAAGTTCCTAAAAGGTTTCAATAGTTTCTTAATTATTATTTGAGCCCGATACTATTACGATAGTATCCATTGTTTTTTTTCCAAAACATTCAACGTTGATATTCCGTTTAATATTACTAGCTAGTTGGCCCTCTCAGCCTTAAACAAATCATTTTATCCGATAGATACATAAATTTTCTACAAGATTTGCAAGTTTTCAAGAGTCCTTTTTATTGGTTATTTACATATTAAGGTTCAAGCAAAACCAACATAAAACGAATGTGACGTCGTTTTTGTGGCTTTGTTGTTGCTGCGGGCTGTTGCTACGGTTCCCGTAAGATACACGTTGCTCACACCACGAAAAGGAGGGAAAAGTCACCACGTAAACGCTCTTTCACCTCGGAAAAGAGAGAAAATGTTGAAAAAACACCACGAATTGAGAGCGAAAAATGTCAGTATTTCTTGTGCGCTAAATGAGTTTGGCGGTCATTTTCAAAAGTATACATACAGTTGTGTTCAATGAAATAGTAGTGCCGCACCTCATCACTTTCAAAACCCTTTTTGAGATATTTCTAGTCTTTCATATTGAACAAGTGATACCTTTACGGAAAGCCTGGAATGTAAGCATTAAAAACCCCATTACATTTGCTTTCTATCTTCTTGTTATTTATGACTTTAGACAACTACCCATGATATCTGCTGTTCAATGAAATATGTAGTAGTGCTGGGTTAAAATAATTTTTAAAAATGAAAAAAAAAGCAAATTAATTTAAATAAGTCACCCGTAAGCTCAATTTGGTTATTGAATAATTTGATGAAAGAAAGTTTTGGACATAGCGGTACTTTTGATTTTGAAGCGTTGAAGAAATCATTGCTCCGTCCAGAAGAGGAGACCTAAGAGTTAGACTAAAAACTTAAGGCAGGAGGTATAATGGGATTGAAAACTAAGTTGTATGCACTCTCAATATTGTATTTATTCCAATTAACTAAAAGAAGTAGACTGGAAATCGATTTTGTATGCGAAAAACTTTTTTTTTAGAGGATGGTCGGCGATTTCGAAGGCAAGACCAAGCCTTTAATATCCTCAAAAATTATGAAAAAAATGTTAAATCGCTCTGTCAGTGATGTGACAGTTCTTAGACGGTCTATTATACATTATTTGAATGCAAGAAGTCCCAGAAAGTATACATATGTATATATGGAAAAAAATATATATATCACTTGATTTGTTTTGTGGAGTGTGACTGGAACCATATGCTCCGCTCTATTTAATCAGGTTAGTAACCAGTAAATATCAACAAAAAAAAACAATTTTTAACAATCAAAACATTCAAAACTATCCATGACTTAACTATCAATCGTTTAACAGCTTTAATACCCTGTATGTCCACAGAATAATACCGTAATATAACAAACAAATACTATACTATATACCATAAAGATACCTTGAAATCAATTTCGACTTAATCTACCCAATTGCATTCAAATCTGGTTAATGTGATGTCGAAATTGGGTGTAAGTCCTATTTTTTGGGTGTGTGCTTATATAGGTAAACATTTTGAATATAGAAACACAATTATGATTCAGAGTGGCCACACAAAACGAAAAAATACCACACCAGAATCAAATTTATGACATCTGGCAGCTCTTGTGCCAGGGCTGAAGGAATATATTTGAAACGTTTTATAAACGTTTTTCGTTTTTAAACAATGAAATTTCATTAATTTCTTCATTTCCCTGAAATCGGAATTTCTCCGCGAAATGGAATTTGATTTTTATTAACAGCCAAATATGTAGAACCACCCTACCCATAGCTCATAGAGATTATGTGATAAAGAGAGGGGCGTGTTGAGAGAGAGCACTCTCATAGAACCCACCCCCCGAAAAAAATTGCGCAGTGCTTTGTCGCGCAACACTATTTTACTAGAAAGCAAAGCAAAAAACAAATGAAAAAAATAACAAATATAAACATACCTGTGGGAAAGTGGGTTAGACGGGGCTATAGAATAGTTTTGCCATAGTCGCAGCGTGACAAGCAAACCTACCGGTCGGTCTTAGTAAACGTTCCGTTCCGATACAAAGTTCTATCAAAAGACAAACATTTTTAAGTGCAGTGCAAATTATCTTATCTGATTTGTTGCAAAAGTATAGAGTCGTACAACCCGCTCTACCAACCCTCTCCATTATTTTTATTAAAAAATAATCAAAAATTCAGAGTACAAGCAACTCGCAAAATTACTTCCAATGATATTTTGTTAGGATTATTTGATGAAAATGTCTTTGGTGAGTCTTAAATTCAAATAATGTAAGAAATTATAATCTATAGGGAGGGTCTGTTGCACTTTCTGGGGGGGTCGGAGTGCGGGTCATTCACACATCGAATTTTTACTGATGCTTCCCATAAATGGGGTCCCCGAGGTTAGGGTTTTCCAAAGAACTTTCAACGATTCTCTTCATTCATGTCATGCATACTCCACTCATTTTCCCACTAGCATTTTCCAGGCATTTCGAAGTCGTGTGCAATCTCGAATGCTCTCTTCCACCCCCTAGACCCAGACCCAGACCCAGCTCAACCTCACAACCCCTTCACTACCCTATGGATACATTATATACAGCCATCCTGCTCTGACACATTTGCTCCTAGGGAGATTATCACACATTTTAGATTGTTTTTCCGTGCTTTTATATTTCCCCATGATGCTGACGTTGCAGCGCATTTCATTCATGACGAAACCAACGACCCATGCCTCCCATTCCACCCACACCCACGCCTAGAACTTGCTTCACTAGAATATTCCTATTTTTAATTACCGCTCAATGCCATTTCCATTTACAGCCTGATGCGTAGGTTTCTAAGATTGATTGTTTTTTGACTATATAATCAGCTGCTTACCTCATTCCTACTTTAGTTTGAACAACTAAACCCACTTTGGTGGAACTGCAAAGCAGGGTATATTTCTAGGAAAGGTACAGCCCATAAGTTCTTCAGTTCCAATCTTAAAGCAAAAATTGCAGCAGTTGTATCGTCTTATCTGCATTATCCTATCCTTAATGACCGCTTCGGCAAGTGTTTTAAGACATGTCTGGATTGCAAGCTACAAATAATCATTTCGAAATCACTTGAAAAAAAAAATACAAAAGCACATTTCGTTTGGTTGACGTTGCCAGTTGGCGCCGGCTATAAAATTAAAACAGGAAAGATAAAACCTATTTACAGAACACAGAACACGAGAAACAGCAGAAAACACTTGTGCTGCTGTTAGTATGTACATATGTATGTACATACGTACGTAACTAAATAAATGTGTCATTAAGTTTTACTACGAATTTGTCATATGTATGTACGTGTATAGAAAGGCACTTCCGACACTTGGCTTTTGATTAGTTTTATCAATGAATCGCCTAGTCTAGTAATAGTGTATGTTCTTAGAGCCTACGCACATACAATAAAACCTTTCTATTGTGGACATTTATTTGGGGAAAACACTCAAAGAATAAATACATACAAAATATGATGCATTCTCACACTCAGACTACTTAAAGGTGTTAAGGGATTGCCATCTACAATATTGGGTAGAATATACATACATACATATGTACTTACTTAACCCTTAACTGCAAAGCCCCACTGCGAGAGAGAAAGACAGTACGCCAGGCGGGAGAGTTAGATATTCTACATTCTGGCTGTTAAAATCCAAAATATCACTCAAAACGCCACTTCAACAGATGTTCTTCTTTATCTGTGGGCAAAACAGATCAGTGCTCCAGGCAGGCAGATTGGGACTTGTTTAATGCATCCCTAGTCGCCTGTCGGTGGCCTCAAGTCTACGAAAGACAAAGGATCTCCTGTCCCGAGCAGTGGCAGTGGCAGCTGCCAGCTGGCAACGTCATGTGCCGCGAGATCCTTTCACTGAAAGCAGACACAATAAGGACACAGACAAGGGGCTGCCGGTCTGAGCAGATGTTAGCTACGTTTTTCGAGGATCAGATCGGTTTGTATTGGCTTGCAGCTGCCGGCACACGTCGGCAATTCCCTATCCTATTCACTTCTTAGCCCTGATTGAGGCAGGTATGTGCACTCAGGCAGTCAGCGGTGCAGAAGGAGCAGGGGTAGCGCAGATGTTGTAATAGGCAATCTAATCGAGAATCGGAGTCGTGCCCAACTTGTTGTTATGACACCTTTTGCCAATTTCCGATCGCTGCGCAAAAGAGTAGAATGCAAAAATATAGAAAAAACCAAACCGGTTACGGCTCTCTGCATTTGGCTGTCAATTAATAGCATAGCCACAAACTTAGCAACAAACAACCGAAACAATTATATATAAATAGTGACCAAGGGGTAAAATCGAATGCCGAAGTTTGTACACTCTTTGCCCGTCAAGAGGATTTCTGCATTGCTAGAGTTATTGATTAATCTGAGGGAAGTAAGTTTTTCCCAGTCCTTGAGACTGCTGAGATATGTAGAGTAATAGTATCAGTATCAATCCGATTCTTGGGCATAAAATGTAAGGTATTATTTTCAATGCGTTACACAATGTTTTATTATAGTTATAGTACCCTCTACATCGGTAATTTAATACATACTCAAATATGTATGCTGTGAGATCTGCTTGGGTGTGTATGGGTGAGTAATCTTTTACAATAAATAGCAACAACAAGAACAAGGCGAGTGCAACAACTTTAAAAGGCCTTGCAAGGCCGTTTGGCTTGAGCCAGGGATTTACAGCTGAAACTTGTCCAACAACTGCATTCGCAGGGGGGGTCTCAAGACTCAAAACTGTGTGTGTGTGTGTATATGTGGTCAGCAAAATGATCTTTCGGAACTGAACAAAAAACAGCCAAGAAAAACTGCATTTTGCCATTTCTATCCACAAATAGAATTTACATCTACGCCGGATTTCGGTTGAACTGTTGACTCCGCCTCCGACTTGGTCTCTCTTCCAGAAGAGACCTGTCAAAGTCGTCTAGACTTTTGCTGCATTTATAGGCATATTTTTCAAATGCGTCGCGACATCTTCTTGGTAAATTTAGCCGGATTTATTTATAAAATCATAAAAGTTCATCGCGTCTGCGGCTCGTAGGCGCACTATTCGAATGTCGCGTGCTGTCACCAGTCTTATTTCCATATATGATTCAACCGGGCAATCTTTTTGTATCCCCGCCAGTCCCAAGTATATCGATGAACGTGCTGGTATTTCCTTTGAAATTGTTAACTACGATCGATGCCGTCAGCCTGCCAGATATGGCCACAGTGCCATATCATGGGTTTCTAATTAAAAATAACACATTTCTATAAATATAGTAGGTACCATAGATTAAACACACTTTTTAGTACGTTTGCTCTACAGTACAATACAATTGTTCCAGGAATGTACAACGGGAAAGTTCGATTTCTTTTAATAATATGTAGAACAAAGAGAATGCAAAATCTATATAAATCGATCAATCTTTAAAGTCCGTAGTAAACATATAATAAATATTCCCTGTTACGCGTATCTTCAGATACGTCAAGTATTTGCGACCAAAGGTGTTGCGGTTTTTATAAGGGGACTCTCAGATAGATGGGCAAATCAGCTGATAAAATTCCTATATATGTAAAGTACATATGTATAAGAAAGCAAAGCTATGCCATAAACATTTCACAAATTATCAATAAAAGATTCTTTAAGTCAATAGCCGAACCTTTTAATAGTGAACAGTTTTCGATTAATCTTTAAAGATTAAAAAACTATCTTTTAAGTGGATATTTTCATTGTGAAAAGATAGTAAGATTTCTTTGGTTCTACCTTCCCACGGTTTATAGTCCCCACAAACAGACGATACCTTTATCAGTATTGAAGTATAGCAACAAAGATCATTGGGGGCTCTCGCCTACAATGTCAGAGGAATCTATTCGCTTGTAAATACTATTATTTATTTTAATCTTTCAATATGTACTATGGGAGGAATGAAAGATAAGGGATAAGGGAAAATATTTGTGGTTTTGAGATCTGAACTCGGTTCAGGGGCAGTCAAAACTATCTTCTCTTTTCATGTCCTACTTTATTTTGCCCCAGAATGTTCGTGATAAGCGGTGATCTGTTTCAGTTTCGGGATCAGAGTTTTTGAATATTAATCAAAAGAATAAAATATTTACCCCGTAAGAAATAAAGCAAAGATAAAGTTAATTATTCGATTTTACTCGAGTCCTGCTGCACCTGGTAGCAACTACGGAAATACTCTGTTTTCCATTTGTAGTTTAGGCCTGGCTTTAAGATATTCACGTACTGTTGTGATAAGAGACTTCCCTGAATTTTCAGCTGTCGAATAAAAACAACAAAAGGCCAGACAGGCTAAAGCGGGATAGCGAGGCAGAGAAAGAGAGAGAGAGTCAGAGAAAAGGTGAGGGTCGGAGTGAAACAGGCGCATACAAAAAAAACCGCAGCTGCTGTCGACGCACTCGTATCTCCATCCCGCCCAGACAGAGGAGCAGGCGTCTGCCTCTGGAATGGAAGCTACCGGAGGAATTGTTTGTGGGCAGAGCCGGGTGAATGCAGCAGCGATGGTGCATTGACACGCGCCGCGTCCAACAGCAGTGCCCGGCGCATGCCCTGGCAGGAGCTCAAAAAAATCAATGATCCTGGCGGCTCCAATGGGCTCTGGCTAGTGGGAAAAGGATAGCCGTAGTGCTGGTTCAGGCGGTTGTACGGTACGTCTTGCGTACTAATACTAGCCGTAGTAGAGGGTTGTACAAACCTGCGCCAACACGGTGATGGATGCAGTTCATCACGGTCCAGTCCCATCCGGGGGTGGAGGGGAGGTTTCCATGTCCATATGTACTTTTGACGAATATATCAAATGCGAAGCGAATGTCCAAATGCAAATCATTATATATTAATTGTTTTCTAGCATTAAATTTGGGTTTATTACACATATGAAGGTTTTCCCAATTTACAGCTGACAGAGTATAAATGCACTGGTACTCAAAATCTCACACTCCATCCTTCTCGCACTTTATGAGTGCAGACAGGGAATACTAACAACAAGGTATGGTTATAATACTCTCTTGACGCTACATCATAAGACAAATCTTATGCTCACTCCGATGAACATACCTTCTCATTAGGCTACCCTGCGTTCATAGCTGTTGTCGTCTCGTTCTTACACGTCGAAATGAAACAAAACAGCTCGGCTCGGCTCGGCTCGGCTCGTTCGTTGCTTTCATTCGATAAAAAACACTCGAATGAAAAACATGGATTTTTGAGCGCGTTCGACGTTGATATAAACTTATGCATTTAATCATAGAATAACAAATAATAAGTACAAAAACTAAAGTATTTCTCGGACTCCATTGTGATAGTTGGCATTGAAATTGTTGACAAAAACGGAACTAAAAGAAAAGAGCGTGTACGTGTCAAAGTGTTCGTTGTGTGTTCCCGCTTATTTAGTTCAGGAGAAAATCAATATAACTGTGAAAACAGCGCTGTAGCTGTTTTCTGTGACGTCGAATCTCACAGCAAAAGGGAAATCACTAGGGGAAACTTGAGTTTTTCAACAAAAAGAGAAAAATTGTCAAGGTGAGCTGCAGTTGTGTATCTTTAGTGTATTTTAACCGAATTTAACCCCAAAAAATGCACTCGAAACGTGACATCAGATGCCCAAAAGCTAAATTAAATTTTCGTGTATTTGCTTGTACGTTCCACACATACACACACCCGAGGAAAAAACCACACACTCGCACACCACCAAACGGCTATCGTAAAAATGTAGTCCATATGACAAAATTGTCGAATGTAATTTGGTGTGTTTAGGAAAAGGTCAAATATGTAAATGCAGATATTGCTAATTAAATATAGTCGAAGAACAGTATAAATGAATAAACAAACATCAGGTTAAATTTTAAGTCAAAGAAGATGCTGAAAGCGTATGTTTAATTTTTGTCGGGTGGCCGCAAATGTTTTTGTGTTCGTCTCGTACTCGACACAACCGCAGCGAGCGACTGTTTCATAAAAAGATGGCGACCGTAGAGTTGGTAAATGCTTGCGATATTGTCTCACTGAATTTTGTTTACAAAATTACCCACTTTTGTTTACCGTCAGGGCTCGGCAGATTTTTCTGATTGTGAAAATGTAAATATCAATGACACACGACTTTTGCACGGCTTTTCAACGATGCTGAAACAGAAACTTTCCACCATATGGTAACCCTATTTTGTACATACGACGGCCGCGCTTCGTCGCAACCCCCTTTTAAACAACAACATTCTCAATTCGGCAAAATGAGAGAATGCGAGTGGATGAGAGAAGGGAGGGGTGGGCACAATGCCACCAATTTTGTATTCATCCGAATTTTGGAATACGCAATACGCGGTTTTGTCTATATAATTAAACGATGACTACAGCCATGCAAAATATACCAGTTTGCTCCAAAAATTTAGCAGGCTAGAAGGTCACGCTATGACACACGATTCCGCAGAGAACTCCTCTCCGGTTTCCGTTCCAAGTTAATTGGAATTGTTTGTTTCTAATAGTAGTTTCTCATCATACACCCAGGAACAGATGTTTGTATGGAATGACTCGTCGCTGGGTACACACTTTATTTTTTTACAATATACGATTACACTATGTGTAATGCACTTCCCTTTACGCACACACACAAACACTCATGTCTCATAATCCGAGCCAAGCCCTGCGCCGTTCCACTCTTATCCGCTCTTTCCTTCTCTGTCACTCACCACCAAAGCATTAGCTTCTTTGTGTGGCACATCCGCTGTGAACGGAAGTGGTGCACTCATGCGTGCTCCGCTCTGCAGAAACAGAAGCAGAAGAGCAGCCCTAGTCCATCCATAAACCATGGCCAAAGACCGTGCCGTTGTTGTGCATTGTTGCCAGTGTGTTCACTATGCTTTTTTCTGTGCCTTTTATGCTTCATTGCTTTGAACTTTTGCGTTCATTTCTGAGAAGGCAACAAACACACAACAAAGAGAAAGTCAGTTGCTCAGCTTGAGCTTTGCTTGAGCCGAGTTCAATATTTTGCTCTGCCAACGTCTCGATGCAACTTTTTTCCATTACTGCCAGACTCCATTGCCATCGGCGCACCCGCATCTACACCCACACCTAATCCACAATACACCTACACAACGCTGGTGGTGGTCCCTATAATTTTTACTCCCACACTGCATCGAAGAAAGAACTAATATGGAGTGGATTTTCCACGCTTTTCAGCAATAAAACGATGCGACGTGCTTAATCAACAGCTCTCACGTATACGGGAAATGGTGGGAGTCGAATTTTCCCGAAATAGAACAGAACACAATGGGATGCAACTATTGTCTTTCATCTTATTTTCATTTGTTATCGCCAGCAGACGCGACGGCAATCAGCATGAATGGGAATGGACCAGGGCGGCCCTTGAAAGGGACACGGACGAATGGTAGGGAGCAGCATAAGATGAAGAAAATTACATTCTGGAATTCCCGGAATTTTCTGAGCTCTCCAGCTGAATCATCTCTTGCCGACCTTTGAGCCTCGCCTTGTCTCGCTCGCCCCCTCTCGTCTCGTCCGGCGTGAAAAACGACCTTTCAACCATTATTTCCACTAACGAGGCGCATTTAATGCGCTCTCGGGAATTTCCATGAGACCGTACCCACATACCAAGTCTCATAGATTGGATGCAAGGGAAGAGATGCGATGGATGCTGCCATGATAAAGGCGAGCACGACTTGACTTTGGGTTTGAGAAGAATTTTCTTTCTTTGGCTGGCTTTTCCTCTTCCCTATAAAAACGTTAGCGGTGTTGGCGGTGGCGGGCGGGGAGGTCTTTGAACTGAGCCGCCGTTAGTTTTTGGACAATCGATCAATGTTCAATAGGGTAGACCTTCAGTTAGACAGGGACGGCATGAGGCCGCTCTTAATGCATTCTGCAGCAGCGGCTCAGGAGCATTTATTATGATTACAATATTGCCCTTTGTTGGAAAGAGAAGAGAAGCCCGGAGCCTGGCCTGGGGTCCAGAGCCCAGCATCCCATCCCATATTTTATCGACAGCGTTGGCGACGTCGGCGGTCGTTTTGTGCGCTTCTCCTCCCCCTCCTCCTCCTCTTGTGCTGCATTTCTTGGAAGGCCACAGCATACACACAAACACACGCATTCGCATAAGAAGCAGAGGAATAAGGTGGAGTGGGAGAGAGAGAGATCATGCAAGAATGTTCTTTGTGTGTGCGTGTATGTTTGTTGATGCTTTATGATACCCTGCGAGAGAGCATTTTGATATTGACAAGATGTTTGCCACGCAGTGAAGAAAATACTTCTGACTCTTCTCTGGAAGAGTATCTAGAGAGTCGACCCTTGAAGGTAGCCTGCTCCTACTTTATTTATTTTTTGCTGCAGGGCCTCCTTGCTCTTTTCTCCTCTCTCCCTGAGATTTGAGCACGATGACGACTCATGCATGGGTCTCTGGTATCTTCTCTCTGTCTCTCTGACTACGTGTGTATTTGTCCTGCTCTGTTCCGTCTCATGTTGTTGTCGTATCTGGTATCACCGCATTCCAATCTCGAAGACAACAACAAAAAGAATGGTAAAGTGTTTATAATAGTTTCCCACAGTCTCGGCTTTGGCTCAGGGGCTCCCAAGGTACATACACAGTGAGACACAACACAACCTTTTCCATGGTTGAGCCTCTGCGGTTACCTTCACTTACAACAACAGGGAGAACGAGAACAAGTAAAAACTCCAATCACCCAGGCCCAAGCCCAAGCCCAGGCCCAGAGCTTGGACTGAGACACGGAGGTGTAAAGACAGAGACTGGCTTTGGTTTATTCCAATCAGAAAACTCGAAAAGCAGCTCCAACTTTAGCGTTTTTATGCGCCGGAGTTTGTAGAAAAGTTGCCCGACTGCATTCCATTCCATTGCGGGGCTGCCGCCTCGTTGTAGGTTTGGGCCTCTCTTCCTCCTCCTCCTCCTCCTCCTCCTCCTGGGTCTTGTCTTTTGAGCTCGTTTATTCTTCTGTTTGTTGCCTTGCCTCCTGGGCTGGCCTGGCCTTTGATTATGATTTTTCTATGTTGTTGTGTTGTGTGTTTCCACTTTGGTATTTCTTGGCTGGGATTTTCTGTTCCCATGCCATTCATGCGCCCAGGGAGGCCTTGTGTCAGTGTGCATTCGGTTGGTGCTGGGAGAAGGCGCTCTCCACGGGTCTATGTAAATCGATCTTGATTTGTAGTTGGTTCGGTCTGGATTGGTTTCATAAAGTTTAAAATCAAAAATAGTTGCAAAAGTCCGTTGCTCCAGCCCTGTATTTTCACGCCTGCCCTGGTAAGTTTGTGCACATATTAAATGAATGCAAATTCTCTGGCCTGGCATATGGCAGCAACACTGATTTGAACTTTTGCCTGAATTTCCTGGAAAAATAAAAAAAAAGCAAAAAGAGAAGCGAGAAATGCCAAAGCGCGTTTACATTACAATTGTTAATGGGCGGTGGGGGGCGGTGGTCTGGCATTCCACAATAACAAATAACAGCGTGGCGAGAGGCAGCTGTAATTGCAATACGGTCTGCACTTTGTACTGCACTTTGCCTTTGCCTGGCAAATACTCTGTTTGTAATTGAACAGAGACAGAGACAGCAGCAGCAGCAACTGCATCTCAAGCTCGCCATCTTTTGTTGCTCCACTTGAACAATGATGTGTGCAATCTCTGGATACTCTACAGAGCAGAGCAGCCAGGCAGTCGCGCAGTAGCCTCCAGCTTCCAGATCTCTGCACCGCTCCATCATTTCCCCTTCAGAGATCCCAAGAAGTCAGCATTTGTACATTTACAATTGCATTTGTTTTTGCGCCCTCAGCCCTCTCTCTCTCTCTCTATATCTATCTATCCTCCTCTCTCTTCTGGTGTATGTGTGAGTTTTCGTTGTTAGTTGTTTTTCCCATTGATGGTTTCTTTCGTCTGCACACCACAGTGCTGTCTCGCTCGCACTCTCTGGCCTGGCCATTGCATGGTTTATGCTGCGCTTTATGCTGGCAAACCCCATGCAGCCCAGATCCCCCCAAACCCCACTTCACTCTACAGCTCTACCGCACTCTACCGCAGAGTGCGCCGTCTCCATAGTGGTTTGACTGCATTCCATTAAAACTTTCTCACAGTCCGAGAGGCCTGCAGTGCATGGCACTACCAGCTAGCACCACCACCACCACCCCCTGGGTGCCCCACGAGGCACAATTGTTTGGCGGGTTTGGCTGGTTTGTGTAGCTGAAATTTGGACTTTGAACGGAGCGCATTCGTGCGATGCCCCAAGCCCCAAGCCGAGCGTCGTACTGAGTTGAGTGTGAATGTCGAAAAACGGCTTTACAATCTCTTTAAAGACCACCAAACATTGCAGTTTAAAGAAGTTTGCAGCAGACCTCCGGCTGCCGTTAATGATCGATCCATGGTATGGGGTAACGACTTTTCCATTCGCAATGGAATTGTTTTAGTTATGGCTACGATTAGATTACTTTATTCCGCCCAAGAGAGACATCACTGTATGTGCTTGCAGATCTGCGATAGTAGTATAGTCTTCCTGTTATTACTATAATTGCCAAGATAGTCACTACTGGGTTCGGTATCTGTGTTTTGTGTGGGCTGCTATCTCTCGATTAGCATATCCGCCTATGCAGCAGTGCCCCGTGTGCCGTGCCGTGACGCCTTTGTAAACAACTTGTTTTCAACTTCAACCATTATATGGGTGGTAGGTAGAGTGAGTCAGCCCCTGCGCGTGCTATCGCGCAGCTTCTAGGCGCCACTGCCACCCTGTTCAACCACCCACCCACCCATTCAGTCCGTCCGTCTGGAATCGCTTCGGCGCAGTGTTGTCACGGGCGGTTGTAACGTTGCGTACTCCACGCTTTGACGTATTTTTTGTCGCGATTTTTCCTACCCAAAAAGGGAAAACCACCCTGCAGATGGCGCTAAACGGTGGCGAGTGTGTGTGGGAGCGAGACGACTACTGTGTCGTCTGGGGTCTGGTCTGCCCTTAAGGGCTCTTAAGGTTCGTTGATGCTGCATCCATCTCCAGTTTCTTGAACTGCGTTTCAGCTTTAGCTTCCAGTTTTTCAGTTTTCCACATACACACAAGGCTCCCGCACTATAGAGCTCTTCTGTCTGTTGTAGTCTGCAAAAAAACAAAACATTCTGGAAGAATACTCAAAAGTACGTGGCATATAAAAATTTTTTGAGATTGCTAAATGGAAAGGTATTAATTAATCAAGTGATAAGGTTGATAGAGTGGTTTTTGAGCTGTACAAAAATCGGCTTCGCGATATGGAAATTGTTTTCGTTGGTTCCGATAGCGATAATAACATTTTGCCAAAAATCGAAATATTTTTTTTTAGGAGAGTGTTGTGAAATTGTGTCATTTAGTGCTTGTTATTGTACGGAAATGCTTCGGAATAAATGTCATAAAAGGTCAAAAGTGAAGCCTCCATTTGTGATTTCTACATTCCACAAAAATTGCTAGAAACAACCACTCACTGGGCAGGGCAGACAGAGACTCGTATAGTATGTTGTTGGCGCCGAATGGGCGCACACGCAGTGCGGCGCATCGCCTACACTGGTATCCTTATCTAGTTGATAGCCTATCTACTTTAACCGCAGCAAAGTGAACCGTAAACACACGTCCATGCAATATATATTTACCGTGATTCTTGTACGCTCTCTCATTACAGTTTCGAGCACAGCAGAGAGGAGTAATCGAAGGAGAAACAAAGGATCTGCTCCAACTACAAAAGAAACAACAACAACAAGAACAATCCAGCGTAGATAAGCGGAACAGCAAAAAGAGACCAAAATGGCAAATATATTAACCAATCCGAGGTACATGTTTGGACCGACTGCTGCACTCGAGTTGACAGCGGTTCTCGACCAGGTGGACAACAATACGAATGCGACGCAGCTGTTCAAGAACAACATCTATAATATCATGAACGAGTACAATCGGGAGGAGGCGCGCCTGAAAACCTTCGCCAATTGGCCTCTGGCGTGGCTCGACAAGAATCAGTTGGCCCGAACGGGCATGTTCTATACGAACGAGGACGATAAGGTCAAGTGCTATTTCTGCGAGGTGGAAATCGGGCGCTGGGATCTCGAGGATCAACCTGTACCTGAGCATCTGCGCTGGTCGCCCAACTGTCCGCTCCTGCGCCGTCGCACCACCAACAATGTGCCGCTAAACAGCGAGGCCCTCGAACGCATCCTGCCCCCCATCAGCTACGACATTTGCGGCGCCAACGATTCAACGGTGGAGCTGCGCGAGAGCGCCTATGCCGAAGGTCGCATACCCATGTCGCACATTACCCAGTCCACCGGCATGAATACCGGCGACTCCGCGCTGATGGGCTCCATTGCCACCTCGACGGCGGCCACCCAGGCCAACGGGGATGTCCAGCCGGAGACGTGTCGGAACGTAGCCAGCGGCAATTATTTTCCCGAGTATCCCGAATACGCCGTGGAGTCGGCGCGCCTGCGCACCTTCGAGGAATGGCCGCGCAACCTAAAGCAGAAGCCAATGCAGCTCGCCGAGGCGGGTTTCTTCTATACGGGCGTCGGCGACCGCGTCCGCTGTTTCAGTTGCGGCGGCGGTCTCAAGGACTGGGACGACAACGACGAGCCCTGGGAGCAGCACGCTCTCTGGCTCAGCCAGTGCCGCTTCGTCAAGCTGATGAAGGGGCAGCTCTACATCGACGCTGTGGGTGCCAAGCCGGAGCCAGTCGCAGAGAAAGAAGAGAGCACCACAGGCGCAGCCGAGACGCCCGCTACCACTTCCCCCACGACGACAACAACAACAGCAGCGACGGCGATCGTCGAGGCCCCTTCCGGCGATGTCGCCCCATCGGCGGCCACTCGCATATACGAGAAGATCGTGTCGGCCGCCAACCAGGAGGGCAGCACCAGCACGGCCGGAAGTGCGGCACCGGCGCCCAACGGTTCGCCGGTCATTCCCGAGGAGAAGCTCTGCAAGATCTGCTATGCCGCGGAGTACAACACGGCGTTTTTACCCTGCGGCCATGTGGTGGCCTGCGCCAAGTGCGCCTCGTCCGTGACCAAGTGCCCGCTCTGCCGGAAACCCTTCACCGATGTGATGCGTGTATATTTTTCTTAAGCCCCACAACCATTAGGCGGATCTCAAGTATTAATCAAAATTGTAACAAATTAATATCCGTTCAGAGTATGCAACGGCCAGCTGGAGGGGCACACGATGTGCATATCCTTCAGCTGGCCGTTGCCATCGCCACTGATATCGATACAATTTTGATTAGAGCTCGCAATGGTCCGCTAATGATCCAGGGCAAAACCGATATGAAAACCCTGAATGTAATAATAGATAAGAGTGCAGCCAATATATCCACGTATGCACCCATGCGCATATGTACGCGCATACAAGCGTGCGTTATTTATAATAAAACTAACATATTATGGAAAAGCAACCTGTTATTTTGTACTTACCCACACACTGCAGCTGGATGGCTGATTGAGTGATTGACAAATCAACTACAAAGGCACCGCTGTCTGATCGCTAGCACGACACGCCCCTGAACAAATCATCGGCAATGACGCAGCCTGCGGCTCTCGGGTGAGCTCACAGTTTGGGGGAAACTTTGCTCACGAGTTGAGGTTTTAGCATAAAATGGGTATCTAGATACAAATAAGACCCTTATAAGATTAGCATTATTTATAGTTTTTGAGGAGACATATGTAAGTTCTAGTTTCGACCTCTCATTATGCTGACAATCGGAATAATATTTCGGTACGAATTTCCAAATTCTTTGCAGGGTATTGCGAAAACGCTTCTGCTGCCCTGATGGAAATGGACCACAAACAAAGGGTAATAAGGCAAGTGGCAGGACGCTTTGTTGGATGGGCGGACGCATAAAGATTGTGTTATCAGTCATTGGCTTACATTGGCAGGCATTAATCAGCACACGCGCCCACACAAAAGTGCATTCAACTGCAATTGCAGACAGGAGGAGGAGGTCGAACTGAGAGTCAGAGAGTAGTGAAGTAGTGGAGAGCAAAACACATACATTCTCCACTTGATCGGATAATTTGCAACTAATTTTAATTAGTTTGTTGGCGGCAGGGAACATTCTGATGGGGCAGATCCGGTTTCGGCTTAGCCAAAGTGAGACATTTGCACTATTGCAGCAGGCGGGTAAGTGCGAGTGAGAGGGTCACATGGTTACTTGCTTCTTGTCCCTTGCATCACCTCGATGTGCATAATGGATAATGGAAATGCAATCATTCCGATTGCACACGTGCCAGATAGCTGAACCTGGCTGGCACTTCTCTGGGATATTGATTTCGAAATAAGTTAATGAATGAACCGCATGACATTTGTCTGAGTCACCCGTTCCTGCAACTGCAAAGAGTGATACATGTTTCAACATTTGTCAATTGCCTGGAATTGGCATTACACTGTTCGTCATACTAATACCCGAACGTAAATGGCAATCGACAGCCGATCATGTTTATGCAAATTGGTGATCTACATTCCATTCTCAATGCCTGAAAAGTCAAGCGCTGACCTTAAATTGCGTGCACATTTTAATTACGGCGTAGGCACCGCATGAAGGCCGAGACTAGAACCGAATGTCGTGAAAAAACTACTAGCCAAAAGGCAGTTGAATATAATATTTTAAATTCAAATTCAAATAGTAAACTGCTTAGGCAAAGGGTTTGTGTATTCGCTCAAGTTTTGCTGCTTAGGTGGTTGTATATACTAAAAAAAGCTTTTTGTAGGTTGTCGTACACACTAAGAGGATTGTGTCCTTGCCAGGCGAGGACTATTGGAGCTGCCAACTTGTGTTAATTCGATATACGATATATTTACGATAATTATAATCCGTTTTCCGCGTTTTTAACGCAATATTTCCAAATTAATGAACTTGTTCTTGTTGGCCAGCAAAAAGGCCTTGTGCGCATTCACTTTTATGGCCAAATCGACGATGTTCGTGTTGCTGAAGTAATCCATAGCCACGACATTGGCATTCATGCCCCAGGGACCCTTCAGCCACTGATTTACCTTGGGATTGATGACTGCCGCCCGCTCCTTGGCCGTCTGCAGCTTGTGTGTGTTAAGGGTCTGCTCCATGCTCTTGACGGCGGTGAATATCCAGCCATCGTCCTGGACAGGTCCATCAGGCTTCTTGCTGAACAGCAATCGCATATAGTCCAGTGTCTGGGAGATGTTCATGTAGCTGGTGCTGAAACGCTGCCATGGCGAGCAGAGGAGCCCCGATTCTGTGTGCAGCAAAGCGACAGGTCAGTCATCAAAAGTATTCCTACCACAGCTTACCGTTCTCCGGGTACGGCAGTTCTTGGGTGGGAAACAACAGCACCACATGCATGCCAAGTGTTAGGAGCTGGCGAATGTTTCTGTTGGCGCAATGCTCATCCAGGGTCTCGTTTCGCTGATAGGCCACTTCGCCCAGCTCCTGGCGCAGCAGGTGAAAGAGCGAGCTGTAGATCTCCGGATGCTTGTAGAATCCTATCGGGAAGGAGCTAAAGTCCAGAATGACCAGCTCCCCAGAGCGCTCCACAAAGTGACGAACGTCGCGCAGCACACCCGCCAGGGGTATGATGAACATATTCTCGTTGGCTATCCAGAAATTGTCGGCATCGTTGTCACTGTCCATGTACTTGTAGCTGCAGAGATGCAGCGAATTGTCCTTTGATCAATTCTCAAACTCCGAGCCAATACTTACCCCACACTAAAGTCCAGATATCGTATGCCAAAGACAAGCTGCGACCACACATCGAAATGCTGCGCCACCAGATAGTCCTTGACGAGCAGCGACTTGGTCTTGCTGTAGCTGGCAATGAAGGCGCCCGAGGCATGGGTGCCCGGCAGAAAGAGGCTCTTCAGCCGCATCTGGCCCCCATCCTTGATCTGGGCCATCCAATTCGGTTGGATCTTCAGACATTCGACGGTTAGCAGCTCCGTGCCATTGTAGCTGGCCACATAATGCGGCAGGCACTTGCCCCTGGGATACCGTGTGGCTGGCACCTCGTTGCTATCCTGACGATTCCAGCCCCCGGGAAACAGCAGCTTTCCCAGCTTTATGGGCGTCGGCAGTTTGCCCGTCCGATTGGTAATGCCATTGATGCGCAGTTCCGGCTGGAAGTTGGATATGGTCGGATCCTGGCCATAGATCCCAATCCATTCGGGCGGGCCAGCGCAGTCGGGACCCCAGTTAACCTCCAGACAGGAGTCATGCAAGGCCTTGCCGGACAGCGAGATGGTCAGATAGATGGGGCAGCTAGCTGTGGGTGGATATGGTTGGATGATAGTGCAGCTCTTCTGTCTCTTGGCTTTGCTTTCTACTCACCTCTGAGGGGACCCACGAACAGCAGGCAGGGCAGCAAAAGCAGCAGCAATAGTTTTATTTTCATCATCTTTAAACTTGACACTCAATTAGAAAACGTTTGTACTTTGAAGAGATTTTCCGTGCTGGTTGCTCGGCAGTCATCGCCGAATTAAAGTGATACGGAATTCTGTACATTTGTATCGCGTTTCGTGGCAATTGAGGCACACCCGCCCACGCCCCATGCCCCATCATTTAGACCCCAATTGAGCGCTACTCATTCCCGCTGAGCTGGGCTCTGAGCGCGCTTCAATTGAGTTCTATGTGGCAGAGCAGCCACCGCGGGACTAAGCAAAAATATATCTAAGACTGAGAGCTCTAAGAGCGGGAATATCAAAAAATCTGAGCCACTCAAACTTTCACACCTTTCATTAATGACCAAAGAAAGTGCTATTTTGGTCACTGAATTTCCTTTCTCACACCTACTCGTACTGCGAGTCATTAGCTGGTGCTGTGTCCGAGGAGTCGTGCATTTTAAGCGCCTTTTCTGGATGGAAACGCTGGCAGAAGGACACTCGGACCGAGGCGTGCTGCAGATGCTTATCGCCAGGGCACAGCGCACAAAGCGCCTCAGGACTTCTGTGTCTGACATTATCCTGGCCCGCAGGGGGGACGGACACGCGGACAGGCGAGTTCCTCGTACGTTGACCCAGTTGCATGCGTCCTGTGTGCGCTCAAAGTGCAATTTGTATGTATGACTGCGAGTCCATAGCCCCCCACCTGGACCCTAGAGGTCGGTCCGCACTTATGTTGACTCACTGCAAGCAATGGTCGAGCATATCGCACGGAATGCTGGCCACGAGTGGCGGATACGTGTGCTGTGTTTCCTCTCCTTTTTCGGGACAAAACGTTTATCCCTACCCGCCTTTTCTCTACGCATTTCCGCAGCATTTTCTGACTGGCAAAGATGGTTTCCGGTGCAGCAATTGCTGACCATCTTCCCGCAAGCCAAAGGGGCACTTCTGAGTGAAAACTATTTCCCCCAATGGCTTCCGTTGATAATAAATGTTTCCACTTTTTCTGCGAGCACAACTCTGTTTGTATTTATACTTTTATACTTTCTTTTCTGTGGCTTTGTTGTGTGGCACCTTAAATAAAGAGCCAGCTATCCGCCCTTTGTGTCGAGTATACAATCGAATCGAAGCTGAATAGCCGCTGGCCAGCAACAACTTTCATCCGAGAGAGATAGAGAGAGAGAGAGCTTCGGGCCGTTGTCAGCTGTCCGGCTCCGGGCCAATTCCATTGGCATGTTCCTGGGGCAAGTAGACACAACTGGTGGCAGACTGCGGGCGGTGGCTGTGGCGGTGGCGGACGCACACTCAATCCGACACAGAGCACGCTCCGTTGTCCTGGAGTCTGTCTGGACCATTGATTGACATGTCACTTGTTGTGGCAGCTCCGAAAAGGAGAGTCGAATGTCTGGCGCCAGTTGGTTTTTGAGGCTTTCGGTTAAACAATCGCCACAACTGAAAATAAAAACGAATTAACCGCAAAGCAGAAAGTTTCGACTCCTTCTCGACCAACTGTCTGTGTGTGGTCTCTGGGCGGAGGCTGTGGCAGGGGCAGAAGCGGAGGAAGCCGCCGCAAAAAGTTTTAATCGTTGTGCTGGCGCTTTCGTTACTTTGCAGATCTCCTGGGGTTCCGTTCCTCTTGGACCATCTAATGGGGATTAAGTTGTTTCTGTTTCTCAAGCAAATCAGTTCGCTTAAGCCCTGGACCGACCATTTCTAGCTGATAGGAATATGGGGACCGCTTCATAATGGATAGTTTGTGAATAAGAATATATTCTGTGACTTAAAGACTTCGCGCCGCTGAGTTGCATAAAGTAAAGACAGAGGTTAAGTGCACTCTGAATCATTGAACTATCCACACAGCTCTCTCTTCTCTTCTCCTAACCCCTTCATTGGATTCTGCATTAATTTGTGGGCGTGTCGTGAGATAACCCACCCAAAAATCAATGAGCCGGACCTGATGCGTGTCGATGTGTGAAATGCAACCATTAGAAGTCACAAATCAAATCACATCAGAGCCAGAATTTAGCACAGTCCATCCATCTATCCACCTGCCACCCCAGAGAGTCGTATCCGATGACGGAGGAGTGTTTGCTGTGTGTGCATGTGTACGTGCCATCGAATCAAATAATTACTTATTAATGTGAGTAATAGCAACGGAATTTACGGGCCATTGTGAACAGGCTGTAGGCCGTTTGTCGACTTCAGTGCGAAGTAATCATGATTAATGGTTACGACTGCCGGCAGGTGACAGCCGTTCGCGACATGGGTCCTTCATGGAGGCAGTGACTGCGGGCAGAGGCCAAGCTTGGCCTTGCAAAGGGCCACAAAAAATCGACTTAAAAGTCTATTAAACATTGCTCAAGGACGCTTTCTGCACAGCCCACCAGTTCACCCTGGGAATATTTCGCAGCTCACGCAGTGCCACAGAATCGCATCGAAAATTTATGCTCAATTAATCTCAGTGGAGCGCGGCGTTGGGGGCAGGGACCAATCCAATCGATATTGGTGTGGGTGGGTGGTGCGGTCGTCCGTCCAATGATAATAAGCACCACAGTCGACTAGGCAGTGGGCCAGATTCCGAAAATATCATCTCAGGCGTACACTTGAGAAGTTTTTTCTTATATGAGGCTTAATAATAGAGGTTTCCGGATGTCTCAGGATGCCTCTACACGAATCCTTTCTGGTTCGTAGCTTCCAAATATAAATTTCTATCAATATCTTTTCTCTGAGAGAGAAGGCTACGATCTACCACTTCCGTCTGGACCACTGTAGTTGAAGCCGTCTCTGGATTATGGTATTGGCAGGGTAGCATAGAGAAGTAACTCGGCAAGTGACAGAAACAACAGAAAAAGAGTTCCATTTAATTGTAATTTCGTTGCTCTCCTGCCAAGGACGGACAGATCAGGCGGGGCATTCGTTGTCCCGCTCAAAGAAAATATTTGGCAGCGAAAAGTCCGCGAAAATTCGTAAAATGTCTCTCCCTTGCTCGCAAAGTGGCGGCGAGGGATTCGACAGTGGAGGTACGACGGTGTGCCCGGAGCGTGTTTTCCTTGTCCCGTGTGTCCTCCGTTTGGGTGAGGCTTTTCGTCTTCTTTGAGGTTCTTGCGGGGAATTTCTTCTAAAGCAAAACGAACGGATTATATGGAGCTTTTTGATTTTTTAAAGACCAAACCAGAGTGTTTCCCCCCATTACCGAAGGAAAGCCCTATTTATCCAGTGTCCAACTCTGAACGGGGTCGAAATCCGGCCGAGTGGAGTTCGAGGAGAAACCCAAAGTTGGTCTCAACTTTTAGGGACTTTCTCTCTCTCTCTCTCTCTCACTGACGAAGGGTGAAATTGTTATGGGTGGACTCCCCTGGCTCTATGCCATGCAAATAATAATAATAATAGCAATAACCAGAATAAAGGAGCTCCAAATAAAAGTTGGTTAGTGCTCGCCGTCCCGTACCGTTTTCTTTCTTTTTTTGCGGGTTGTTCCGCCTCTTGAAATTGTCGCCGGGATTATTGTTGTTTCTGCTACATTCAGTTGATAATTTGTCCAAAAGTTTGGAGTTGCCATTTCGTTGGACTCTGCACTGTGCTGGGGTCCATTGTTGGGGTAGCAGATTGGAGTGGATTGGAGGGAGCTACAGCTACTTTTGCTGTTTCCAGAGCAAATTTCAGTCCTGTTTCTGGGGCAAACAGAACGTTGATGGCTTTTTTATCGAGTCGCCTGCAGCCAGTTGCCGCAGCGCTCAGGTGTATTTCTTTCCTTCATGCTCCTTGAGTCCTCCCACTCCTGCGTACAGCTGCGTCTGCCGTACGACTTAGACACTTGAATTCTGAACAATGCTCAAAAGTTAAACTAGAACCGATGATGTACTGAAGACCTGCCGAGGGAGACGGGGGGTGCAACTACTTTTAAAAAGATAGATGCGAGCAAGTGCTAGTGGAATCTCCAGTGTGCGGACACCCACTAATAAATACTTACTATACTTAAATGTAAGTGAACAGATTGGACACCAAGAATGCTTGTCAGCTGAAGAGATAGTTCTGTCACTCGAATCACTTTGTCTGTTATTAGGACAGGCTGATTAAGCTCCTATCTTGCAGATACACAGAAGTACACCTTGCAATATAATAATGTTCTAATCCGTTAATGTTCACGATTGTTAATTAATTCAAATCAAAATTGACTTGTGCACGAACTCAGATAAACTGCTAACGATGCTAATGTTGATGGAGCGAAACGATGGCTTGGGCGGGCAAACTACTAATCGTAACAGAGGGGGGCCTCCCAGACATTCGCTGGCTAACAGCAATGTGGATGTCGTTCTAACAGCAAAAGAGAAATCTACAGTGAGCTTTTGCCACCCACAGTCAGGCCTCTTGGGCTTCATGGGTATGCGGCTTCTTCAATGCAGTACGGTTGACGGGAATGTGATATCCGTCGTACCGCGACATTTATCATAAACAGGGCACCCCACCAACTACCACCCACCACGCAACACCTGCCTGTCCGTGTTGTTTGTGAATTTATGACATAATTTGCAAATCGTCATGTTTTGTTATCGGTGATTCCGTGGCGCTAAAAGTACCGCCAGCCAATTTATATTTACGCAGGGGCTTGGCTTGGCCGGCAAGGAGGCCTCTCTCAATCGCCTGTGCAAACAGGCAGGATGAACAGGAACCTCTAATAAGCAAACAATTCAGTAGAAGGCGTCAAGCGATGAGCAAACGGTGTTCAGTTGCTGTTAAAGCTCTTAACTTTTAATCAAAGATGCTGGCATTTTCCTGGCTTACGTTTCCACTCTTTATCTCTCTCTCTCACTCTCTCTTCTAGCCATTTGAAAATCAGATGAAAAGTAAGCATCCTGTGTGCACGTACGGCGCACGGCAATGCCTAAGCTCAGGGATAGTCCCTGGCACTATTGGGGGAAAAACCTAAGGAAAACAAATTGAAAGTTTCGCCCAGGCCCCTTTTGTGCTTTTATTTACCTGTGCGAAATTCCTTTAACTTTTAAAATCAAACTTTATTTCATGTACAAACGTTACTTTGCTCTCCTGATTAGTGGAATCTGATCTTCTTTAATTAAAGTTTTAATGTACTGAATCTAGTTCTCTCAGTGACTTTTGAAAAGTTGTTTCGAAACGTACTCATTTTGGTGTTTCCACACCACGAACCAAATTGCATTTTAAATAAATGTGCTGGTGGGGGTGGGGGGGGTCTTTGCAAATATTGAGGGGATGATGATGATGACTGAGTGACATACCGTATAGATATTTGAGATAGATCTTCAATAGTAGCAGATCGTAGTCTTCAGCCGCGCCTGTGGCGATTAGTTGCATCGGAATGTCCATCCATGACTGCTGCCGGTGAGCAAATTGCTGCCATGAGATTGTGGTGCCGCAGTTTTATGATGGGATGACGTTGCTGGATCAGTGGCTCGAGATAAACATTAATGCTTTTATCCTGGTGCTGTCCACATGCGCTTAGTGTGATCGAGGAAGTAGCTAATAGGGAAGGTAACTTGACATTCCGTCGCACTAGTGTGCCAACTCATAGCGCAGCTCATAGAGTGTTAGACTTTTCGTCTAGCTGTGGCTTTTCCTACTTATTGTTGAGAGCCATGAAGGCACGAACGCCTGGGTCTGTGTCTGCGTCTGCTGGCAGCCACATGTATAAAATGTATAATCCATCTACGGGATAACAGCCCAGCCTCAAGGGATCTGCCATTTACTTTAAGCAAATTTAATTTTTTTGCGAAATACGCGCAACAGCTGATTTTCGTGCTTGGCGCTGCCAACGTGTCGCAAGGTAACTGTTACGTTTTTATCGACTATCGTTAAGATGACAGTTGTGTTTGAAGTGTAGACGGTATACCCATCGTCGATCTGCAGCCTGATATTTTTCTATTTAAATAGTTCTGAGACTTATTAAATATATCGTATATTTCATAAAAGTCTGTAAATTCGGAATATTTTAATCGCATCCACTTGACATTTGATCCAATTTCTTTTTTTTTCCATTTAACTGTTGTCATACACGAGTACTCGTGCACACTTTCACCTCTTCCACTTTTATTGCGTGATGAAACCATCAACGATTCATTTATTTATGTTTTACAATTTTTTACCGTGTTGGTGCAGTGAAATACTCAGCAAAAGAAAAAAAAAAAAGAAGTCTGATGCAGTCAATACGGTAATGGAGTGGAATGAATGAATTCTAGGTCTGTATGCATCGTATTCAATTTTCAGACGTTTATCCCATTCGGTTGCGAATCTGAACTGACTGATTCATTTTTATAATGATATTCAGAACACACACACACACACAGTCGATTAAGTTCGTTATGCTTGGCCTAAAGCAATAAAAGGAGTAGTATTTCAGAATTTTGTGGCTGGGATCATAGTTGGACTTCTGCTTTTAATACCCTTTGAGTACCGTCTCTGAAAAGGCAAAACTTTGGAATAGAAACGATATCGAACAAGAAAAGCAAATTTAACTGAAAATCGATATGTGCGGTGGGAGAGGCGAGTGGGGGGGCGTAGCTGTTGCGCCAACAACATTGATTGCACAAACATTACAAATTTTCTCTGCTCTCGTGGGAATCGTGTACTCGCACACAGCACAGCACTCGCTCTCCCCTCATCAGTGGCAATTCAAAACCGTAACCCAACGCTGACAGCCCGAGGCTGTAGAGTGAAATTTATTGGAAATATTGAAGCGGAGGCACAGCCTGCCCTGCCGCAGAAACTGCCAAAGGTTGCCTAGGTTTTCGGAATTGGGTAAATGTGGAATAAAAAAAAAAAAAAAACAATCGCAATTTGTACGGCAACATGAATACTATATTCCGTATATACGGTATATACCCAGGGCAACCAAACAAAAATGGACGGGATCGGAGTGCATAAAAACGGACGCACGAACAATTGAGCGGAAAGTTGGTTCGCATTTTTAAGCCATTTGTTGGGGCCGACCGCAGAGTGATTTAATCAATGCAAATGATGGGGACCGAAACCGAAACCCCCTGGGCCCATGCGCAAGGGCCTACATCAGGCGCTAATGGAATTTCAGGCAGGGGTATGAAATGGAAACCTTAGCACCGACCGACGCTCCCAGCCGAGCCGTCATCTTGCCGTGTTGGGACTGTTTTCACGTGCGTTGGTGTGTAAATGATAAATGAGGGACACTCTCGTCTCGTCGCCCCACGTGCGACTGTTCCGGCCGGAACCAACGCAACACCAGCAACTCCAGCACCACTAACGGACCATTAGGTGCCATTGTCCTTTTTGCTCTGCTCTTTCTCACTCTCTCTCTCCCTGACGCTGGTCCTTTTTTTCCAACAGCAAAAGTGCCTCCTTAACCGTTGCTAGGGATTGCTGCTCCTGCACTTTCTATTGTTCCCACGTTCTTCCTTTGAAGCTCCAAAATGAATATTGCTCGGCATCCAGAAACCATCAGTTATCTACTATATGCTGGGTACACTCTGCCACATTGAAGTACAGGCATGTTGAATGTTGTTTTATACACTACTTTTATTATTAGCTGGCATGGGTCCTTTTCCATTATTCATTGGAACACAAAAATGCGACATAAAAGATAACTTATGAATGTACATCTTACACGCTGTTGGCTGTTTTTTGCATTGTTTGAAAAATATCCCTACACATGCTACAAGTTCCAGGGTAACAAAACTAAAGTTGTCTGAATGTTGCCTGGCCCCTGTACTGAACGAATTTCAACCCAGAAATCAACTAAATACTCGTAGGCGCCCACTGCCCAAAGGAAATTAAGAACACTCACTGTAATCCAGGCCCGAGTGGTTGTTTGTTCTTTAGTCTCCATCTGGGCTTGCTTGAAACGAAAACGAACTCGGGATTTAGCCGAGACAGGGCTTATGATGAGATTTCAGCTGCATTTCCTTTTGCCTTTGCGTGCCTTTCCTGCTCTCGAGATTTGTGCGTATTCTGTTGCCTTTTCAACGCAAAAGGCGTTTGTGGATTATGCTGCTCCGGCGCCAGGCTCAGACCCAGACCCAGAACCAGAACCATTTGCGGTCAAAAGTTTTCTGACTGGGACCACAAAGACTTAAAGTTGCCCGAGGATATTCCAAACAACAAAAAAACAGGAGCTGAGAGTCTGCCAGATACCTCAAAATCGGTGCACAGGAGATCCATGAACACTAATTCGCGAGACTGTAAGATTCTGAGAAAACTTTGTTAGGGATAATTGCTTTAGGCAGGGATTGAAATGTACAACCATTTTGGAGGCACTGAAACATAAATTTTTGTTTTATTTCTGCAGTATATGGCGTCGAAATGTTCTTGAAACAGTTTCAATGGTTTCATAGAAATGGAAATCAGTCATAATAATTAACTGTCGTTATAATTTTGCTTCTTTGTGTCCGGGACATAATTGAAATCGACACAGAATGTCCATGCAGTAATTGATCGAAGTGTGAATAATTAAATAGTAATTAATTTATTTATACACATGGGTGAGCAGGTCCCTGCCGCTCTGTAGCAGAGCTCAGCCAAATCCGATACTATCAATCATGTTTACTATTATAACACTGTAACTGGGTCGACAGCTGTGCGTGCTTCTGTTCGTAATGGCTTGCATTAATTAGTCCAGAGTCCTGTGGACCATTTCATTGATAGTGTTTCGCTTTAATTTAAATTTGAATTCAAACGTAACGATCAGTTCTGAATTTGGGAATATCGATCACTACGCTATCGATATGTTTCAATAAAAGCGCTGCCACTACGCAGTTGGTATTTTTCAGGGGATTTCTGCAGATGCAAAGAGCGGCAATTTCTGGCATCAAAACAAACAAGCAAAGTAATTTTTGCGCATTTAATAAAGAAAACGAAATTATACGATCAAAATGGAGACTATCAACTTCAACGACTTCACGCCGAAGGAGCGCTATGAGATAATTAATGCATTCCTAATCAAAATGCGCATAGCCAACTCGATGCCAAGCGCACAGCGCTTCTTTGAGCATTACCTCCGCAAATTCTACAAGCTGCCGGACAAAGTGGTCAACGATATTGCCTACTGTCAGCGTGCCATGAAGACGCATCTGGTGATGCACCAGGTGTGTATGATAATTGTAACAAAAAACGTTAAAATTTAACGTTTTCTAATCGACATCTTCTGATCTTCTTTTGCAGACCATCGTGCGCGTTTTTAGCGAGCAAGAGGACGCCGTAAGTACACAGTTGCCGCCTTTTACCGCTCCAGAAACCAAATGGCAGTGGATTTATGATTGTTGTTCTTTCAGGATCCCGTCATCAAGAACAGCTACTTGCACGAAATCGAGGAGATACTGTGCGAGGTGAATGCCGAGTGCCAGTACATGCTGATGCGCCTGCAGGATGACATCGAACGCTTCTGTTTGGCATTTAGCGAGCACGATCTGAAGCCCAACGATCAAGTGATAAACGATATTGTCAGTGGGGCAATCGTGCCGCTCGTGGTGTCCGAAAAAGTTTCGATCACTCCGCACTTTGTCGGCGAGCGACCAACAGAGCAGGAACTGATGCAGAAGTACTTCACCATCAGTGAAATGTCTGCCCCCCAATTGCCGCTACACGCCTACACGACCACAGTGGTTAAGGAGAGCCGCCTCAACCTACAGGCAGCGTTGGCCCGCACGCGCAACCCTCAGGTCGAGAGGAGCGTCGACAAAGCGGAGCGCCCAAAGGAACTATTTATGCAGTCCGTCGGACTCATCACCCACATGGAGAGACAACGCATCAAGCTGTCGCAAGAAGTCAAAAAACCGGTACCGGTACCGCTACGCTTTTCATTGCCGCCAAAAAAGCAATGAGAACCAAAAACCCAAATGATGTTCTCCATTCGAACGCTTGTTTCCAAAACAATTCGTTGTGTAGAATTACGATTTAGTTTTAAATGACGAAAGTACTCAGAAAGTTATGTTTTATTTTTTTGTGTACTCGGAGTATTCTGATCTGATCTGATTCTTCGAAGATCTGTTAAGAAACCATTTCCTTGCTGTTCGGCCTCTGGAAGCTCAGAAATGACGTAGAGCTATGTTAATATTAAATATATGTAAGAAGCAGATGTAAATTGTTATCATTATCAGATGGGAGTATCAAAAATACCTATATATATTCCATATTTTATACCACAAACACAAGGGTGCGCTCCTCGAAAATTGATTTAAATGCTGTTAAATTGAGTTCACACTGAGCCGCAGTAAAGTGAGTTTTATTGAGTAAATAGAATACAAATTTGCTGGCGCAGTGCGTAATATGTGGGAGCTTTGCCATGCTCGAGTAGGTGCTTGATTCCAGTTCAGATTTATTGGGATCTTCACATGTGGTTGGTTTTGGGAAACTGAAACTTGGCTGCACATTTCATTGGTAGCTTGGGTTTTCCTTTCATCTGGGTTGGCTCCCCCTTGTTCTTGCTGCTCAGTTGGAAGGCCAGAACCTGCGCGGCCAGCTCATCATACTCGTCCCCGTCTGTGACGGAGCTCTTGCTCGAGGACAGGAGCAGAACGTCGCTGGAATGTACTCCAAACCTTGAATTTTTCGATGTCGAAGTGCTTACCGTGCTGCTTGTACATTTTGATGGTTTTCTTAACGATCGAGGCACGCATCTTGTCATCGGCGACCGTCTTAACGAGTGCCACCAAAGCGATGTGACAGCGACTGTGCTCCAGGTAGTAGCCGTCCGTCTGGCAGCTACTGATGACAGCCATAACCAGGTCGGCGAGAGGCACGCCCAGTGTCTCTGCTAGCTTCGGCATGTCGTCCTGGGCAAACACTGCTCCAGCCAGCGGCGTGAGCACAACCTCCCCGCGCTTCACCAGATGCGGCACCAGTTGGCAGTACTTGTGCACCGCCAGCAGGCTGGCCTGCTTAAATGTGATCCGCAGCTGGTTGCGCATCACGAACGGCTGGGTAAGCAGCGGTTCCCGGAGAAAGTGCGTCAGTATGTGCACCTCATTGCGAACATCAAACCCTTCTTTGTTCTTCGTGTCCAGCCGTATGGTCCAGGTCTTGTCCTTCTTCTCGGCCTTGGCTGCCTTGGCCTGCTTGCTGTAGGAGAAGATCACCTGCTCTGCAAAGCGGCGAGCCACACTGGCCTCCTCATAGCTCGGCTCCTCAGAAAAGCCCGGGCATATCTCAGCGAATGCTTCCTTCAGCTTCTCAAAGTCCAAGATGAATTTTGGTCCAGTAATTGCGGTCATAGTTCTGTAATTGTTTGGGTTGTTTCAAAAAATGATTTCTGGAAAAACAATCGCAACTGCATTGGATGTGTGGTGAATGCCCATGGGCAATACAAATCTTTTTGCTATCCTCAGCGTATTCCGAGAAAAGCTTCTTGTTTCTTTCATATCATATTTGCATACAAGTATATGAGATGTTTGTATGTATAGATATGTAGTATCTGCCATAGGAAAATATCGTTCTGCGTCTAAGCCTTCACTTATTCTTTTCGCTTAAATAGTTTTCCATTAAAACCTCAGTACGTGCCGTTATAGAATTAACTTTATAAATGTTTCCCCTTATTTATGCACACAAATACGTATCGGTTTCTCGCACAAAGCACATACATATATACATATTAGCACACACATATTTGAGATAAATCCTACATAGTACTAGATAAAAGACAAAAGGATTCGGAAATCAATAGTGATCGGAGGGCGGGACAGCGCGTGTACATATGTATGTATTTATTTTTTTACATACTTGTTAAATGACTGTAAATGATTTACACAGCGATAAGAGACCCGATACTTGAATGCTTGCGATCCGTCGACTCCAAGAGAACTGAATTATGAACTGAACGACGAGCACACCCGAAGGCGATTCCACCCGCTCTTTCATAAACAAACGAACCCTGATCCAATACAGAGTAATGCATATGAATACGGCAGTGTATGCACATCATACAGTGCTGTGCTGGAGTGTGAGTGTTTACTCAGCGATAAGAGCTGTTAATTTAATGCTTGCGATCTGTCGATTTTGCTAAAAAGCTGCTGCATTTCAGCTTCTTTGCGCTGTCCATCTATTGATTAGAAGAATAGTATTCTAACCCTAACGCTTTGAGCAGGGTTATTTGATCTTTATGTAGAATCGGACCACTTGTTAATCAGTTTCTACGCTTATCCCAGCGTAACAACAATAATAATAAACCAAGTCTAAGATCCACAAAGAATCGCAAAACCCCAAGCTGAGGTTCTGTGGTTCAATTCATTTTGTGCAATATCCAGTTTATGCAATGAAATAAACTCAAAACTCTCTCCACTCTGATGTTGTCTGCTTTATGGATGCGATTCCATTTTCTTTCTGCCTGGAGGGGCAGTGGAGCTGGCTCATTTGCATATGTCTGGTATATTTTTGTTATTGTCTTGCCTCGTCTCTGAGTTGAGAGCAATTTGCATATGAAATGTATCTCTCCCTCCACATCCATATTGCCACTCCCGACTCCCGACTCCCGCATCCACTTTCGACGCGACATATCGATATGCTGAAAATGCACCACACAGGAGCAGAAGTGGCTTGAAGTGCGAGTATTGTATCTACTCTTAACCAAAGGCAGAGCACAATAGAGAGCGAGTCGGGACGAGTGTGACCACCAACTGACAAGTGACAGTTTTTCAAATTGAATTTTTCTAGTGCACGCTGGCTGAGGCTCCGTCCCCGTCCCCGTCCAATTGAAACTGGATACACACAATTTAAGTGGTCCTGGCGGTGTTTGTCAACTGGAAATGTCATAAATTCATAGCAAAGCAAGGAGTGGCACTTCAGTCTCTCGTATCATCCAAATCAAAAGTAGAGTTCGGTTTTATTTTCTCAGAAATTTTTAGTTAAAATCATAAGGAGAACGTTCAATGGAGTCGCGCCGCAAAGACGTCTACATACCCATCGTCCTGGCCGTGATGGTCACCTGCGGTCGTCCCGTTCCCTTAGACGAGATCGTCGATAGAGTCATGGAACTACTCAGCTCTTTGCGCGATCAAATGGAGTTTGAGGGGGCCATTGGTGACTGCCATCGAGCCCGGAATATCTCTGGGGTTAGAAAGGGATCCAAAAACAATTTTTTGAATCAAATTTAATATTCAATACGAATAAGAGTATGCAGAATAAAATATATATTAGCACATTATTATATTAAGACTGCCCATTCTTCATATTCCATCCTTCCTATCCCCAAACAAAAAATACATGGGTTAATTTTGAGAACGGGGCAAGCATAGGAAAGTGGAGCCTGGAGCCGCTTGTCAACGCCACATAGAATTCAGAACTTGTATTTCAGTCTATTGTAACTTCGAAAACGAAAACAACACTCGTGTTTTATATTCCCAGAAATTCCCAGCTCAGTTCAGAAATAAAACGAACATTCAATGGAGTCCAGCCTCAGGGACGTCTACATACCCATCGTACTGGCAGTGATGATAGCCGAGTGTCGTCCCCTCACTGTGGACGACATCGTCGATGGAGTTATGGCACTACTCAAATGTCTGCGCGATCAAATGGATTTTGAGGAAGCCATTTGTACCGACCATCAAGCCAAGAAAATCCATAAAAAGCCATAAAAAATGATCTCTAAATCAATTAATTTAAAAATTCCAATAACAATATACAGAATATCTATGTATAGAAATATGTACATAAATAGGGTTTCTCTTTAAATTAACAGGGGGTTGGAACTAGGATTGTGTCAGTGAGTGTTGGGTATATATTTTAAGTTTTAAAAATGTAGCTGACTGTATGAATTTACATAAATACATACGAGGAAGTACATAGCCGTGTAACCATTCCCAGCATACGAGTACCAGAAACATGTGGGCACAATGTAAGGACAGGGAATGTTAAAAGTTTGCCAGCGTCGCGAAAAATTGTTTATGTTCTGCTTTAAAAGGAGAAAAACAAGTTTGAATGTGAGGATAGAAGTGGCACACGGCGGTACACCGATGCGGATGCGCTACCACACCTGTCCACCAGCCGTGGGAGGATGTCGTCACAGTTTGCTGCTGAATTCTACACGTACGTCTTTGCCCAATAATCACGTGCCATGGAAGCTCATTAAATACACTGCCTGTCACCAAGTAAATGCATGTACGCATATGTAAGTAATATTATTCTATATATACAAAATAGTATACTTAAATGTAGTTTCCTGTTTTCCTGTTAGGAGAATGATCTTAAGAACTTTTTACTTGTATCTAAGACACACTTCATAAAATCTACTAATGAAATCTCCCTCGAGTGGAGTGTCTTTCCTTTGAACTATTTTTCCTTGGCTTTCTGCGGAATTACAAACCTGAATCCGATCAATCAAATCATAGCTTATTTCCAATAACAAATTCGATTAATTGCGATAGCTCTATCGATATTCGTACCAGAAATCACAATCCAGCTAGCTGCCCCGTCTACACAGCTCGGATCCGAATTGTTCAGACAGCGAAACGGCGGCATAGACGAGGGAACACACTCCGTGGCTGCGAGGAATCAAATTTCGGTCTGTTTATTTTCTTTATTTGTGTGTGTGTATATTTGTATTTTTCGATGGAAATTTCCATTGGAATTCATCCATAATTCTTGTATGCCTTATTTGTCGGCTTCTTTCAGTAAATCACATCATGGCTAAGGGACACGAAGAACGGGTCAGCGGCTTGGATTTTCAAAGGCTCAGTGACACCTTCAGTGTTATTTGCCCCGACTTTCGACAGGGCCAGTCCTCGGAGAAGCTGCAGAGTCTGGACTTTGCCAACAAGGTGCTCTTCGAACTGGGCCCCAAGATGCGGCATGTGAAGCTGAGCGGCGAGGACCAGATGTGGCGTCTCGTTTTCAGTGGCGGCACCAGCGTTTACGTCCACACTTACACATTTCTGCGGCCGATCAATAGCCAGCCCCGCCTCAAGGACGGCAAGCTCTATCTGACCCTCAAGCAGGCCGGTCTGCTGGCCGCCAGCCAGCTGTGTGCCCTGTTGCCGGCGCAGCATAATCCGCGGTACAAGATTTTGCTGACTCCGCTCTCTCGGGCCGTCTTTGAGCCCCAGAGTATTCCGAAGATTGCGGCTGCTTTGAGTGCTCACAGGCGGCGTGTGGTGGATGTCGGGGATGTGGTTAGGGCTGTCGTCAGCAGCTGCCAGACGGACGGCTTCCATTTGCAGCTGAGTGAGTGCCACATAGCTATGGTGGCCATTGGGGCGACTACCAAAGATCCCAAGGCCCGCAAAAGAATGCGTTCACAGACGTTGAAGCAATACACGCAGCGCGGCAAAGCCTTTGTGTCGGATGAGTACAAGATCTATGCAGAGTACTCAAAAATGACAGGCCAACTTGCAGCTGAATCACCCATCGCCCCCATTCCGATCCCAGATGTACGCAAACCACCACGCAGACGGGATGTGGCCGTTGTATTGCGCAGCATTGCCAAGTCCTCGGATGATCCGTTGAGTGGCGGCACAGTGGATATGAAATTTGTTGCTGCCCCCAAGGAGAAGGGAGAGGATGTGACGAGCATGCCCGCCTCCGTGGATGTCCGTCTAGAGGGCTTAAGCCTGGAGCGAATGAGATCCAACTTGTTATCCGCTGACAAGTAGTCGCATTGATCGAATTCTGACTACTTCGATTTTTAATATATTGAACTACATATAACTTCTAAAATGGATAATAAATCAGTATCTCTGTACCTCAGAGTTTATTTTACGACACTAAGTGGTTTTTTTCAGCTTAATCTATGGAGAATTAAGTGCAAAGCAATGGGTTATATGAGTACTTCCCTGCCTGCAGGGAAATAAGTTCGATTTGAAGTGAAAGAACAGTCAACAGGCAAACATATACATATATTCGGAAAAGCCAACAACTCAGCAGCTTACGGTAAGTCGACATGTGTACATGTTGGAGTATCATTTAAGGCCCCATAAGCTATTAAATTTTAGTCATTTCCGTTGTGCCGTTGCAGTGCTTTGAAAGTGTCAATCAGTCATTAATTTCCACTGCTCAATAAAATATTGGACTCGTAGGAAATGTCGGCAGCAACCTCAGGAGCGCGTTAAACTTTATGGGCGGTGCTGCATTCTTATCATCGCCGGAAAGGGCCGACCTCTGCCGCAGTAGCTCCGGCAACCAAAAATTGAAAAATAAAAGGGAAAAGCATAAAGGGTACAGCACGGAAGATGAGTTCGGAGTTCACGAGGCGACAGACGGGCTGCGACAACAAAGCAAATTGGTGGCAGGACGGGCAGCTGCAGCCACGGCTCCAGCTCCAGCGCAGGATGTCCGCATGAGTAAATGTTAGTGACCGCAGAGGAGCTGCCATGGGCCTTGCCTTCCTTTTTACGGTCAACGGGTCGCCAGTAAAAATAATCTTATAGCCGCTTATCTGCCCCTTGAAGCCTCTTTGTGCCTGCCAACCGCAGCTCACTTTCAGCGACAGTTCCCCCTCGAGTTTTGAGCGTCCTACACTACTTTTACTTGTAAGCAGACAACCAGACACACACACGTAATCTTTGAGTACCAGATTCTAGTGAAAAGATGGCAGATTTTTAAGACAAAATAAAAATGTAATATTTATATACCCATTTCAGAGTTATGGCAAAGTAAAAGCAATGAAAAAGCACTTGCTGTAGCTACGATTACACTGGTACTGGTCGAATATTTATTTAACAATTGAAATTAAATTTACAAAGCAGTAGTCGAGTCCACTTTAAGTAGAAACATGCATTTTATTTGTTTACGCATCAGTTATCTGCGTAGCTATGCATTCTTATTCATTCTATTGGATGGTTGTTCTTTTACATTAAAGTCCTATTCTGCCATCTTATTCATTGAAAATTCAAATTAAACGTATCGATTTTAACAATCCGGCAAACAATTTAAAGTGTATTAATACCAATACACATACAAGCTGTCTTGGAGGCTGTCCTAGATGCAAACTTCCTCATCCTTTGCGCAAAAGGCGGCACCCACCCACACATAGTCGTAACAGAATAAGCCCACGTACATCTATATATGGGTAAACCACTCAACTCTCCAATTTACAGCGGCACCAGAGTATGTTTGAGTTTGATATTAGGCCACTCTGAAGGCGAATGAGTCTCGTGGGAGTATTTTGTGTGCCGACAGCTCCTACGCTACCCCATTGCCTTGGGCGTGTTTGCGATGCGATTCGAAGATTTTAATTGATTCCCTGTACTTTGTTTCACACTTTGTCTAGTCGATAATGGCCCATATGCCAGGGGGCGAGGAAGCCGACGAAGTCGCATTCGCATATTTATTGCCAAAGAACCATTAAACGTGTGCCGGTGTCATTTGGATAATTGAGTCATCATTTCATTCTCCTATTGGAATTTCGAAAGAGAAGGAAAACTGATTAGAAAAAATCAATATCCATAGAAATAGGTGCTTCGGTACATAAATCTATATTATCGGAGTTTGACGAACAGAAATGATCCGAAGGCTGAGTAGGAGAAACCTTCCCATATCCAATCAGCATCACAAGGTTTCATGGCGGAGATGGCGGATCTGCAGATTCCCTTTTTTCCATGTGACTTGTATTGATTTAGCCCTGATTCGCCTTTGGGCCCACTCTTGGGGGCATCTCTGATTTTCGTTCTTCCCCATCTAATTTTATTTGTTTTCGGCGTGCTGGCCTGCCCGTTTTTTATTCTTACGAAGCAATCGGCAAAGGGAAACACATACATATGTATTTTTGTATATCTTTGCATCTTGCCGTTTAACTGCCTTTGTGTATCTTTGATTTCAGCATTCGATTTCCATTGGCAATAAAACTGCTGATTGAACGTTATGATTTTGTTGTGCGACGGAGACCAGATGTATAGAAATCAAAGTGTGGAAATAATCCAAGTAAGTTGATCCTTTAACAGAAGAAATAATCGAATCAGAATTAAGTTTCATGAGCCAATTTTCCAACTAAAATAAAGGGATCTCCAGACGCACATATGTATACCTACTTAATGGCAGTACATACCCTTTATATCGCTTTGTTGAATGATGATCCATTGAGTGTAATTTCTTGCACTGATCATTCGTCCGCTTATGGAGAAGCTTTGGTACATGCTGCGGAAGTAAATGCTGCAATCAAACACACTAATACGAGCAAGATGGAATGTGGCCACCAAATAAAACTCCCAGGGGCCAAATGCTTGTTCAAACACGCTTCTTGCATATCGTAACCAAGATCCACGAGTTGGATATTTTCCGGTCCGGGCCAAAACACGAAAATCAATCGAAATGTAATTGAATTGCAAGCACTTGGGAGCCAAAAACCGCCAAGGAAACGCATGAATATTTTACGTGAGCGATTTGCCGGCGCAGGGTATTTGTGGCAGGAGCAGAGTGGTGTGGCGAGTAGAGGAGGGGAGAGGAGAGGATAGGTTAAAAGAGAAAGCCACAAAGCGAGGCGCCACAGCAGAGCGAAGAAATCCTTTTACCCAAATTACCCGCAAAATATGCAAAAGCGAAAAACAAATATCGCACAGGGAGCCTCCTCCGCCATTCGGTTCAACAAAAATATTCATGTGGCGGACTAGGGGACGCTGCTTCAATGGTGCATATGAGCAACGGCTGTGGCACGTACCCGACATATTCGTCATACGCCGACAGGAGAGGTTCCCGGGCAATTGGCAAAAAATCGAATCGATTCGAAAATGTTTCTTTTTCCGACTCCAAGGACCCCCCCCTAGGGCGACATCGACTCGTCGCATAAGAAGGAAGCGGAAATGTAAGCGAAAGCGAATGAGGAGCAAAAGCAATGGCGTGCTCATGCATAAAGGAACGGCTAGGAAGCGGCTGGCACGGCCTTGTCTCAACTCGGGACTGCTCAAGTGTGAGTGTGTGTGTGTGTGTGTGTGTGAGTGTGTGTGTGTGTGTGAGTTTCCGCCGGATGCGCTGCGAGTGCACGAACACGCTTTGGAGATGGCCAAATTAACCGAATTCAAGCGAATGAGTTTTTGAATTTGTGCCAGTCCCGGCCGCGGCGCCCCAGAGGGACCTCCAGCCTCTAGGGTCTTCCATCGAGCAATTGTCTTTTGGAGAATCATTCATGTTCGCCTAATTGAAATTCAAGGCATTTAGCCGATAAATAAGAAGCCATTTCGTTTCAATGGCCGCCATAAAAATACTTTGCATTCATCGAATTTTCTCCCGGAGCTCTTAACGGCTCGGCTCCACTCCGCCTTCTTTTATACTCAACAGAAACCGCCAAAGCAAAGTTATCGATCCCTAACTGCGAATATGTACAAATACTGTATTGTTTCATCAATATTTCATGCAAAGTACAGAGTTACAGTTACAGCAAAGTGATAATCGACATAGTTATCCGTTTCGGCGTTTATATATCCTCGGAATTCTAAGAAACGTTTAGACATGGCAATCCATTAAGAGCTTTTGGCATTTCTGTCACGTACAATGCTAATAATATGTCTAAATAATGAATGCGAACAATTTAGATGTAAATGAAGCGATGTCTGGAGCTGACGGCTGCTTTGATCGATGAATGTATGTTAGCACAGCTTTGTGTACATTCCCATTACCTTCGAGAGATCATCTAATCCATAGATGAAATGAAGGCTCAATAAATGTAACGAGATCCGATTAGCTCCTATGAAACTAATGAACTTGACTAATGCTTTCCAGGCTATGTTCTCTGCCACTAGACCTCGTAATTGGCCCTAAACGACATTCCAGTAATTGAATAAATTGCAGTGAAATGTCAGCCAATTAAGAATCATGTCATTAGATGCCATGCCCCTCATTCGGACTGTATCTGGTTCTCTGTGCTCTGGAAATGGTTTTCGTACTCCTTTCATTCATGCCACGGACAGCAGAGGTATCAGGCGAATTGCTAATATTAGCTGGGGGGATGGATTGCTCAGAGGAGATGTGTTCGTGTGTGCTGCATACACACTTGTGGAGCACCTGTGGCTGGGATAAGGATAACCAACCACCTCTAAACCCTCTGTACCGACGTGGCTGTGGGATCTTACGTTTGTGCCGTGCGTCAGAGTTAGTAATTCATTTTTAATATTTTCCTCATGAATATTTGCATAAGCTTGTCTCTCCGTGTACGAGTATCACTCCCCTCTAGGGCGTTATTCCGCTCAACTCGAATCTGCCATTATGCCGTCCATAAGCGAGCGTACCTGAGTGGGTAGTGCTCCGGCTCGACTGCCTTTCACTTCCACTTCCATTTCCACTTCCATGTCGGCTTGGGCGTAGATTGTCATATTTCACAAGATAACGACCAAGAAGATGGACAAGTCGACAGCTAGACAGCTCTGTATACGAGTACATGCATATCCTTTACCCCACATGTCGATGCCTGCCTCCTGCCTGGTGCCACGGCTGCTCTGCTCCTGTCGCATCTTCCGTTGCGCAACGTCTCCTTTAAGGGCGCACTCTGGCTCGGCGTTCCTTCGTGCGGCGTAAAACATTGCAAATGCACTTTGGTGCGGAAAACAACAAGAACTTGTTGATGGTCGTTCCAGCTCCCAAAGTGAAAGTATGCTAAGTGCAAGTTGTCGTATTGTCGCTTTAAGGCAGCCAAATTACCGCGACAATAAGCCCGAGAAAGGACTGTCGAACCAGGCTTCAGTAGGTAAATTAGCCCCCCCCCGAACGGAATGGATCTGCTCCATCGTGCAAATCACATGAAAAATCATCTCGGTTAAGGAAAGATTTATGTAGGAGTAGTATGTTTCCCAGTCGAGGACATGTAGCGGCCAATTCGTGTTTTAGCTTTGAAAGCAAAGTGTTTGCCAAATTCAATTCCCAATCCGCACACATCGGTGCTGTTTGGGCTCTTTTCCTCACCTGACAAATTCAGCATCCAGTCGTAAATAACCGAGCAAACACATCGGAACACGGACAAAAGGGAAATTTATTACCCCAAAGCATTAACTACACTCCGGGGACGCACCGGCGCTTAATTACGAGTGTACTTTCCAAGCCCTGGAAGCCATCGTGTGCCCAAATGAGCGTGCCAAATTGCCTCGCAGCGAGAGTAAATCAATTGCAAGTAGTACGAATACTAGGCACACGCATGCCTCAACAACGGATGTGGGATATACAGACGCCTTGAGCCCGGACTCGACAACTACGCGTAAGTACTTGTGTACCTTCCCACCCAGCCACCTTCACTCGATTCGGGAATAATTTAAATATATGTTGTTGAAAAGTTAGTGTATAACACCAAATTCTACCAATCGGTTGCCAATTCTGTTGCGAACTTTGAAGTAAGATTTTTTCCGTTTTGTTTTTGTATTCCAATTGATCCTCTTTTATTTATATGCTTGCTATTTGGCTACGTCTGTTCACAGTAAGTTCTTTTTTCAGGCATACTAAGAAAGACTACGGCTTGAAGATTGAAATTATTAGTTAGTATGAATTATTGTTGTATATAAATACACAAGTAGTTCTAAGTTGGATAGTTAAACGTTTCTGGAGCTCCACAAACACAAAACACACTTACAATTTTAATTTGCCGGATCCTACAGAATGCGCTAAACATGGCATCTGGAAATGCATAACGAGTGCCTAATGTTTGGCGAGCACAAATATAAATTATCACAAATCTGTTTACTTCAGTGGACCACTCGATGTCCAACACTCATTGTGTGTCAGAGCCATCAATTCCAAATGCATGGGAAATGGCAAAGTAAATTTTGTGGTCTCGACCCGGCACAGAAACAGAAACTCGTACATTCATAGATAGTACGCACATACATACATGTACGTATAGTAAAGCTCACCAAGCCGAAAGCAATTAGGAAATTTCCAAGATTTTCTGAAATGAGGTCTGCCGTTGGCCCTGCTGCCACATTATGCACACAGACAAAACGAACGAAGCCTCCCCATTCAGCATTTGAGCCACTTGGGGGGTCTGGATGGGATGGAGTCTGTTTGCAAGACAAATAGAAGTTAATTATAAGACAACTCGTCCTTAATAAATTCGTAATAATTTACCATCGTCATATGTATGTATGTATGTATATTGCACACTTATTGTTGAGTATGGATATGGTTTGACTATGGAATTATCAATTAGCCTTATGAGAAACACATTGGTTTATCTGCTTGCAAATGCATTCGTTACGTATGTATTATGATTCCAATACGTTTTCAGATCGACTCGACTACAAGTCTTCATACATATGTAAATACATATGCATATACATACGTATGTATGCTTTGTGCTGTTCCTATTGCTGTATGTCTTTGAAGCTCTAGCTCTACTCTCTAAAAATGTTCGCAGCTTTACTTTGGTTTATTATTGTTGTCGCTTTGCGTTCTTTTTTGTTTACAGTTCTCCTATTAGAGCATTCTCTCATTCCACCGCTTCACTAACATCCGTTATAACGAGTCAGCATTCCCGATGCCGATAAAGTCCAGAAGAGCTGAACTTACATTTAAAGCTAAAACAAGCTGAATTTATTTCAATAAAAATGCTAAACAGTTATATACGTAAGCTCTTTGAAAATGAAAAAATGCTACATCTAGCATGAAATAAGCTAAAATGGCAGCACTGTTAGAGACGGCTACGAACCCTAAATTTGGTCTGGCAGCATTTAATTCAATTCATTGCGCGATCGATCAGGTTTGTAAAGTTTGCCGGTGAGAAGAGTTGTGATAATCGCAGGACTGTGTATGTTTATATATGTATATATATTTTATATCATTACCAACAATTTAAGCTCTTTGAATCGTAGTAGTGTACATGTTCATGTTCATCTTCTGAGAACACAACTTTCGCGACTGTGAAAAACAGTCAGATACACACACATAAACATACTTACATGAACATGTACACTAATGCCGGGTGATAAATTGTTCTCCATTCAGAAGCCTTGTCACATTACTACGCAATAGCCACGATGGATACTTGGTGAGTCATTTATCCGCATTTATGTACATATGTACACGTGTTTGGTTAACTTTATGAGCCTCGACACTTCCTTTTCTAGGCTGCAACCAGTTTTTACCGATCTTATCGAAAACAAGAAGTTTTCTGATTGCCGCATATCTGTGGGGACCGAAGCCTTTGATTGCCACAAAGTGATTCTAGCAAGTGCATCCGAGTTCTTTGAGCGCATGTTCCTGGCGGATTTCACGGAGTCAAAATCGGGACAATTTATTGTGAACGATGTAAAGCCGGAAACGTTCGGACATTTCCTGCAGTACGTTTACACTTACAACAAGGAGCACTTGAAGAAACACAGCAGCACAATACTAATGGACCTGTTAGAGGTTGGGACCAAGTGGCTGGTGGACTCAATTCAATTCGATTGCGTCATGCTCCTCATGAAGCGAGCTAAAGAGATGATGGTAGGCGATCTCGTCGAACTATTTCAGGCTGCGCACAACATAGACAACAAGTCGTTGATCGATGAGGTCAATAAGGTGGGCGATTTTAAAAGCTACATTTTAGACTGTCTTTTAAGTCCTATTCAATTTCAGAACCTCAAGCAAAGATTTGGACCACGCATGAATTGCTTCGATAGTCTCGTGCTCACATCAGACGTCTTCGAGGAATACCTCATTCTCACCGACGGCCTTGTGGAAGAGATCGAACGGTTCAAAATGGTCGAGGCCTACGTTAGCGTAAATGGGATACACGATGCTGGAACGTCGGAGCGCTCTGGAGATGCTGAAGCCGATAAAAAAGAAGAATCTGATGTTGGGAAGATTGAGAACGAGAAGCTTGGCAGTACTAAGAGTCTGACAGGGGGGGAGATTAAAGACGGGAAGCCTGGCAGTTCCAAGGAACTGTGCGAGGTGAAACACGTGGATAATACTAATGCGAACACTCTCGAGCTCCATGCAGGGGACCGTAACGAAATTAAGCTTGCATCTGTACATTCAAAATATGTCCGCACGCTTTTGGGACATATAAAATACGAAAAAATGACCAAGAATCAGTTCTACGAAGTTGTTGGAAAATCAAATTTGTTGGATTTTAAAGAAAAATTCGAAAACCTCTTCTTAACCCGATAACCCGTAAACCATAATGATTTTCTTATTTTTCAGTCAGCAAGCAGTGTATTGAAATATCACTGGTCGATCACAAATAAATCAAATACCATAAAATTATAATCATCCAAATAGATTCGTATTTGTCTATGCATTATTATCACTAAAATCTATGTTCGTAATACAACAGCAAGCAGTGGCGGGGACAGGTTGGTTTTTATCATATTTATAATTGAATAATTCGTTTGCTTTTGGGTCCAACAGATGTATGTATTATGTATGTGTTTAATCTACAGCAGCATGATGTGCAAGCTGCATAAATTTAAAGCTGAGTTAAAGTAACTGCTTATATTGTCTGAATTGAAGCGGAGAGTGCCTCATGGGGTGGGGCAACTGAAGTGCGCAGATTTATGATGCTATGAAGCGCGAATTTCGGCCACATGAAGCGAACTCCAACTTATCAACACACACAAACACAGAAACAGCGAAGATGAGGACCAACAGCATTGTGCTCATTATAAATGTCATCAGGCATTATTTTGTCCATCAACTCGTCGCAGTTGCCCGGGCGCATTGTTTATGGCTTTTCCCAGTTGCGGCTGGAGTCGGAGTCCGGAGTTGGGAGCAGAAAGCACTGTGGTTGTTCGCCATGCGGAGAGCCATTTATAATGAAAAGAGAAATTAAACAGGAAATTGAAACCGGACTGGCGTGTTAATGAGAATGCGATGGCATGGCGGCCGTCTCGTTAACGGCCAGTTCTTAATTTTCGCCTGGGGAGGGTCGTTGTCCGCTGTCCTTTCCTGGTAGATTGTCGTGTCCGTTAACATTAAGGTGTCCCTGAAAATGGGTAATTACATTTAATGGCAAATGTTGCCATAAACTAAGTTATGATGATGTCCGCAAGCCCCGAATACTGGACCTTCACGCCAAATTGAACCAGATGAAGCAACAGCCTATCCTCGAGCTTTGGGAAAATTGTGATAATTTCAATATAAATACTCAAAATATATGCCAATTATGTCGCCGGTGCCTTCAAGGAGATACATAGAATCGTTTATACATTTGTTGTCGATTAGTTTCATTAAAATTCAAGCAAAACCCAGTGGACTGTACGAAGAATCTATCAATAGCGAAGAAGACCCACGCACCGGTTTCCGGCCCCACTTAGACTACTTTCTATGGACTTTCTTTACGAAAATAAATTAACGGATACTGCGGAGAATAAGACCAAATAGGACAAAAAAGACTCCTTTCTCAACGGAATGAAGCACCAGAAAAACTTTGTGAACTTTCCCATTCCTGCAGAGTTTTGATTTACGACCACTTAACGTATTTTATGGTCCCGGACAACAGCATACTCAGCGATTGGATGTGTTCCTACATTTGTACATATTGATGCCCACACAGAACCAGAACCGGAGTCTAGATATATTCCTATACAGGATAAACAAATCAGCATATTGAATTTTGCATTTCGTCTTCAAGTAATGCATTGAAAAGACTATAAAGTTGTGTACTTTCGAATGCAAAATGCAAAATTCATTTATTTGATTTTATTTATTTGCTACAGCCGAGTAGCAGCAACAAGAACTGGGAATCCCAGAATATCCCAAATAGAAAAGACCGCATTCGATGATTTTGTTTTCGATTTTCGATTTATTTTTATGGAAATGCGTGTCGTGTCTCTCTATTCAATAATTCGCATTGCTTTTTATTTATAGTTATAGTTATATTTATTTCAGTATATTTATATTAGAGTGTTATGTGTATCCGAATATGTGTGCCAACGTGCACGACATTGTGTTTTGATTTTTCCTTTGGCTTTACGCTAACTTAACACAGAGATATAGAAGAATTATTTCATTGCGATCCGGATGACAAACCGCCTTTTCCTATTGCCCCTGGATGGCAGGGCACATCGCGTGGCTGTGGATTTCGATTCCTGTCGTGTCCAGGGCTTAACTCTAAGTGTGGGTGGTTGGAATTGTTGCAATCGAATCGTGATTTATAGTTAATTCTTGGGCTCTGTCCGTTCGATATTGGTGATTAAATATATTTGCGCTTAATTGCGATAATTAGCATTAATCATTGATGCTGATACGTGTACACATGTATGTACATACGCATTTACATTCATAGAATACAGGCAGTCACAGACAAGAGTACAAAGATTTTGGTTTGCGGTTCTCGATTTGCAGCTGTATCGCGCATACGGCCGGTGGCCCAGCAACATCAATAAGTATCCGGTCGACGGCCGCGACATGAATTATGCAGAGGCAACAACACCAATAAGAAGAGCTGCAAACAATTATGGGTTAAATACTAGTACATTTATTATATTTATTTATTCATACGCCTATCAATGCGTCCTATGGAAGTAAATTACGAGTACACACTAAATTATGCACGAGGGCTGCCACGGCAATTCTACGATTCCAGAACTGAGACACGCATGGGCATTAATTCGTGTATTGCGTAAATATTCGAAATATTTTGACACCAACTCTGCCTCACCATGCGAATTCCTGGAAGAGCGACAGCCGCGTCGAACAGTCAACCAAAACCTTTCAATTTGTTCATTCTACTTTGCAACCCAAACCCTTAGATGCCGCCCCCATTCGGAGTTCACTGCAGCAGTCCGCTGACTGTGAAGGTTGTCGTCGTGGCCGCGAGGATCACACGATCCGTGATAGTGGCCTCCGAGCGATTCGATGGGGCTTCTGCCTGCCGCCAGAACTGGATTCCGGACAGCGTCGCCGAGGTGCGATTGACCCGTTCTGTCGGCGGATCGTCGCGTCGCGTCCTTACCGCCCGCGCCTGTGCCTGGGGTCACGACGACATGTACGTGCACTGCGTCTTGGGCTGGGGCTCTGTCTGCTCGATGGGCTGGATGGCGGCCCGCTTCCAGTAGTCGCGCACTGTCTCCACGGTCTCCATGATGCGGAGAAAGTTGCGGCCGGCCAGCATGGCCACGTCCTCCTCGCTCCAGTTTGGATCTTCGAGCAGGGCAGCCAGCAGTTCCGGGTACTTGGAGACATCCTCCAGTCCCAAGGGCGGCAGCTCAATGCCGTCGTAGCCCGCCCCCAGGCCGATGTGCTGTATGCCGGCAATGGCTCGCACATACTTGATGTGTTCGATGACGTCCTGGAGCCGAGCCTGACGGCCGCAGGCCACGTCCTCCGAGTCGAAGCTGAGCATGATGAGGCCACCGTTCTCGGCCACCAGGCGCAGGATGTCGTCGGGCACGTTGCGCGTCGAATTGCAGAGCTGGCGGGCGGCAGAGTGCGAGAAGATGACGGGCGCCCGTGTCACCTGCAGCACGTCCCTGGCCGTGGCGTCCGAGCTGTGCGAGAGGTCGATCATCATGCCCAGGCGGTTCATTTCGCGCACGATTGCCTTGCCAAAAGGCGTGAGGCCCTGCTCCATGGGCGAGGCACTGGACCCGGCCCAGGACACGTCGCAGCGATGCGTCAGGCTCAGGTAGCGTGCGCCCAGCGAGTAGAAGGAGCGCAGCACACCCAGCGAGGAGCCAATCGTGTGTCCCCCCTCGACGCCGATCAGTGAGGCCAGCAGGCCGCGTCGATGCGCCTCCACAATGTCCTGCGAGGAGGTCGCTAGGACCGTCTCGCGTGCGTACATGTCCGAGAGGCGCCGCACGATGTCGATTTGCTCCAGTGCCAGCTGGACGGCGTCCAAGCCCTGCGCCTCGCACGGCACGTACGCCGACCTGCAAGTGACGAAAAATGGGTAAAGGTTAGCTGACTTTTGTAGGCCACTGTGTGTGAGGTTAAAGTGCCAACAGCCAAGCTTTTCCATAAGCTCAACTTTTAGGGGATTACATTTTTGGTTTTTTTTCTTCTTACAATACAGAAGGGCAGAGTTCTTTTCTAACGCAGAGTTTCGGCTAATATAAACTACCTAATATTTTTGGTGGCATTTTCTGCAACCCGAACACTGTTTAATTGGCGAGTTCAAAGGTCAATTGCTGGTAGCAACGAGTCATAAAGGCAATTGCATGCAAAGCGTTGCAGGGAGGCAGTGGGAGACACAGCTGCATGCGAATCCCAAACAAAGTTCGACATTTTCAACCATCGAAATGAAACGCCAAATTGGCGGAAAGTTATGCTTGCGCCATCTGGTGGTGTGGGGCATGTGGCTGCACGGGGCAGATGGCAGGGAGAGAGTTTAAAATGAACTCAAGTCGATTGCCCATCAGCGTTTTTTCCCCAGCTGCAGCTGTCTGCCGCCTGTCAAATCGTTTTTCCCTGCAAGAAGTCTGGCCAGAACAAGTACCAAACCAGGCCCACAGGCCGAGCCCGAGCCCGAGCCAGAGCCAGGAGTAGCGGTGGCTGGCAAAATACTGGGTGGGCGGGGCAGACAGGTTGGCTGCTTGCCCCGAGGCACAGGGCCGGCTGCCAAATTTTATTTTGCAGTCAAATTGTTGGCAGCTTTTTATTGCCGCGCAGGGAGCAGCAGTGGCAGCGGTGGCAGGCAGTGGGCGGCTGTTGTTTTGGGGGCGTGCCAGCCAGTTGTATGCATCGATGTTTTGGCCCGTGTGCACGGGTCAGATCTCTCTCTGGCCTCTGGCAACTGCCGGAGGTTGCTTGATTGCCGTTTTATGTGACTTTTCAATTTTCATGATTTGGCTGGTAGCTTCATTTCCATTACGTATCCGCACCATTGAACAGAGCCATTTCTTTTTGTTATCAGAGTACGGTTACAAGTACGAGTACGTGTGTGTACTACACCATATTCCAGCATGATTTAAATCACGGCACATTGTACGTACAAAATAACGGCAAAGCTCTTCACTTAATGTCGGTGCTTGTTGCCCCTCGAATGGAGATACATATAATCTATATACAATGGATATTCCACATGGATCTTGGGCATTTACTCACCAAACTTGAACGCTGACGAGACCCTGCTTGAGCCGCTCCATGTCGGTCTGTGCCCAGGCCGGCCGCGCCCACAAGGACTTGTGGTCCAGGTCGTGGCTGAGGTGCAGCTCCAGGCTGCTGTGGGCGTATTTGCGCACGTTCCAGGCATAGTTGTTGTGGCCGTCGACGAGCGGCACCTCACGCAGGATGCGGCGAACGATCCTCAGTCTTTGGGCGTGCGAGTTGCGGCTGGGCGCCGTGAAGAAGTGCTGGTAGGCGAGCGTGGCCGCGATGGCCAGCAGACAGATGGCACTGACCAGAGTGAGGGCTACCAGCCACGATCCGCGACGTCCCTTGTGGGCCGCATCCGCTCCGGCGCTGGCCTTGCGTGCGGCCTTGCCCTTAGCCTTGCCAGAGCCTGCCGCTCCTGCCGACGAGCTCAGCGACGTGGGCGACTTGGCGTCGAGGCCCACGATGTCGCCGCCAACCACAACGCCGCCCGCCAGACCGCTGCCAAAGTTCACCTTGGACTTCTGTATGCTGGCTATCTCTCCGCCGGAGTCGCTGTTGGAGATCGAGTTCTGGCGGGAAAGAGTGCGGCGGATATTCGAGTGCTCGGTGACGTCTGGGAGGCCACCGAAGCCAGTTGTCTGCAAAAAGATTGAGAGGAAAATGGGTTAGGGTTCCATTCAACAATGTTTCAATGTTGGGCAGTGTGGTGGAGCGGGAGGACGAGGAGGAGTGCATATCCAGCGCTCGTCGGAAAGTTGCTTCATTAAAAGTACGTCAAAGTTTTCTCCGTTGATTTTGTGCCCTAATTAAAACTGCAGCAGAAGATGGAAACTTTCAGCGCTCTGCAATATTCATAACTGGCATGAAACATCAACACGAAACTTTTTAATGAACCGAATAACCATATCAGAATCAATATGATGGCCCATCCCGCCCCACCCCACCAATCTCCGTTGATGGGCTAATCCCGGGTCCAACATAATTAAGCCTCTGTCATAATTCGTAAGCCCTGGCCGTGGCCCTGGCCACATGTGTCCCCAGGTCCGAATCCCACAGCCATCAGTGTTCGCATCCCTGGATCGAAGGGGCGGGGGAGCAGCTACAAAAAGGAAACTTTGTCGTGCGAAAACTTGTTGTGGCAGGCACAAAGTTTTGCTCGAGGCAGGCAATGATTTGTTTATATGGCGACTGCCTCAGGAATTATGCCAAACTGTGTGCAAAGTACAAATCAAATCTAACTGCGAGCATTGCTCCGCATAGACCAGGGGACCTAGGGAGCTGCAAGACGTGAAGGTGTACCCCGTGCATGAAGCAAAATTGGAAACAAACTTAAAACATTGCCACTGGCAGAACGAAGCTTAGGGATCACAAAGATGGAAATGTGTATTCCAGCAATAATAGTTAGAGTAAGAGTTTGTTGCTGTACCACAGAATATGCTGCGAGTATGTAGCCAGCAATTGCACACACAAATACGAGTATTTTGCCATTTGGGAAAAGCGTCAGAAAATATTCGTTTCCTGGATATACTCTGGTAATTAGGCCCCAAAAGAATTTAATAATAAATCAGGTTTGAATGCACATATAGCCCAAGAGTCAAATTCTTTACACAGAGAATTTTGCCCGCCCTTGGATGGAATATTTCAGTCATTTTCATTTCAAAGCTTTTCATTACAGTTTCATGTTCTGTTTCTTGTTTCAAAGGTTTCTCTCATTTGGGCACTTCATGGCTTTCCCCTGGGGTGCGGCTAATTAGCTGGAAAATCGGCATCACACGGCGTATGAGCAATGTGCAGATGAAAGAGAGTTGCGTGTTCTTCTGACGGCCGTCTGCTGGGTGCAGAATTAATTTAATTAAATGAAATACAGCCACAAAGAGATACCCGATGCGGCCAATGACCGCGTCAGAAAGTGCGTGTTTCACTTCAAACTATTTTTAATTATGAATTTCAAACAGCATTCAGCTGGATGCCGCTGCCGCTGTCATTGCTGGGAAAATGAACCGACGTTCCCTTCATAAAATGCTGGGGAAACTTTTGCGCGGCTCCCCGAAAGCAATAAAAACGATGGCAAGTCGTCCGTTGGGGAAAACTTTTGGCGGAAGGAGTGCAAAAATTCATCTCAAATTTATTCAATTTTTAATAAAAATGCAAATATATTACGTGCTGCCACTGCCGCTCCACCCTGCGCTGTTGCTGCTGCAGACATTTTTTTTGTCTAGATTCTGCGTTTAAATAAAATTCGCAAAGTTTCGAAGCCAACGGTTAAAAGGCGCTTCATTGTACGGCACTGCACTTTTTCCGTCCGAAAGTGAGTCCTCGCACGGGTTGGGACATGGATGTGGACAGCTGGGCGTGACACCAGCAGCAGTAGCGCAAAAGTTTGTTTGTCGGCGGAGGTCGCATCATCGTCATCGCGGCGTCACCCGCTAGAGCTCCGGCTGTAAGCCAGGAAGCATATCTGGCCACATTTTCCACAGCTTTGGCGCGCGTTTGGCAGGCGACAGAGCCGCAGAGTTGCCCCAAAAATTCATGGACATGGATGTCCGTTCGTCCCACAGGTTTGCCATAGTTTAGCCAACTTTATAATTAGTTTAGCCGAGGTCGTGTCCTGTCCTGACATGCGACCGAAAATCATGCGAAAACTATAAAAAATCTTAATTATGAGGTTAGCATTTGGGAACTAGGGACTGTGAAGTTAACAGGCAGTTCATCTGAGAGTTTACACTAAACTAAAGTTCGGGATGTAAGATGGAATCGTAGGGAAAAATGGTATCATGGTTTCCATGAGGTTTAGCCTTGGGAAAATAATATTTGTATGAAATAACTATGCAGATCCATCTGCACAATACAAAGTGAGGGCAATGGAGATATACTGAATGAAAGAGTGGGCGGAGATGGAGATGAATGATGTGATGGTGCTTGTGCTTGTGCGTCTGCCGGACAGCGCTCAAATTGGCTGCATTGTTGCTCCGTGTTCCATGGCCCGCAGCGGGGACTCGTCCAATTGAGTTTTAAATAAAAATGAGCAGACGAGGCAGCAGCATCAGCAACAATGGCAGCAACCTGCAACACGTCACCAGCATCAGCTTCAGCTTCAGCACCAGCACCAACTATAGGACGGTGACACGTCAGAGGAGTAAGAGTGAGAGTCATAGCCATTCAGTTTGTAGAAAAAGGCAGGCGGCAACAGGACCATAGTCAGCAAGGACAATAGCAATGAAAGCAGCGGCACAAAAAACTAGAAACAGGACCAAGAAAAAGTGTAACGGAATGCTTTATAGTTTCCGCCATTATTTTCCCTTTTGCAGCGGCAGTTTTTAACAGCACTCTGGCTTGTGTTTTGCTTTACGCTCCGAGAATTTAGTCCGAGACTAAAAACAACTAAAATCTGTGCCGCATATGCAGCAGGAGCAGCAGCAGCCGCAGCCAACGAGTTGGTCGCCTGGTGGCACCAACACCGTCTGTGGGGTGGGGAAAGGACAAAACAGAACAGAACAGCCAGCACCCGTGGGGCACCCTTGTGTGTGCTGAAAAGTATTTGTCATGCCATATCTCATGCCCGCTACATACATCATGTTGTGCGCGGCACTCGTGGGAAACAAAGCAAATCCATTCCATAAATATTCGCGAGCAACACTACCAAATACCTCCAAGGGTAGAGCGCGGAAGAGGATTGTACATTTTTGCACCCATCGGTGGTACGAGTGCCACTTTGGTTACGTTTCAGCGAAACGGATTCGCAGAGATTTTGATTTATTATTTACCCAACACCAGATTACCCTAAATGATTCGTGAAGAAGATTAACTACTGTTGAAATTACGCATGAATTGCCACGAATATTTTGTCTCGTGAGAAATGACTTCAATTAAAATGTAGTGGCATGAAATAAGCTTTGAAATATACTGATAGAATGCCCTCTGATTTCCTCACTTTCCATTACCTAGGCATTTCTTCTTCGACTAAGGCAAGACTTTCAAATGGGAGGCAGAGTGTATCTGGAGTTCGCAAAGGATACAAAATTCCCATTTTAAGATAAAAAGTAAAAATTGTTGAGTTTAGTCTCTTGTGGGGTAAGCATAAGAAGTTAATTTATCTCTTTGGGCAATTTACGCTCTTGTTTTGTGTCATGTTAGGTCGTTTTCAGATTACTCGGCTCCTCGTTGCAAGGGGAACTTTGTGTGGCAACTTTCTTAGACAATGCGATAAACTTTGCCACAAATTTATTGAGTGGCCATGAGTGTTGATTATGATTGATTTGCTCATGAAGAAAAACTAATGTACAAGGAATTTGCGGCCAACGTTTTATCAATTCTCTCCCATTGTACGGGTCCGTAGCCCGGAGGGAGAGAGAGACAGAGAGAGAGAGTGGTCCCTGGGGAGCTCGCTGTGGGATGTCGGAGTAGTCGTAGTCCGGGGCAACCAGTCCTCGGTCCTGCGGTATCGTTGCCGTCTGTTGTCGTGTCAGCGTTGGCCACTTTTTAGTTTTTCAAATATCATTTGTTCAGTTCACGCTGATGGACATCACTCTTGCCCACTCCGTCTGCCTGCCCTTCCCTGAAAGGGGCCACAAATTGCCTTGTGGCTGCCACGTAATTTCTCCCTTCCGTGCTGGACTTGCCCCAACACTAGACCCATTCAAATGCGGCAACAGAAGGTCTGAACCCGCACCCAAACTTGGAGCCGGAGAACAGAGCCCGCCGCTGGCATCGGCCACAATGGCTGTGTTAGTGTTTCGCATTTCGTTTGTTTGTTCTGGTGTCCCCCCCTGGGATGTCCTACTATGTAGTCGCTGACCAGGCGCATTCCCAGGCCCGGGCTGTCCATCGCACTGGGGACTCTTTATATCTATATCGATATCTGTGGATGTGGCTGTGGCTGTGACTACGCGAGCGGATTTGAAGCATTTTAAGTGTTTGTTAAACAGTTTAAAGTTGACGATTGGCTTATCCACATCCTGGTCAATAGATGGTGGTCGGGGGTTGTGGAATCACTGAATTATCAGATCCAAATTCAATGTTTCCCGCCCAGCGTAGCGCATCCGCAGGCCTGACTAATGGCTGCCATCAGTAGGAAAGTTTAACTGATGATGAAGAAATTTCCTGTGCCGCACAACAATCGAATAAAAGTTTTGTGTGTATCTCAAAGTTGGTGGCTCGCTTCCTCGTTTGCTGGAAATTGGTAACGTTGCGCGAAAGTCACGTGCCCGCTAACAGAGTGTTTCCATCATTCCAACGCCAAATTTATGGAGCCTGACAGCAGAAGGCAATCGCCATGGGCACAAAGGGAGCACGCCACACGCAGCACCACTCGAACAATGGATGTGGGGCATGGAAGCAGCCACATCCATCAATCAGGACTCCTTCGAAGAGACCATTTCCCGCGGCAGCCTGTGTAGAGCTTGACTCTCGGGCCATGGCCAAAACTATTCTCCAAACGAAGCGAAACACGGCAAATGCTGTGCAGAGTGAAAAGTTTAGCCACAGCTGAAAATGCGAACGCGGCAGGAATCGGGATGTGGCGCTGTGGCAAGACAATGGGCGACCAGAGCAAACTATTGGCAAACTCTATGACGAGCGGCGGCAGCGACGTGGATAAGGAGCGAAGGTCGTCACAGTAGCTCAAACGGGTGGATTGTGG